GAGCAAATCCACTTACTTCTCCAATCGCTGCAGCAGCAACAAAGCGCAAATGTGCGGCAGCCTTTTCCATATCATGTGCAGTCTTGCCCGCCCTTTGTGTTTAATCCTTCTCCATTGGCGCCAGCACAGAGCCGCCTAGCTTCTTTTCCTTCGGTTCCTCAGGCTCCTACTACGCAGGGTCTATATCAAGCTCGCCAGGCCACTCCACCGCAACAGCAGCCATTATTTTCCAACCAATTGCCACCATGTCCTCAGCAACAGCCATATCAACATAGCCATGTGCAGGCTCCAATGACCTCAGAGCAGACACAACGATTGCCGGAAGATGAAAGGTATAAAGGCTACCTCATGAAAGGCGATGGCAAGCAATTGACGGTCAGGGAAGCATGGGATGAATTCCGTGGGCCCGTTGCTCAGGCAAAGCAGGAAAATCACAAATGGCCATTCACAGAGGCGCGTCACAAGGCATTCAGGCGCAGGCGTCAAATTTTCGATCTGATAAAGAATATTGCCGAAAAACAGAAGCGAGACTTCGAAGAGGTAGTAGACGCACTGACAGCTCAGTACAAGGGTCGGACAATCAATTCCATTCGACTAGAGCTTCTGAAAGACACCGGGAATGACGAAGGCTGCCACCAAGATGCGGACGAGTAGATGAGTAAGGGTAATTTTTTTTTTTCTTTTTTTTTTTTATATATACATATATATATATCCTCGGATACAAATTTAAGCAATAAAGCACAAAGTAGTGATGGTGTCGGAAATACCAAGACATGAACTGAGCTACAAGAGGCAGAAAACTGTTGGCTGCATCCTTGAGCCAAAAGAGGCTGAGAAAATACAATGTACAAGCAATCCATTGTCGTGAAATTTGTGATATTCCAAGGTGTTTAGCATAAGTATCATCCAGGAAAAAGCATTATCGTCAACATTATTAACAAGACAAAACACCATCAAAGCACTATCAAAGCATTTTTGACTCGACTCGGCTACCAACGCACTATAACAGAAATAATTGAATACTTCATCAATATAAAAACTGTCATGTTTAATCATTAACACTGTCTCTACCATAAAAAGATTTTGTCTATTTCGCTTCACAAATCCATTTTGTGGAAAAAGATTTGTGAAGCGAAATATAAAAATTTTGTGACTTGGTATCCTTCTGTGTCCACCTGTGTCCGCCTGTGTCCATCTGAATGGACACAGGTGAGCAATTTCGTTTCACAATCTATATGGCAGCCTACCCAGCGTTATTTGCTTTTTTTTTTTTTTTTTTTTTTTTTTCATTCCTAGGAACCGTATTTGTATATAACGCTCATACTTTAAATTAATAAAGCTCCCGTCTTCTACGTCATAGTTATGTGTAGTGACATTGTCTTGTCTCATTTAGAAAACTAATGACTTTTTTTTTTTTTTTTTCAAGTAGGTCGCTCATACAGTTTTGGAGGTGCCATTTGGAGATCAATGCCTATGTGTCACGAACAGCAAGCAATGTCTAGCTCATGAATTGATGAATGACTTTTGTCTGATTCGAATCTGAAAAAGATCACGTGTGCTTGATTAATTTGTTCCGCTCATTTCCTTCACTCATTCCTCCATGCATAGTTTGCCTGTCAAGCCAAGTCGCGTCTCCTAGTTTTCTAGCTCCGTGAATAGCTCCAAGGATTCTAGAAGAGCTATAAACCAATAACCAAGACTTATAGTGCCAAGGAACCTTGAAATAAGATTGCACCAGATATCTTCCTCGGATCCTGTGTATTAAGTTAACTCAACACTTGGAGTTCCGCATATGGTAAAAGTCCTTAGGAAATATTTGAGTAAGCTTTATTTAGAGTTCTTGAAGCGCGTCTCCGCTTCAGTCAAACAAGTATAAATATGATAGATTTGTAACATAGTAAACCTCAGTCTGCAATAAAACTATTCTTGAATCTCCTAAGTTCATTCTTGTTCCTAAATCACTTACCTTCTCTTGCACTCGTCCTGTCAGTCCTTGACACTATGAGAGGTTTTCGCTCGGAGCAAACGCGTCTCACTGCTACCTAGAGGTCTTCAATAAATCATTCCCTAACCGTGTACATTGAAAACTGTTTTGTGAAGATGTCATCGCCGCTGCCCTTAGTACCTCCGGCGGCATTAGCTGTGCAAGGCAATGTATCCACAGAACGCTGCCTGTTTTACCACTGATGTTATGACCCTGTTATCAAAAAAAAAAAAAAAAAAAAAAGTTATGTATTTGGCAGCCCAGCAGCCACCCAAGAGTGCGAAGTTAAGTGGCAGCCCCAGAAGTAGGCTGCCAAATAGAGGCAAAAATTACTATATTTGGTATGGGCTGCCAAATAGATTAATCCTTTGAATTAAGGAAAAATGCACCCCCCCGTCAGAATAAAATTTTGACCCCCGGTTGAGAATTCCCTTGACCCCCCCGTCAACATTTCTCTTTCCGGAATTCTCATCCCCCCGTCAACCGCGCAATTCTTACCCCCCCCCCGTCAACATTCTGGAGCTGATTTTCAAAAAAAAAAAAAAAAAAAAAAAAAAGAGTATTACATCCTATGATTTCCACACAACTAGTACAGTATTTTAATCTTAACCTCTATTAATTGTAAAGATGGTTTAGGATCGCCAAGCGTTGACGCTGAATAATAATGCAATGTTTTTTTGTCTTTTTCTTTTAAGACTATGTTGGACGCATGTGGTGTATGTTAAGTTGCCGAGGGTTCTGAACCTGATGAATACGAATCTAGGAAGAGATCATTCATCAAGGAACTGATCCACTGATCTACTGTCATGCTTTGATGGCAAGATACAAAGTAAGAGAGGATCAATGGTGTCGAACTAAATAGCTAGTTAGATCTAGGTATAACCAAGAACAGAAAATCTTCTCTTAAAAACAGCTTCAAAATGTTGACGGGGGGGTAAGGATTCCCACAATTAAGATGGTTGACGGGGGGGTAAAGATTTACATTTTGAAAATCTTTACGGGGGGTGTACCGGAATTCTGACGGGGGGACAGGGGTAAGAATTCCGAAAAAATGAATGTTGACGGGGGGGGTCAAGGGAATTCTCAACCGGGGCTCAGAATTTTATTCTGACGGGGGGGTGCATTTTTCCTTAGTCCTAATCCTTTTTATTTGCATGGGGGCCTTTTTTTTATGGATGAAGTTATTTGCACTGCCCCGTACTTACACTGCTCCCACCGTGCAAATAAAAAAAATTATTTGCACGGGAGGTCTTTTTTATTTGCACGGGGTCTCTATTTCATCTACAAGCAGCAACGTGTATCCTACAGCCTACATGATTCTAGCTTTGTATTTCGAAGGAAATAAGCGAAGGTCAGTCTAGAGTAGAGGGAGTCTGGAATTATTACTGTTGGGAGTTGCAGCGCCGTGGGAACTGTGATACTCATCGCGCTCTGTTGCATATACCACAGTATGCAATATTATGATAGAAAAAAATTAGTAAAAACACTAATGCACTAAAAAGATTAGCAGTAGAAATTAGTGGCAATAACGCGCCATACAAAGACGCGATAAATCTTTGATATGAAGTTTTTAGAACGAACCTATGTCATCCTACAGATAGATACGTAGTTACCTGGTATAAGTCCCTCTACCAGAAAATGAATAAATACCCCATGGGTGTGGTGTGTGGACCCATATCCAGACGTAGTAGCAATGATTTCCTTGTCCTTTCCCTGAGACAATAACAGAAACTGAATGTGAGAGAGATCCACAAGAGCGCGAATGAATGAGCCTGAGATAGCTACTTTGGGAAATGTAAACTGAACCTGATGAAGCGGTTAAATGGACCGAAGCCCCTGACGACCATAAATAGCGGATAATTTGTCGCGTTACGCAACAGGCCACGTCGGAAAGATGGTTTTTGAGTACTAATCACGGCGGCCAGGGTTTATGAAACCATGGACATCCATTTGTGCAGTATAGCTGTTTTTTGGCTATAGTGTCTGGGGTATTTTGCTCGTAGAATATAGAGACGAAATCCCGAAGACTGAGAATGATAATATTGATCAGTAGTAATTCATCATATTTTTGTGACGAAGACTCTATTCACGCGCATTGATGCTGTGAAAATGATAATTGGTATAAAGAAAATGGTATATAGTTGGGATGAATGGGTTCTCATCTCTGATTGTTGACTTCAAAAAACTGTTATAGCAAGTGCAAAGATTGTCAATTGATTACTGAACTGGTGCATACTGAGCGTGTAAGTGGGTAAGGGGAGATTCATTTGGGACAAGTTAAAGTCACGAGTGTCTAATGGTTGCGAATTATGAAGTTGTGTGGGATTCAAACAGGCCAAGCAATGTTGAAAGCAAGTGAAATTCTTTGATGCAACTCATAAGTGAAATCAAAAAAAGAGACCATGAGGGAACCTGCCCCAGACTTCAGAAACTGGGCCTGGTGGCTTCAAATTTTATAAATTCGTTCTTCATGTATAATTGTGTAATACATTGCATTTTATTCCGAGGAACCAAGCTGGTTGGTGTGATATTAGGGCTTAAATATTTCGGATTTTTTAACAGTGCTAATTATGCGGATGGTTCAAGAATCGACTTCGATTAATAGAGGGCATTTCATTGCTCGTTTTGGAGAAAATCTTTATAAATTGAGTTTTCAAAGAGAATCCAGAGCCAAATCGCTCCAGATTAGACGAAGAGATAAAAAAAAAAAAAACAGGTAATAGAAAGGTCCAGGATGTAAGAGACAGAAAGTAAGATCGGTGGCATACTCAAGAGAAAATACAATTGAAAGTGAGAGAAAATAAAATGGTTCCAATAGATGGGTGGGATTCGCAATCGACAGGTGAAGGCAACGATGGTCGAACGAAGAAGACCAACATTGACATCGTCTTTGTTAAGAGCACATGAGATGGCAACAGGAGTTAAAAGAGAAAGATTGATCTGATCTCAGAAACTAAGCCGCTTAAATAAATAAAAGTAAAAAAAAAAAAAAAAGAGAACCATGTTCTTTGGTTCTTTCATTCTTCATTTTTGTCCTGTTCTAATCCTCCTCCTCAACGTCCTATTGCATCTGTCATGCCAAAGTCAAGCAATAAGAAAAAAAAGCAAAAAGATGCTGACTTTAAGGTGCGAGTTAAAGCACATGAGTGTAAATTATTGACTGGAGGTTCATAAGAGTTTCTTATCACTTTCTAACCTTGACTATGATCATCATTGCATCGATTGCATCGATGAATTCTATACATGTTATTAGAAAACTAAACTGAAAGTAGGAAAGAAAAAGGCTGTTGCGGACAACTTTACGGATACATCCTTTAAAGCAAAAGGTAAAAATCACTCCAAAGACTATAACTTGTACAATTCCCCCTCCCCAAAGGAGCTCACAACTGTCATTCTTATCCCCCTTTTTTTATAGCAATCTCGCTCCCTAGTCAATCTATTACGCATGACAAGACCACTCTACTCACAAATTCGCGCAATGCCACGTTTGCGGAACTAATTACACAACTGAAGCACTACAGTCCAGGCAATCGTAAAGATGCTATCTTGGGCCTGCGTGATCTCTTTGATCATCATCCTCATCTTCTGTCCCTTCACCTTGGTGTACTTGTCAACGCAATAGTCCGACTTTTAATCGATGATGTATGCTCGTTCTACCTGTTGATTATCTCAAGATAGCCCTTTATGTATATCCATAGACGATCGTGATGTTTAATATGGCCATCATTTCTTTCTCATTTGATCAGTCCAGTATAGTTCGCAAGACATTGCAGAATTTCCTATCAGAGTTCATTCCAATGCTTCATCCTCGAGATGTTCACCCCTTTCTGCCGCTTCTAGTTGTTTACACTTGCTCCGCCATGACACACATTCTGGAGGATATTCGTGAGGACGCTCTAAAGTTTATGGATCTGTGGGTGGCAGCAGGAGGTCAGATTGTTGTTGATGGATTCTGGGATAAAGTATGTATACCGTGAGGCTTATTGAAGAAAGAGCTATTAGTGGGTGCTCGGCTGTAAGAAAGCATGTGAATAACAATATATTAATATTTTTTATCCTTCATAGATTATCCCCAATTACGTGTCGCTTTTGACCTCAGACTCAAATGCTACGAACGTATCCAAGCTCTCAAGTACCATGTCTTTTAATACCTCACTCACGAATGCGACGTTAGGTGGATTGGGATCATCACTCTCTGCATCTAGGCTTGTGTCAAGGGCTAGTACAGGGAAGAATGCGCCAGGGTCACTAAAGGCCAAATGTGATGTCTTGCAGAGCTTGGTTGGATTCTTACAGGAAGGGCTTGGAGGCGAAGGGTGTGAGAAAGATCCATATTGGTTTCTGAGAAACTTCCTAGGGACGCCATATGCTCGCAAATCTTTCAACGCTATTAGAACCCAGTGGGATAGGCATGATAGCTTGAGGGATTCAAGGGGAATCAAGAGGCGAAAATTACAGGAGCAGAACGTTAGCGAGCGCTCCTCTGCAAGATCAATGTATAAGGGTACCGTAGGTAGCGCTTCTGATAATATTGGGGATGGTAGTGAAGCGAGCAGTCAGGAGGGAGAAATGGGCACAGACAACGAATCTATTGATAGCGACCAATCGACTCATTCTGAAAGGAATGTCCAAGATGAGTATCTCATGTTTAATTCTTCACCTTTTATATCTTTCAGCCGTGCTCAAACACATCACGGTATTCTCTCCACGTTCCCAATTCATCCAATTACCTCATGCTCGCCCATGACGAGAACAATATTTGGAGGGATTAAAGACCCGATTAGCGACTTCAGAGAGGCAGCTAATATTCAAATCAGGATTTTTCCGCAACAGGGGGGAAGAGGATCTGCTGCAACAGTGACAGAAGCTAACATCAGTACAAATGGAGGTGGAGAAGGCGGTGAGAACATTCTAGGAGGCATCCAAGGCAGGCTTGCGCAAGTTAGACCATTGATTTCAACTCTACACCCATTGCTTCTCTCCTTATGGCTGGACAATGCACCTGCCGTTTTTGCTTCTTCAACAAGCATCCATGCCAACCATACCTTGGCAATCACTCACCTAGTTCTCAAGATTTGGGGGATTCTCTGGAGGGCAGCTCTTGCGCGTCCTAAAAAAATGAATGCAGATTCTGAACTCGAAGCAAGCATGGAAAGAGAAGAACAAATATGGTTAGAGGAGTATCTCCAGAGCTTGCTTCGACATGTTTCAATTTATTTTCCATTCGGCAAGGATACTCTAGCCATGATGAACCCTAAGGTATGTCTCCTGTAACACATCCTTTGTCAAAGAACATTCAAGTGGAGATTGTCTCCTCATTTTTTTGAGCCCTACTAGCCTGAAAGGATATTTTACTTATCTTAGTTTTCATTGTCTCTATGGTCGTCCTTGGCTATTCTTGGCTATATAGGTGACTGCAACACTGCAAGAGATGAATACAATCTATTGTGAACTGACTTCGCTTTTTTTACTGGCTCCGGGTGTTGGAAGAACACGGCAGCAACAGAGGAGCAGTGTGCAGAAGCCAAGCTACAAATCGGAGATAAAGAAAAGACAAGTTGTCAAGACTTCATGTCAGCCCTCCAATAAAGAGGTCAAGAAACGCCAGGCAGTAACGGTAGCAGATGAACCTTTCTTTTCTTCGTCATCAGACTATGATAGTGACGAGGATGTTTTGGTGTCGGAGGGTCGTAACGGTGATGATACGGTCGTTGTACAGACCGAAGCCCCTAAATGGGCAGATCAAGTCGTTCAATTCGTTCTTGACGCACTAGGATGGGTTCATCCCGAAGCTGAGGATAAAGATTGTCTCATCAATACTAATACTGGAAAACCGTCGCGAATGAGCAGCTTGTCAACTGATTTTAAAGCACAAGATTTAGTTTCACTTTTACCAACACTGTGGACTTTGCTGAACTGTCTGGAACCTCGAAGAAGGGAATGGGTTTTTGAAGGGCTAATGAATTTCTTTGACAATGCTCATGTTCAAAGTGGGTCCAAGAAAATATTACTCCAGTTTCTTGCTCTAGTTATCAAGGTATGCAACCACAAAGATGGGTTTAAATATCCCAAATTCATTAGAATCAACAATGACAAAAACATAGTGCTTATGGTATTAACGGCAATGTCGTATATACCTTTAAAGATTCAATCACATCCTCACTATACTGGCTCTTTCAGCGTCTTGATTCCTGGAGCGTGTGCTGGAACAGTACAAAGGGATCTAGCAGGAGTGTCCAAGAAATATCGACGAGAACAAAAGGAGTCAGTGGAAAGGATGTCCCGGCTCCTTACGGCTAGTCTACTCAAATTGCCTAAACTGTTGTGGGATCTTGGAATCGAGAGGATTGAGACAACTCAAATTATCTTAGACTTGTTAGCATGGGTGGTGATGATTGCAGGCGATTGTCATACAGAAACAACACATGAAAAGGAGCGTGTTGAATTTTTAAAGACTTTCCAGAGCTATATGACCCTCTTCTTCTGTGTCACAGTGGCAGGAAAAGACAACAAAGACGAAAAGCGGACAGTGATGGGACCTTTTGTGAACTTGCCTCCTAAGCTTCAAAGACGCGCCATCGAGATTGTATATTACTTGGATGTAGCTCCTACTATTTCGTTTTCCGAAGTAGAGAGTGTATCACGAAGAAAAAAGGATACTAGCATACAAAAGCTGGCGCCTCTGTTGGCTGCAGTCAAATCTTGCTGTCAAGGTAAAGAAAAAATGATTTGCTTTCTTATATTGATGAAGCCATGGTACTGACAATTAAACCATTCTATTGGCAAAACTAGTTGATCTTCCTCAGGAAACAAGACTGTATATCCAAGAAACACTCCATATCAATGCATGCAATGTAAAATAATCTATTATATGGTGGCTTTCAGTGCCATTGAGTATGCCAAAAAGCTGAGGAAGAGAAAGCTCTCCTCCTCTTTTAATATATTTTTAATAATAAAGTATGGTTACAATGCGTCTGGATTGCTACTCTGTTATCGAGACTACTACTGCTACAATGTGAAAAATGAAAGCGAGCGATGTTACAATGTACAGCTTACAAGAAAACAATAAAAAAGAAAGAGCAAAATTGATAAATATCTACTGTACAGCAATCATTTTACAAAAAAGAAAAAAAAAAAAATGCCAGATGATGCTAAAAAAACGCGCGAATTGTACAATAATAAAAAAGTAACAAAAGAAAAAATAAAAATAAAAATGAAAATAGGGGTCCTTTAAACCAAGACGAGATCAAATGCAAGAGTAGTTGAGAGATCAGATGTCGAGTCATTTGAGGAAGTCCCTTGGAAAATTTGGGCGTAGCAGCTCTCTTCATCATCTGGACTGACGAAAGCTTGCTCGAGCATCAGACGTTTACGGGAATTACGGCTAGACATCACATAAACGGGAGAACTTGAAAAATCCGAAGATCCATCACAATTTTCTTCATCCTCCGAACCAAGGAAGGCATAGGTAGAACATCGCTTCTTCTTGGCATGAAGCATCGAGTCCATCTGAAGGCTTGTAGGCGAGGTGGAGAGCATGGGATACACATCTCCACCATCTAAGCGATCTAGAGCAACAACCGTGGCTGCGGCAGCTGCACAAACAGGACTAGGATAAACAGTCTCAAGGTTGTTGACATAAGCACTGGACATAGGATGCTCCTCGGCAAGTACAGGGCTCTGTCCAATCAAACATGACACGTCAGAAAGGACGGGTGTGGTGGGTGCCGAAAGATAGGCGGCCAACTCTGATGGTTCGATGTCAGGGATTAGAAACTCCAAGAGCTGTTGTTCAGTAGGAGAGAGAGGAGGTGTGAACAAGAAAGATTCGCTGTTTGTCCTGCTATGAAAGACTGTGTGAGTTGCATGGGTCTTGGTAAGTTGTGAAGGGTGTGATAATGAATAGGATGAGGACATAGTAAGTGTGGGAGACATGGTCATAGTACGCGTGCGAAAGATGTATAGATTGATTATTATCACGTGAATCAGGGAAATAAAGGGTGGAAGGAAATAAAGGAGTTGAAATTTCTTCCCGCTGAGAGGCAGACAAGCGGGACGCTGTTGACAGGAAAAACAAATGACGGAAATGGAAGGATAAAAAGATCAAGAACGGCAGGTATAAAAAAAAAAAGAGGGAAACAAAGAAGTATGGTCAGGTTTATATAGGATTGAAAATGTAGACTAATATTGAATTGGAATGAATTAGATCCATTGAAAGAGAGTATTGAGTCGGATATTGCTCACATACTTTATAATTGAGCTTGTTTTGTATGGATTAGAATATGTAATGCAAAATGATACAACGGTCAGCCGGAAGGAAGGGACTAGAAACAGAAAGGAACGAACGAAGAAAGACAGACAACAAAAAATAAACAAATAGACGCAAAACAAACAAGCATGACAAGACAAAGTAGGATAAAATAGCGTGTGAGTCGGAGATTGGATGAGGACGGACGGACTGAGGACTATGGGAAACAGGACATTGGACACACAAATGGAAATGTAGACAAGGGGAACAAAGCGGATATAAATCTTGTGTACACTTTGGTATCTTTGGTATACTTGTATATATATATTTACAAATATATATATACAGTGGACATGGAAACTGAATAGAGAAAAGTATCTATATAATAAATTATAATAAATAGAGACAATATCAATAATAAATTAATATATATATATACTATATACATATATATATAATAAATAGACAGCTGTTAAACTAGACTATAATACAATACACGCAAGCTAGACATATATGTTCATATTTATAATATGATTTAAACAGATTACCTATTTTAGCGGGTATATATTTATTAAGTTTAATCTTTAAGCCTATAGTCAGTATTGTATATATATAATATATATCTGTACCTAATGGTCTAGCGCGGAGTTAAGTGATATAATATATATCTTGATATGTCTTTTTTACTTTCTGGTGGTAGACTGGCTGGGTGGAGAAAGGAACCAAGGAGGTGTAGGACTGATAGAAACCAACAGGTCAACAAGCCGCGCAATAATTTAAAAATACATTTAAATACAATTGAATAGATATAAATGTGTATATATATATATATATAATATAATATATTCAAAGTAAGAGTTGCTGTCTGAGCTGAGCTGAGTTGAGATGAATACAGTGCACGCACGCACACATGGAATTGAATGAAAAAAAAGGAGAAAGAACAACTCGTTTGTATATATATAATATATTTGTCTAATTCAATGGATTGTTTTGTGTCCTTTTGGTTCGATGACATCTCCCTCGCTCAATTTTTTTTTTGCTCTCTCCTCTTAACTGGAAAAAAGAAGGAGCAAAAAAACAAGGGGCTCTTGCATTGCATGAAGCAGCCAAACCTTTTTTAGCAAGCAAAAAATAAAAGCTTAGTCTCGCATCTTATGCTCTCCATGCCACTCATTTTGTTGTCTTTGCGATCACACTCACGCACGCACGCGCATGAGCATGCACAGGTTAGCACAAGATGATCGGCTCTTTGTTAGCCGTAACATCAAAGCTTGCAAATTTATATACGTATAATATATAATCAGAGACATCTAATACAAAATCATCACATTTGAGAACACACAAAAGAACAAAGGACAAGCCTGTTCAACGTACAAATTATAAAATCTTTATTCCATATATGTATAATAAACATATACATGTATATATATATATATATATATAGAGATTATGTACTGGTTCATAAGATATATAATAACCCGGCAAATCTAGCCGATTATTTCGGATGTATTGGTAGCCAATTAATTTACTTGTTGTCAGCCACCAAAATTAATTTATTCATCTCTTTGTGTAAAAATATATAGGTTGTAACCTACTGAACCGGACCATACATTTGTAGTCTGGTCCCTACATGAAGATTGCTGTTTTTCAACTGCCGCTGATTACGACTGCATGAGAGAAGCCCCAAGAGAAGAAAAGGGATAGACTACTGTTTAATTTGTATCTCACCTCTTTGTTGTCGATGGGCTGCAGTCTATGACGAGATAGGAGACACAAACAGAGAATGAGGGAATTAATGAAAGGCGTGTGGACTCAAGACACTCAATGATTTACACAATGTAAAGAGCAACCATGCATCACACATTTAAACAAACATTTATAATATATTATATATATATATGTGTATTTGTATATTTATCAGGGTCCTCTATTACAGTCCATTTCACACGCGCATCCATCTGTCCCTCCCCTATTATGAAGTACTATAGACTAGTGCATTCTTGAACAAATGTGCATGGTTCGTGATTCCGCAGATAGGTCCTCATCATCCCTTTCCACAACTCCTCCCACTTCTTCGTTTTCATGCGTTTTACATATTATGCTCCAATCCTTATACATATGCCGTATACAAATATACCTTCATGCGACAATCTTTTTTTGGTAAGTCACAGATTTTCGGAGCAGTTGCAGCTGCGAAGAAAGGCCTGCATTCAATTTGCTTTTCAAACATCCCGTATAAAATTATCCACAAAATCAGCCTTCTAATGGTAAGCCTTGATGTATACTTATTCTATTCCAAGTTGATTTACGGGATAAATCAGGGACTCAAGTACTTTTTTTTTTTTTTTTTTTTTTTTTTCAAAAAAAGCCCGCAGCAACGCGGTCTGTGGAGACCAATAAAAAGATGAAGTTCCTTTCACTTCAACTCCATGCATGCTGGAACCTGCATAGACCGAGCAGGGTCTTTATTTCGGGGGATTTCCAACTGCCGAGATGCGTGGCTAGGTTAGATTACAGGAATAAACTTCAGTAAATCTAAAACAAGTAATAAACATTAAGGTCTACCTCGTATTGTCGTGAACCTCCACATGTAAAATCAGCCACCATATCATTCCTCTACTTTAAATATATATACCTATAATATTATATATATACCTATAATATTATATATATATATATATATATGTGTAATATACATGTTTATATTATAAATGAATATCTCAAACATCAAAATGAACCGCCACAAAACAGGTCTTTTTTCTCAGCGATGTGGGCTCCTATTGAGAACAGAATCATATTATATAACGTACCAAAGCGTCGCATGGACAGAGAGCCAGAATCTGTCCACCAATCTAACGTCACAGATTTTTGAAAGAAAAAGGAGGTGGCAGGGCTGGCGGGAGTCGAGAGTCGACATGTCCATTTGTTGGTTGTTTGTTTATTGCCATAACTCTTATTCGATCATGATATGCCTTGTTGCCACAAACAAAAAAGGGTGTCCCTCATCGATGCCTTACCATCAACAGAGTGAATGACTTGTAAATGTTATAATAAATAGCCTATATTGGCTTATACACATTGTGGCGATCTGTGCTTTTGTTGCTAAATGTCAACAATGTAGTAGCGTTACATTTATACATACACATTTATATATACTATATATATATATATACATCAACTTTGGTCTCGTGGAGTTTCTGAATCTCGAACCCACTAGACTATGGTAACTTGGCAGGCTCATTGCTGATGTTATTACATTTATATTTATACATGCATCTTAGAGAGTGATATTAGACCCTTATTACCTTACACAAATCGGCTCTTTTCTCCTTAATTTTTATTATGTTAACCCGCCTCGCTGGACGGTGAAAAATGCTGAAACATAACGGGCTAGGGAGAAACGGATAATTTCTACGCAATGATCGCCACCGCCTATTTTAATTGCATTTGTTATATGATGACACCCAGCGAAACATTCCTTACTTGAATAGACTCACAATCCCAATATAAGGATGCTGTGCTTCCTTGGCTGAAACAGCTTTTCTTACATTACAGCTTAACGATAAACATTACGTTAATTCTTGCTCAATTATAACGTTTTACTAAAATAGTTAGATTTATAAACAAGTATTGCAATTATAAAGACAATGATCATTATTATTAAATAGTGATCGTTTCTCACTCCATTTCACGTGGATGTTAAGATCAGAAAGTATGGAAATCAGGCACACGCGATCCTTTTATGGCTTGTACAGGTTAGTATAGCCAGTTCCATTTGGTCGCAATCCCTTATATTTTTTGAATACTCTTAAATGTATTGGCAGCCAATTGACTCGCTTGTTATTGCAAGTGGTGTGACTGGTCAACTGGTCATTAAAATTAATTTCAGTTTATCTTGTATCCACTAATCTGTCGAACCAGCTTAAAGGAATCTTTGCGCAAAGCCTTTGTAGTCATAGGCGGGTCCGCCTCACCTAGAAACTACCGAGTATAAAAGCCAAAGAAACTTCCTTCTTAATAAAGTCTTCAGTTTTCCCCACATGTCTTATTCTTCATCCGCAGTTCATCTTGCCATTTATCTTTTTCCCCTTTTCACAACAAGCATTTGTCTTCCGGTAACTCAGTTTGTGAGCTCACCTATAAAGCTCCCATCTTTTGACATTCTATGGTGCTGTTTGTAGTCAAGGTTATTTGACTCTATTTTCTCTTGTTAACCTTGTTGACACCCTTTGTCCTGCCTTTTCCTGCTTGTGTCTATCTTTCTGTCCCTTAAGCGAAGATATACCTATTTTTTACAACAATATCACCAAACCAATTCATTATAGATTAGGATATGTGGGGTCTATATGTTGTCTAAATAGTCCTCCCCATAAAAAAACACCATCTAGACCAAGCATAGAAATAAAGAGATTAGTCAAGAAAGCACTGTCAAGCTAATACTTACAACTTTTTCAAGACGAAGGCCTTTCCCGACCTAGTCATGTTTGTAGTAGCTCATGAAATATTTTAGACAGACGAATAGTAACCAGGGAGCAGAAGTGAGAATAGGATGTGGGTTCACACATCACATCCATGGGGCATTTATCCAAATTTGTATCAAAATAAAACTGCAAGTTTGTCTCGGGCACCACACCATGGGACATAGAGCTGTTAGTATGTCTGTATTATAAATTTTCATGTAACACGTGTACTGTGAAATATGCAACTGATCATATCCTATTGTTGTTGCCGGCTTGGTGTCTTTCCTCCATGGATTCAAAGAAGGCTATTTTGGTATCTCGAGTTTAGGCTCAACCTGTCAGTGAGCATTGGTGCAACGCATATAAGGCACACAGGCTGTTGACGAGCCTACTTCTCACCTTCACCGTTTGACGCAGGTCAGGGTTGTGACGGTCTAGCGAAGAAAACGTAAGGGCATTAACAATACCAGGATCGCATTAGACGGTAGTTGTGGTATTTGCAAATGAGCATCGCCCTGGCTCATGGAATATGAGTCCAACGTTTTCAAGAAGTTTGGGGCCCCTCTTCCAGCTTATGTTTGCGTAGTCTTCATCTATCAGGCCTTCACCGGCTGCCTTTAAAACACGCCGTGTTAAGGAATCCTTGAGAAAGTTTCAATTCCTGGCTGAGATCTTCTTCATCTACGTCAGACTGCTGCTGTCTCTTCGTCTGGACTGTGTCATAGGCAAGTGGATTCAGAACAAGGCCATTGGTAAAGTCGTTCCTTTGAGTTTGAACCGAGTTATACCTTTGTCTTGTGCCTGTAGGGGTACCTTGTCTCGATAGCCATGAAACATGCGATCTCCTTCAATGTCACAAAGAGAGCCTGTATCTAGACTTCTTTTGTTCCCTGTACACATTCAAACACTGCAGCCTTGGAAGGATTGTCGAGAGGATGTCAGTTAGGACGTGTTCAGACAGATACACATACCGAAGGGGGACGTAAGGAAGTCTGTTTTTTTTTTTTTTTTATTTCTTGTTGATTGTCATGGCGAAGGCTTGATTTGGTAAATGTAGATGATTGGAGAAGAGCTGTAAACAATACTCAAAATCCAAAAAGTTAAAACTTGTCGCTGAGAATCTTGTTTTTTAGTTTAAATGCGAGTTGTTCCATATTCATCAGCCTTTTGTTTCGTTCTCTTTCATACACCTATAAATACGTCCTGCCTCCCTCTCTTTTCCCTCTCTCTCTCTCTCATTTTACAACGACATTGCTTTCGCGCTCTCACCCGTACTCTTACATCCTCATCCCCTCACAGATCATAACTTTTTGCTTTCTTAAAGGTAAACTATCTCTACTCTAACAACTTCAGCTTCAATCTTTAGCCGTTTAAACCAACATTGCTTGCACTGTTTTACACTATACTTTCTCTAGATGGGTATTAAAGGACTCTATTCATACCTTTCAAGGAGAGACCTGCCACCAAAGGAGATTGATGTACATGAGCTTGCTGCTGAACCCCATTCATCTTTTGAGATGGATCTGCTTGGCACTTTCCACAGCGATATACATAATATCATCCTAAGGAGATTCAGCCGGCAGAGTTCTTTCACTGCCTGCGGCCATGCTATGGCTAGTATCATTCGAAAGATCTTTGGTCCTCTTGCCACAGTGACGATACACATTGATGGGCCTCGCTGCGAAGAAAAAACGCGCGCCTATAGGGACCGAGATGCTAAGCGTACAGCAGCGGATACAAAACTCGATACGCTCATAGCCAACATGGAAACCAAGTCCAATGAAGGCAAATGGGAATCTCGAAGCCATATGATTGCCATTAAAAAGAATCTTCGACAGCTCTTCACATTCAGTCATAACGAGAAGAGGGAGCTCGCGGCCCCATTCGGTCGATACAATAGCTTTGTGATTTGCCATTGTAGAAATGAAGCTGATGTGTGTATTGTCGCCAAATGTACACCAACCAGTATCGCTGTGTCTGGGGACTCTGACCTTCTCATCTATCCTTCTATAAAAAGAGTTCTTCGTCCAATCCCTCGTCGCCATCACATGTTTGCACTCTATGAGAAACAAGAGGTCCTGCAAGCCCTTGGGTTTTCAAGGGACAGTCAACTCCTGGTCTATGGCGTTATATCCGATAACGATTACACCCCAAATATCCCAACCTTTGGTCTTGCTACAAATGCTGAGATTATCTCTGCGCTCACTGACACTGATGCCGTAAAGTTGACGGTATCATATGTTCGTGAGGTCCATGCCCGTAGCCGTCGAACTCCTGCAGAAGGCCAGTTTGACCATTCAATTAATGTTTTCTTTGGTAGGATCCAAACCCAGGCTTCACAGCAACCAACCGCTGAAAGATTCCTTCATTACCATGATAGAATGAGGACTGCGATATCTGCTAGGTACCAGAATAAAAATAATCAACCTCAACCCAGGTAAGCTCCTTCAAATGAACATTTTCCAAAGCATATACAAAAAAAAAAAAAAAAAAAAAGTCATCTAACCCTTGACATTGTTGTGCCTAATTAGATTCTATATCCCTAAACGCGCAAAGCCGAATCGCTATCGGCCTGTTTTCCCTACCCAGAAAAAGGAACTTTCCCCTAAGAAATATGACCTGACCAACTGCAAACAACACGACCGTCCCGTCAGCTCCAGCCATCAAAGAAAGTCCCCCAAAAAAAAGGAAAAGGAAAAAAAAGAGGATGACAAAGAAGAGGAGGTTAAGGAGGAAAAGAAGAAAAAAAAGAAGAACAAAGGGAAGGTCAAGTATATCAGAAAGACTGATAAGACCAGGAAAGTGAAGGAGGCTACTGCCGAGGACCGACGGTTGAAGAGGGCTCACCCCACTGTTGCATTAACTCTGGGCACGTTAAAGACATGTGTAGTTGCCAAGCTGGACTCTACTTCCGATCCCAATCTCAATCCCGAGCAACTTGCTGCAACAATTCAAGGGCTCATTCAATCATTTATTAAAATGTTGAATGAGGCACGGATTTGAGCTTTCTGGGCCTGCGCCTTGTGGGTCGATAACCTGCTTACCACTGGGCCATCCAATCCAGCTGATCTCCCACAACTCCTAGATGAAGTTCTTGATAGCAGGGACTTTATTTACGGCCTTGCTGCGTTGTTGTATCACGGAGTGATGAGTCCATTATCTAGGTATAGCAGAGAAGTGAAGAAAAAAGGCGAAGGGAACGTAGCCAAGCCGTCCCAGCTCAAAGCATACGAAAACTTCTATGCAAAGACAGGGCTTGGTCCTTTAAACCAGATCTATCCCGATTTGGTGATCAGCAAGTCGTCTCGGATGGTCATGGTCCCTGTTCAAGCAGCGCTAAGGTCTCACTATCGGAATGTGCAGGTAAATATAATCTTATAATATGTTTATAGAAATGTTCCTAATCATTTCTTCAATATAATGTCTAGTTTGACATAGATATTCCAGGCGATGGAAGAAGTTCCATCCAATTCTTTTTTGAGCAAAATGCAACTGCCAAAAAATATCTGGATTTCCCTACGTCTGCTTTCTCGCCTCGGTCTCTCTGCCTAACGGAAGCCTGCCTCCTGGATATATTACGGTCTAACCCAACAGTTCGAGAGGAAATAGTCCAATTGTTGGAACTAAACATGAGTACCAAGGGGGCTGCAGAGGACAAGATCCTTAACCACAAGGGGATATTGTTGCAGGAGCTGTTTTCCTTGAAAGGATACAAGGACGTTGGACTGCAATCTGATGATGGCCCTAGAAGGAAACTACGGACATCGTTCTTTACAAACGGCCTTACCCTAACACTTCTTGCCTATGACACATCGAAGCAAAAAAGAGGTAGAGGTTCGCAAGCTGCCCAACCTTCGGATACTCAAAGATCTCAAGCAGTCCAGGCTTCTTCAAGTGCTCAGCAGGGAACCTCGTCTTCAGGCCATGGTGCAAGTGATGGTGGTGATGACGGAGACGACGACGGAAATGAAGATGACGATATCTTGCTGGGTATCAGCGATATTGACTTGCTGGAAGTTGATGAACCATTCTTAGATGGCGACGAGGGAGAAGAAGCAGTCGAAGAAGGTACATCAAGCACAAATCTACTGTCCCCGGTGAGTCCCAGTCCTTGGCGTGAGATCAACTGGAAGCAGAGATCCCGTCTCCTCGAGAATGTAGAAGTTAAATATGACACCCAGGCAGCATGCCCTCCCCCCGAAAGCACCATTATCATTGGGATCGATCCAGGCGAGAGGTACTCGATGACAATTGCAAAGTTGGATCCAAGGAAACCTAACGAACGTGAGATCCTCCGGATTTCTAGAGCGTATCTTTACAACCATCCAAGAAGTTTCAGGGCGAGCTAGAGAGGCGAAAGCTTAGAAGAGGAATTACAGAGATTTGAAAGCAATATTCCGTCATTCTCAAGGCCTACTTTAACACAGTATTTCGCTTATATGAGCTTGCCGCTAAATCAAGCTCCATCAAGTACTGGAGGTAGTTTCTCTGGTAGTGGGGTTGGGACCAGTAGTAGCAGTGGAGCAGGGACCGGTAGTAGCAGTGGAGTTGAGGCCAGTAGTAGCAGTGGATCTGGGACCAGTGACGACAATAGGGAGACTAAATATAGGGCGCTTGTCGAATTCTATAATGACGGGTGGTTTGTTCGGAATAGCTGGGATATTAGAAAAGCACAGAACGGATGCGTTGATTGTGTGATTAAGGCAATTCTGAAGCTTGCGGGCGGAAGCCATGGAAGAAGAAGAGATGCCAATACGAATGCGGTGATCTGTATTGGACTAGGATCATTCAAGACAAACCGAGGACAAGTATCGAAGCATGGGATATTGATGAAGAAGCTTGTTGAAAAGGTAAAAAAAAAATCCCTTGATCAATGACATTCAATTTTTGAGTCTCTTTTTTAACGAGTATTAAATCTGGCTCGAACAGGCAAAATCTCTAGACTACCCCATTGCAGGTTGTCATGAATACTACACATCTGCCAAGTGTCCACGGCCTCACTGTGACAGTATATTGGAGAATGTTCCTTTTCGATCCAAGTACTGTCGAAATTGTAAAGCATACTTTGATCGAGATGCTGTTGGTGCTGAGAACATCGCAAGGGTCTGTGAGTCGCAGATAAGAGAGCAAAAACGACCTCAAAATATATGCCGCCGGACGGAGGAACTCAAGGCCAAGCTTCTAGCGGTAGTGGCGGCGGTGGAGGTAGTGGTGGCAGTGGTGGTGGTAGTAGCAGATCCACAAAAAGGAAATTTTCAGATGAAGGAGGAGGAGGAGGAGTAGAGGGATCAAGACCACCGAAAGGACCTTTGCTGGGTCCAGGAGGAGGCGGAGAGACAAGCCGGCAACAACAGTAGGACACAATCTACTACAAACATGACTAGGTCCAGAAAGGCCTTCGTCTTAAAAAAATTGTAAGTATTGGCTTGATAGTACTTTTTTTCTTATTTATTTATTTATTTCTGTGTTCTAATACATTTCTTCTTTTTACAATAGATGGAATGTCGTTTTTTAATGGGACGGACTATATTGGTAGTTCAGTCAACAGCTATTAATATTTATTTGCAGTCAATTTTGCCAAAAACAATTTTTTGGTATCATTCCTTCAGGTTTTCACGCCAGAGTATGCAGCAAGGATTTCTGGCATGTAGTTCATCACGAGTGAAGAGACTGAAAACCTACAAGATGAAAACACGAGGGATTTTTTTATATATATTGATATGCATTTTTTTATTAGATGAGGTCAAAGACTCTTTCTTTTTCTGATAAACTTGCTTATACTTTTTTTTTTTTTTTTTTTTTTTTTAATAAAAAAAACTTACAAGATGGTTGCAGTTGGTGAACCCATGAGTCCACCTTCACTTGCGCGTTGATTGAGGTATGATTCAACTGAGAATATCATCCCTAACCAAAGACAGGTTCGGTTCTAGTTGATGCATAAAAATGTTATTACAGTATATATATTAATTAACTGCATGTCATTTTCTTATATTCCTGAAAAGCTAACGATGGTACTTTCTTTTGGAGTAATATTTGATCTTTATGATTGCAGATGACATCAAGAATTGTTAGCTTTCATTGTATCGTGATATGCTGTGAACTGTCACACATCTGAGATACTATACTCGAAGACGGATCGAAATGATATGGTGCATGATCAAATGGAGTGCTAGATAACATCGGATGGAGCTAAGTTTTAATGGTGTTTCCTTTAAGGATTTATACGCTCTTTCGTTCTTCATCAGCAAATAGTCATGTCGCTATCGCGCTCTTGCTGCGATATATGGTTGATTGTCCTAGCGATTCATAATTGACTAAAACTTTGGATAAACAATTTAATTCAGTACTTAATACTTGCCCTAATCATCAAGCCAATGACAGCTAAAATAAAAGAGAGAAAAGAGAGGACTTATGAGCTTGTCGACTTGTTAGCAGCACTCGAAAAGATATTTGTGTTCATTGACACATACCAGCACAAAGAGCAACGAATCCGTGTACATCTGGATCGTCATCTTCAATACGCTTAACCTCAGGTTTGTATTCGACAATGTGATCAGATCGCCTCGGATCTGCAGAGGAAGATGTGGACGCTGATGGAGCAGACATTTCTGCAGAATGTGAAAGAATGAGCTTGTGTATGAACTTATTTGCTTCCCAGAGTTATCATTTGTAATATGTGTCAAGCCACAGGCATATTTGTCCTAGAATCGTCCTTCCAACCGTGGGTCAAGCGATAGAACAGCTTATAAATATTAGTGGTAGAGACTATCCGCTACTTTGCTCTACTTTTATAATCCGGAATAGTCAATATATTTCATATATGTATTGCCTGCTTACTCCGGAACTTCTGATACACTTGAAAACTACTTTGTTGACTCTAACCCCTTGGTTATGTCGCGTATACTATGGTAATGAGTGGTAGCCAATTGAACTAAGGAGGGGCCTTCAGAAAAATTGTGCGCTAATTAGTAGAGCGGTGATAGCGATAAGCACCTTGGAGTTTACGGTCAGCGGGCCTAAGATACCCTTACTGTATGATGAGTAGGGGTTTCCTTCAAGAGACTGCGGTGTGCAAACGCTTGCCTCTTTCGGCAACGACGACATTATGATGGTGTTGTAACGAGCACCATAATAAGAAGAGTATATCAAGTATCCACATGAGCTCTAGGACATCCATGTTTGGAACTATTCTTGCTAGAGTCAACTCCCTTATCATACTGAGAATGATCAGAGTATTCATAATCTATTAATCTATTGGGATAAGAGATAAGATGTAGACAAGTCAAGTGTAAGGTGTTAGAGTCTGTATGTTTGAAATGGTCAAAATGGTCAGTGAGAAACATACGTGATTCAACCCTTTAAGTGGCGTGCGACAAGCTAGAAAAGTCATGTGACGTGAGCGCCACAAGTGTTGGCAACAGGGAAAAGGTATAGCAAGGAAGAAGCCGTTCACAAGCACCAAGACATGCTCGTACATGGGATTTCTAGGGATAAGGCTCTTACCTCATATTCCGTTGAGGATGTTTGAAATATCATAATAAGTAACGAGAACGAAAGGAAGATGTGTGTTTAATAAGATTAAGGATCTTCTTTAAAAAAAAGGACAGGAAACAATAATGAAGATCCATATAAATGGCTGCTAATGCAGCAACATTCCTATTTCATAAGGTCCTCACTGCCCAAGTCATAGGCAACAATGAAGGAAAGATGTAAATTAAAAGCAGGATCTGAAAGTAAGTTATTGGGCATTTTCGTCCGCATGATCACTAGGATTTTTTTTGCTCAAGTGAAGCCAGGTCAATCCAAGCCAAGCTCCATGAGCCTATTCCTCCCGTTTGATAATAAGCTCTTCATAAGTTTTGTCATAGCTGTGTACTCAGGATATCAACCCTCTCCTTTTACCATCCTTGCAAGCTACCCATAGTCTATGACTAGCCTTTGTTCATCCCTTCGAGCTGTTCTTTAGGAGCAAACACTCGACTGTCAATTTAATTATACCTTTCTTTGCCATATTTATGGGTATATTAAGGTATGGCGTTTGTCACCGTGTCCTGTCCACACGATCATATCGCCACAGTGATGTATGAGAGAGACATCATGGTTTATCTTGTTTATCTTAGCCTTACCGTCCCTAACACCCTCTTTTCTTCCTTTGTATGCACGTGGCCTCTTCAAATAAACTTTTTTATAGGCACAGGTAGCTCCAACGATCTTTATAGTAGTAATGCTCCAAAGAAGATGAGAGAAAGAAAGAAAAGAAAAGAAGAGTGTGTATTTGTCCATGTAAGAGATCCATGTATTGGCGTATTCGCTTCGTTGCGATGGCGTATTTCTATCCATATCTATGTGAGCGAAGCCATCATATTCAAACTAGAGTTCTGTACCGAAAGTACTGAGCTGACTTGAAAGGCACAACATGTTAAAGATCCATGTATTGCATGTTGTTTGCATGTTTATAAAAAAAAAGGCTCAGGTAATCAAAAATTTAGTGCTACACAAGACAAGACATGACAAAATCAGTCACTAGATCGATACATGTATAATTGCTGACCCAACGAAACGTCTGAACTTAAAACAACACAAGAGGACTTTTGGTTTGCTGTCAAAGTTGATTACGACTGCATGACAAGAATAAATACCCATCTCTTCTCTTCTTTCCTTAATTCAACCTCATTTACTCATCACTACGTTTTACAAACCAAAACATCATGGCAAGTATTTCATTTTCATTCTCTCTTCTCCCTCTCTCTCTCTATCGTCAATAGCATGAAAGAATAGTCCAAAACGTCCATTAACAAGTTTACATATTCCCTCATTGATTGGCTTGTTAATATCTAGTCCAACAATAAATATTCCGAATCAGAGACTGTCCTTATCAAACAGCAATTCAATGCCATCGATAAGGATGGCGATGGCTTCATCACCGAGAAAGAGTTCATTGAGTCTCTCAAGAACTTGAACCGTGATCCTGAGGAGTACGATATTCAAAGGTTCTTCTCTCGCGGCGACAATAACAAAGACGGCAAAATCAATTTTAATGAGTTCTTGGAAGTCTACATGACTCTTGGCCTCAACAACCCCAACTCAGTCTCGGGTCAGCCAAAGCAAAAGAGCGCCCAGGAGGTGAGTGCCATCTTCCAGAGCTTTGATCGTGATGGTGATGGGTCCATCTCAGCAAAAGAGCTCAAGGAGGTCTTGGCCAGTCAAGGAGAAAAGCCCACTTCTTCTGATATCGATGACATGATCAAGGCTGCTGACAAGAACAATGATAACAAGGTTGATCGCGAGGAGTTTGCCAAAATGGTTTAGTATACCATTCTGCTATGCCCACCAGTTCTTCTTTATTTATTATCATAACTTCCGTATAGTTTGTCCCATTAAAAATCGGGACAGCCCATCTAGATCAAGGATATTGTAAAAAGAGCAAGGAATACATTAGTGCATAGAAGTAAATAAATTAACTAAAAAATATTGTCAAATCAATACTTACAATTTTTTTAAGACGAAGGCCTTTCAGGACCTAGTAATATTTGGTAGTAGACCAAATTGTTACTGCCGGCTTGATGTCTCTACGGCATATATTTTGCAGGTCATTTTTGCTGTATTATCTGCGACTCACAGACCCTTGCAATATTTTCAGTACCAACAGCACCCCGATTCAAGTACTGTCGAAATTGTAAAGCATACTTCTGATCAAAGTATTCGCAGTGAGGTCGTGGATACTTAATACTCCATTTTAAAGACCCAAAAATTAAATGTCCATTGATCATGATTTTTATTTTTTATTTTTTTCAACCTTTCCAACAAGCTTCTTCGTCAATATCTCATGCTTCGATGCTTGCTCTCGATTTGCCTTGAATGATCCAAGCCCAATACAGATCACCACATTCGTATTGGTGCCTCTTCTTCTTCCATTACTTCCGCCTGCAAGCTTCAGAATTGCCTTGACTACATAATTAACGCATCCATTCAGTGCTTTTCTACTGTCCAGATATTTCGAACAAACCATCCATCATTATAGAAATTGACTAACACTCTATATATAGCCTCTCTATTGTTGTCATTGGCTCCAACTCCACTACCAGCGAAGCTATCTCCAGTACTTGATGGAGCTTATTTTGGCGGTGAGCTCGTATAAGTGAAATACTGTGGTAGAGTGGGTCTTGAGAATGACGGAATGTTGCTTTAAATTACTGTAATCCCTCTTCCAAGCTCCCGCCTATCTAACTCACTCCGGAACCTCTTGGATGATTTGTAGATACGCTCTAGAATCCGGAGGATCTCATGCTCATTGGAGGGGGTTTTTTTTGGATCCAACTTTACAATTATCACCGAGCGCCTCTCGCCTGGATCCAATAATAATGGTGTTTCCAGGGGAGGGCATGGTGCATGAGTATCATATCTAACCTCTACATTGTCGAGAAGATGACTTCCAGCTGATCTCTCGCCGAGGGCTGGAGTTCACTGAAGACAGCGGATTTATACTCGATATATCTTCTTCAGCTGCTTCTTCTCCGTCGCCATCTAAGAATGTCAATACCGTTGACACCCAGTGAGATACCATCATCCTTATCCCCGTCATAATCTCCATCACCACCGCCATCGCCATCGCCTGCGCCATGACTTGAGGATGGGGGACCCCGCTGAGCACTCGAAGAAGTCTAGGCTGCTTAAGATGTTTGAGTATTCGAAGGTTGAGCAGCTTGTGGATGGTAACCAGATTATCAATCACAAGGCACAGGCCCAGAAAGCTCGAATTCGTAACTCATTCAGCATTTTGATAAAGGATTAAATAAGCCCTTGGATTATAGCAGCAAGTTACTCGGGATTGAGATTGGGATCGGAGTTGGAGTTCAGCTTGGCAACTATACACGTCTTAAGCGTACCCAGAGTTAATGCAGTAGTGGGGTGGGCTCTCTTCAACCGTCGATCCTTGGCAGTAGTCAAGCCTCCACCTTCCTAGATTTATCAGTCTTTCTGATGTACTTGGCTTTCCCTTTATTCTTCTTTTTCTTCTTCCTTTCCTCCTTATCTCCCTCCCCCTTCTCATCTTCATCCTCATCCTCTTCCCTTTTTCCTGGGCTTTCTTTGATGATCGGGGCTGACGAGACGGTCGTGTTGTTTACAGTTAGTCAGATCATATTTCTTAGGAGAGAGTTCCGTTTCACAGTAGGGAAAACGGGTCGATAGCGATCCGGCTTTGCGCATTTAGGTATAAAGAGCCTAATTACGAAACAGCAATGTCAAGGGTTAGATAACTTCGTTTTTTGTTTCTTTGTATACGCTTTGAAAAATGTTCATTCGAAGGAGCTTATCTGGGTTGAGATTAATTATTTTTGTTTTGGTACCTAGCGGATACCGCGGCTATTCTGTCATGGTAATAAGGGAACCTTTAGCGGTTGGTTGTTGCAAAGCTTGGGTTTGAATCTTAGCGAAAAAAAAAAAAAAAAACACTGATTAAATTGTCAAATTGGCCCTTTAAAGGAGTTCGAGCGCTATTGGCCTGGACCTCACAAACATACAATGCCGCCAACTTTTCGGCATCAGTGTCAATGACTACTGAAAGAGCCTTCATGTTTGTAGCAAGACCAACAGTTGAGATATTTGGGATGTAATCGTGATCGGATACAATGTCATAGACCAGGAGTGGAATGTCACTTGAAAATCCAAGGGTTTCCAGGACATCTTGCTTCTCATGCACATAAATGTGATGGCGATGAGAGATTAGACGAAGAACTCTTTGTATAGAACAATAGGTAAAAAGACCAGAGCCCCCAGATACAGCGATACTGGTTGGCGTACATTTGACGGCAAAGCATACATCAGCTTCATTGCCGCAATGGCAGATTAAGAAGTTATTGTATCGGTCAAATGGTGCTGCGAGTCCCCTCTTCTCGTTATGACTGAATGTGAAGAGCTGTCGAAGATTCTTTTTAATGGGAATCATATGGCTCCAAGATTCCCATTTCCCTTCAGTGGGCTTAATTTCTATGTTGGCTATGAGTGTATCGAGCTTTGCACCAGTTGTTGTACGCTTAGCATCTCGGTCTTTATAAGCGCGGGCTTTTTCATTGCAGCGGGGCCCATCAATGTGTACCGTCACTGTGGCAAGTGGGCCAAAGACCTTTAGATTGGTATTAATCATAGCATGGCCATAGGCAGTGAAAGAGCTCTGCCGGTTGAATTTTCTTAGGATGAGATTGTGTATATCGCTGTGGAAAGTGCCAAGCAGATCTAGCTTAAAAGATGAATCAGGTTTAGCAGCAAGCTCATGTACATTAACCCCTCTTGGTGGCAACCTCTTCTTGAAAGGTGTGAATAGAGGGCTTTTATACCCATTTAGAGGAAGTATATTCAGGGCTCCTATTCGACAATCGAATGAAATTTGAATGCATATAAAAAAGGGGTGAATTTTTTTTTTTTTACAGTGCATTCGAATTCTATTCGATTATCGAATGGGAGCCCTGAATTACAGTATTAAAGACAGTGCAAGCAACGAACATTAGTTTATGCAGCTATAAATTGAAGTTGAAGTTGTTAGGGTAGACATGGTTTACTTTAAAAGAGCAAGAGATTGTAATCTGTGAGAATGTGAGAGGGTGGGAGATAAATGTCGTTGTATCAGCATGAAAGGGAGAGAAGCAGGGTATTTGTAGGTGTATGAAAGAGAGCGAAACGAAGGGCTGATGAATTTACCACAAATTTACTCTCGGTGTGTGGTTTGTGTGTAGAATGTTGTCCCCATAATTGGGTATATATATTTCGACAATGCAGCTCGAAACAAAAGGAGCATATTTAAAAAAAACATACACACTCATCAGACTTTTTAACAGAGAAACAAACAGGTTTCTCTTTTTATTTTTTTTTATTTTTTATTTTTTTATTTTTATTTTTATTTTTTTATTTCAAGCGTTGTTTGCAGCCCTTCTCCAATCATCTACATATGGCAAATCCAGCCTTCGCCATGACTATCAACGAGAAATGAAGAAATGGCAAAAGTTGTTAGATGCGCAAAGGAGTAGAGGCGAGTGAATAGTGAACATAGTGCATCGTGATTAGATAGTTTGATATATGGTTTTTGCTGATTTTTCCTGATTGATTTTTACTGAACTGGATCAGTTCCGCCCATGAGTTGATGAAAGCTAAATGGGCAAATTTTCCCGTTTTACGATCCAAAGAATAAACTGTGATTAAGCCCAAAGAAGGGCTCGTGTTCCTTTTTTTTTTTTTTTTTTTTTTTTTGGAACGCATAGGCGGATTGGCTCATGAGCAATTCAGAAGAAACCCAACAATTATATCAATAACGCCGTCACCAAAAAAAAGAGGATGTGTATGAAGTTTCAATTTCTTAATAGCCATGTTTTCAACACTCATGGCATAGAAATACTCTACACCTTTAAATGTACAATCAATTTAATCATGTACCTGTATCGATGGTTGAAGGAGCCATCATTAGAGTCTTGTCATATCATGGAGGCCATGGGCGGCGTTTGAGGGGATCCATCATTGCAGTCTGGTCATTCTTAAAACGCATTTATTCAAGGCCTGTGATTTTTTGTAATGTCATGCCTATGACTGCAATTTTAGCACACAGCCACGAATCCTTACGACGCGTTAGACTCGTCATTAGCTTATGTGCATTGCACTAACGCTCACTGACAGGCTAGGTCCAAACTCGATACCAAAAGAGCCTTTGTTGCGCCCAGGAGGAGGAGAGACATCAAGCCGGTAGTAACAATTTGGTCTACTACCAAATATTACTAGGTCCTGAAAGGCCTTCGTCTTAAAAAAATTGTAAGTATTGATTTGACAATATTTTTTAGTTAATTTATTTACTTCTATGCACTAATGTATTCCTTGCTCTTTTTACAATATCCTTGATCTAGATGGGCTGTCCCGATTTTTAATGGGGCGGACTTATAGACTACATGTAGGTCCCATTTCATTAAGTCACGATCCCATATATTTTTAATCTAATAACGGTGATTGAATTGATTTGGTGGCATCTCACTACGTGACAGAACATACTCGACTTCAAATACAAGGTTCATGTACCCATATGACTTTTGTAGTTGAGTTGTATTGGTGGTAAAGAATTTCTACATTAAAATGGAAAGGACTTTACGCATAAAAGGTGGCGTGCACATCTGCATCAGTTCGCGATCACGTTTTCTTATTTGTTGTTCGTGTGCTCACCTTCTCATTCCCTGTCTTTCTCAGAACATATTCCATTCTAGGACAGAATCAGGTAATTTTGCGTACGACGCAACAACTCTTGATCGCTTCCGGGTGCAGCTCTTCTTACACATCTCCAGTTTCCAACTACTTGCTACTCAGTGTCCTTTAACTGTTTAAACTGCAATCGAATAACCGCCACAAGCTATGAGATCTTCAATCAGTTTTTTGCGTCGAATTCCATATTTTCACATCGGTCTATCCCTCTTTCTGCATTACCTCCAACTACTACGTGTACAACAATAATATTCTCTGACCCTTCTTTTCATCATCCTCACAGTCCAGATCCCTCACCCAGCATGAATCCACAGGATCCCAAATCAAACGCCACCAAATCCACAAATCCTACACCATTCTTCACCAATTGCTCAGGTAAAAGTCCTGAACGACCCTCTGCGAGCCCAAACCCAAGCGCAACACTTTCCCTGGGTAATGCCGGCGATTGTGCAGACAATGCTTCATACTCATCGAGCAAGGCTTCTTATCCCTCGTCAGCTTCCATATCATCAAGTACACGCCCTAATCACACGTTGTACTCTAGTGCAACGCCACCTCTTTCCCCCGCACGTTCACTACTCTCTCCATACCAAAAAGCCTCAGAATCCAATCAACACTCCTCCGGGTTTTATCAACTTCCTCCACCTTTACAGCAGCCGTTGCATCCTAATGATGCCCCACACTATTCTCCTAAAATGGTCCCTCAACAGATTCCACAATCCAGCTTAGTTGTAGGAGGAGCAAGGTCACTGCCTTTACCTTCTCCACGACCAACGCAGCCTGGAAATTACAGCAACATGTCGCCTCAATCTAACCCTCAGCGGTCGCCACGTATGAACCACTCATTGTCGTCTCCCTTCATTGGCCCACTCTCTCCCTATCCGACACCACAGCATTATCCTCAGCACCAGTCAAGTCCACATCAATCTCCGAGATATGAAAGCAACCTAAAGCAGCCAATACCCCCCAATATGTTGCTCCCTGCTCCCTCCCTTTCATCCACATCTGTATTCCAAGTATTGTCTCCTCGGTCTTTTCCATCTCCGTACTCCAGTGGTCAGCATCCTAAAAGCCCCGCATCCCATCCTACCCAGCTAAAAAGCCCACAAATGGGTATTAGTCAGCGCTCCATACCCAGCTCGCCACAGCGCTTCATGATGCTTCCTCCACAGACTGCCCCTACAATGGCTTCAGCGCGACAGGCTAAAGCCAATGGAGGTGCAGGCTCTAAACGCCGTGCCTCCTCCAGTGACAAGGTTGATCAGGAGACACGTGAAATGATGCGTAAGGTATCACATTCGGCGATTGAAAGGCGGAGACGTGAACGGATTAATGACAAGATTCTGCAGTTAAAGTGCTTAGTACCAGCATGCGTCGATGAGGACCATTTGCATAAACTATCCATTCTGCAGAGCACTATCGAGTACATACAGTATCTCAAGTCTGTTATTCCAGAGTCTATAGCCAATGCAAAGTTTCAAAAAGCTACCAACAGCAACCCCAACAATAAGACAACAGATATGTTAGATGCTCTTAACAGTGCCAACAGTACGATATTTACACCCATGATGACTACAGGACTTGGCTACCCATATTCAAAGCGCGCTAGAACAGAGCAAGCAATTAATACACAGCATAGTTCATCTTCTGGCACTATTCATTCTCTCCCATCTGTACCCAAATCTTCTGTTGTACACGATCCAAGGCGCGTCTCAGCTAGGCAGCCGTCCTCAGACGAAGATGCCAAAGATGGTTTGTTGCTTTTGTCTCAAATGTCGTCTGGTGCACTATCCACTACAACATCGCCTAGCCTCGTGCCAGAGCTAGAGCCAGAAATACCCAATGATGGTGAGCTAGGCGCAAGCCATGGTATTTCTGCTCAAACTTTCGTAGAGGAGTGTCGTAATAGTTTAGAGAAGAGGAAAAGGAGGTGTACACCTGTTAACGTCGAAGACAAATATGAAGAAGATGAAACTCAACAGGAAGACTCTGATATGAGCGATGAACTTGATGATGAAGACTATCAGGATGAAGACAAGGCCATGAGCAATGGCAAGATAGAGAATGTATCGTTAGGAGAGACAGGGAGGCGTCATAGTGGCGGTAAAATGAGTGTTGAACGGATGTTATGTTAGGTAATTCTATTGCATACACTCAAACTATTAAATAATAATAATAGTAATAATAATAATAATGTCGTTAATGGTAGCGCTTTTCATTCATTATATATTCGGCATTCTACGAAGAAATAAGACACAGACTTCAAACAACTCATTTCTCTGCTTTAATGAAAATATGTAACAGTCGAGAAAATCAGTTAGGATAGGAAGTATAGTCGGTTAAAAAAAAAAGAATCTACAGTCATTACGACCAAATCATGGTCATATATCATCATTAAAGACGAGAAAGGAAGAAAGAAAAATATCAAGCAAAAGTGATCAAAGGGTTTTTAAGCGGTCTTGCTAAAGATGGCAAGCATACTGGACCAGACGAGCTTGGGATCCTGAGCAGCATCGACTTGAGACCAAAGACCCTTCTTCTTATAGTACTCAACAACAGGGACAGTCTGTTTATGGTAGGTTACTAGTCGCTTCTTGAGGGCCTCAGCATTGTCATCAGAACGCTGAACAAGAGGCTCGCCTGTGATATCATCCTTCATAGGAACTTTAGGAGGAGCAAACTCCTTATGGTACGAACGACCCGAGGGAACGTGGATCAAACGACCAGTGATGCGCGACACCAACAAGTTGTCGTCGATGGAAAGCTCGACGACAGTATCCAAGCGCTGGTTCTTGGCCTCCAACATAGCATCCAATTTCTCTGCCTGAACAACGGTGCGAGGAAATCCATCAAGAATGAATCTACACGAGTCAAGAATTAGTTGTCTCTATTTTGTGTAGGCATTCTATTCTATAGCATGGTTTAGCATTTGATAAGAAAGCTGCTCTAAACATACCCATTCTTGCACTCCTTATTGTTCTCCAAGTTGTCTTTGATCATGTCGACCATGATCTCATCACTGACCAATCCACCGGCATCCATGACCTTTTTGGCCTCCAAACCGACCTTGGTCTTATTGGAGATGGCGGCACGAAGCATATCACCAGTAGCTAAGTGGCAAACACAGTACTTTTCCTTAATCTTTGGGGCTTGGGTGCCTTTACCTTAAGAAGAGATAAAAAAGCAACAGATTGAGTTGACACTAAAAGATTAGCGGGCTACTTGTAATTGCTTTCCTGATGATAACGACAGGTCATCAGTAAGCGTGCAATGTAATGTATTTCTGAATGGATGTGCTGTTTGTGAAAGCCACTATAGTTATAATCAGTGCATGCAAAATAAGGTATGAAGGATTTGCTACTGACATATGCACGGCATGTGAATTCCTTTGCTCTCTTTTCTTCTTAATAGTCAGCCAACAGATCCGAACAATTAAAGGTAATCACGTCTAAAAGCGGGGATCGGCCCTGAATCCAATTTGATTGCTCACAGAACAGAGCAGGATAAAAAAAAAGATAAATTCCGCCTCGATCGTTATCGCTCTGTTATCCGTTACCACCTTGCGATCAGACCAAGGATGTCATAAAATTCATACAATCCTATATTCTTTTTTTTTATGTTTTTTCATTGATAACACCTCTGATTGTATATTAAGGTAGAGGTAGATGTGCTTATTCATCTTCTCCCACTCTGTTTTGTTCATTTGGTTTTTCAACCGATCCAACTTCAAGAAGATATATGATCGATTTCAATTCAGCTTCAAACGACGATCCACTTTGTATATTGGTTCACATCTGATCAATCGCTCTCGTCCCTTATCTTTATCCCTCTTATTTTCCCTCTTCTAAATCTATATTATACCCATAACACACACAGAAAAAAAAGCGTCCAAAGTGTTGATTTGTCTGAAAGGAAAGGCTTTTTTTTATAGAAATGATCACGATCTTTTTTTTTTTTTTTTTTTTTTTGAAAAATTTGATGATCAAAAGAATGATGCGAAAAGATAGAATAGAGAGAGTGATGATGAAGAGAAAGATGGGGAGCGAAGATGAAATTGCATTCCTACCGGCACCGGGGGGTCCGATCAAGATCATGCGAAGATGTTTAGGATCCTGTTCCTTGCCAGCAGCCTTAGCCTCGACCTTGTCGACCTTGGCTTCGAGACGATCAACTTTCTCATGCAGTTGCTTGAGCAGATTCTTGATGTCGCTGAGAGGACTAGGACCGGGAGTGGAGTCGTTGACAGGAGCCATGGCGAAAGATTACAGTGGAGTGGAGAGTGGAGAAAGGAATTGTGAATATGTAAAAAGAGTCAGTTACAGATATATAAATCTATTTCGACTCCCGTGACTCAAGAGTGCCAGGCAGTAATTTATTGTCGGGACTAAAATAGTTGTTTCGAAAGCATATAATGAGGAGTGTTGCAGCACCAGGACCTCGAACACCCGATGAAAGCGGACTTTTAACATAGTATAGACTGGTTCCTTCACATGGACGGAGATATCAACCTTGACGGCACATCCCGGCCTCACAGCTGTTCTCCTAGTGGTTACAATCTGTCCGGCACCATCAGGAGGAAGATCCGTCTCACTTTATCCTACTCCTGGCACATTTGGTTCTGTCATTGCTCTGCTTGATCCCATTCCTGATCCAATTGGCCCTACTTAGACTTTTTAGAGCTTTCCTTATCCCTATTTGTTCCGTCGTTTTCTTCCTTACTTCTCTTGGTAATTGAAGGAGTTCTTGTCACTTGAGCTGATGGGAAGATGAGTATGTGTATCATGGGACTTACTGAGCTGCCCTTTCAATTCTCGATATTCTCAGATCACAATCGTAAAGCATTCTGTATCATCTGCAGTACTTTGATGGTTTTCAGGAGGACTCGAGAAAGGTGCTGCATCGAAGGTGGAGGCGTTTAGCAGATATGCGGTAACCACGATTCTCCACAAGTGTATGTTTTAGTATCCTTGATTGGCACCTTCCTTAGTGATCCTCTTGTTTACTTTAAAAAGTATTTTATCAGAGGAGTATGCTTCGATCCTAGCATGCCGAAGCCTCCCAATTCGGCACATAGTACTGTAAGTTGCTCGATGTCCCAGCGCTAATTCTATTACTTTTAGCGAAGCTATTTTATCAGAAAGAAGGGTATCAAGTTGTGTCACTTTTGGCTACCATGCTGCCAGCCATAATTTCAACGACGAAAAGAGTCATGAGCGATGCTTTAGTGGCAATGAGCGCCACTAATAATTGACTCGACCCATACGTACACAATCACTTATCACATGCATTTACTGTGACTGTCTTTATTGTTTTCGATTTCCTTAAAGAAAGCAAAGATAATTTATTGCGGACAGAGCCTTGTCTTCATGGATACCGCTTTCCCTCCGTCACCACAGTGGAATCAACCCCACGCAGCCTGTCTCTATTGCTTGTGCGAGGATACAGGCTGGCTTCTGTATTCTCTTAACAATGATATCCATATACTTAATCCATTCACTCTCAAGTACCAGGGCATATTGGCCAATGGGCATACCGCCAGGATCAATGCTATAGCTTCAAGGTCTACGATGACGTCTACTTTAGGGAACGGGAGCCTTGGCTCTAAACTCGAACAAGATCAAGATGCATTGACCAATCAAAAAACTCTTGTAGCGTCCTGTGGGGACGATCTTAAAGTTATTTGCTGGGATATCAAGGATCAACGGGCAGTGGCGTCACTGAAGAAACTGCATCAAGTAATAAAAGAGTGTTGTATTGAATTGATCGAGCTAACGACACGAAAAATAATGACTTCTTGCTTTTTTTTTTTTTTTTTTTTTTTTTTTGTTAGAAACCAGTCAAGGCTGTGGAATGGACTGGAGACGGTCGCCTTATTGTATCCGGTAAAATGGTTAATATGCAAAAGCGGCGTAAACATTACCTGAAATAGCTTGTGGTTTTGAATCGGTGTCAAGACTAACTATTTCATACCGACATATCTGTGCTTTATTAGGCGACAAAGGAGGAGTATTAGCTGTATGGTCACCGTTCCAAGGCAAATCGAATAAAAAGGTTCTACCAGAGAAGCCCAGTATTTCATGTATAAGTTCTAGCCCTGCGCATCCAGATACTGCAGCTATTGGGTAAGGATTACGATTAAGCAAGCATATAGTACTAGCATCAAGAAAAAAGAAGGTAGCTATGCACTTAGCATACATGGTCTAACCGAGAAATCCTTTAATTAGACTGGATGGGGGCGACATACTTATTTGTCAAGTTAATTTAACTCATATTATTGCGCTGCGTCGATTATATGGTCATACAGAAAAGATTCAGAGTCTTTCGTGGCAGCAGTTATCGGGTAATTGTCCTCCGTTGTAAACAAAGGATTGCTAATTGTGCAAAACACCTTCAACTGGGTCTAATCAAATATGGTTTTGGCTAGAGTCACACAGTCAAAGTTATACACTCTTAGGCTCAGGATCTGCAGATCAATCTATTCGGATCTGGGATATTGAAAAAGAATGCTCCGTGAGAATAATCTCAATGCCAGAACTGGACAAAAAACTAGGATCTAGCCAGCGATCGAAAATATGGGTGCCTCTTGGATGGACTTCCGATGGTAAAGGGGTCGTTTCTTGTACAAGTCGGTACGTATGCTCTTGCCGAAGCCTCTATCAATACTGGTTTATATCGAATACATGAATATGTCTGTCGTCTATTTCGATCATCTAACACAAGTATATATGTCCTTCTTACTGCACTCTAGTGGGAGTATGGTTCGCTGGTCACTCAAAGGAGATACTAGAGATTTTGTCAAGATCATGCATGGAAATGTGCATAGCCGTACTGTATACCAGATAATGATGTGGCCTCTTGGAGGCTTTGCGTTCTCGATATCAATGGATAGAAGGATCATAGCTTGGGACATTGAAAACAACCAGGGTATAGCTCAGATAGAATGTATTGGAGGGAATGTTTATAGTCTCGACATTAGCCCTTTAGACCCCAGCCGATTGGCCATGGGGCTTGGAAACGAAACAGTGAAGATCTGGCACACACTTAGTCAGGATGAGCCTTATGAATGTGTGACTATAGATCGATTGCAGAGTAAAGTCCGGGTAGTAAAGTGGCACACTCTTGACGAGGGCAAACTTTGCTTTGGACTTGAGAATGGCAAGATTGGGATGATAGAGGATATTATGAGTGGGTCTGGACTTGACAATCAGCAATCGACACAAAGGAAAAACGGGAGGCAAAGAGCGGTTGGCAAAGGTAAGGTGGACCAAAACATGACAATCTTTCAGTCTTATCATGAAGGGCCTGTTATTTCCATGACTTGGTGTACCCCAAAGGTATTTGAGGCCCCGGTTCCGGATCTCTTTGATTTTTCTCTTCACGAGGCTACATTTTGTGTGGTCACATGTGGCAGTGATGGCAAAATTCTCGTCACAGATACATCGAAGCCTACAAAAAAGAGTCTTAGTCTTGAAGCCGTGATTCAGAAGCAAAATTCCGCGTGGTATCAGTCATTAAAGGTTATCAAGGGCATTGAGGCTCCTCAGAGACGAGATGTTGCTATTCATCCCAATGAAGACCTCCTTGCGATTGGAAATGATGATGGCTCTGTCGAAGTATTTGAGTTGAGATACTTCAAGTTGGTATACGTGTATCAAGGTCACCGGCGACGCGTGAACCGGCTGAAGTGGAATTGGATTGAAAATGGAGGGTCAAACATTATCAAAGATTACGACCAGCTTTCTTATCTCCTTGCTAGCGGATCAGACGATGGTGCTTTGGCCATCCATAAGCTCTATTGTTTTTCAGCCAAAACTCTGGGAGGAAAGAGGGAGCGTGGTCAGCGAGAGACAAGCGGAAGACGTCAGGATAGCGCTAGCAAGAGTGATAAGAGTGAGGCACAGTTGCTGCGTTTATTGGATAGTGGTACAGTTTTACCCACGCGTCGTGTTCACGCCTATTTTTCGTGCCACTCACGAGGGATTTCTGACTTAGCCTGGTCGCCGCATAGGCCCGCCGAAGAATCCAACCCAACTGGCCAAAAAATCGTGAGCGTCTCGTTTGATGGAAAAGCAATTGTCTACGAGATTCAAACGAATGACGAAGTTGGCCTGAGCGCTAATCTCTGTCAGAACGACCCAGAAATGGATTACATTGATACAGCAGCAGCCGGCACAGTTATGCATATTGCTAATGCAATCGATTCTGCTGTTGCCCAGCCTCTTCCGCAACAACATAAAATACTAGCCTATTTCGATGGTCATGGGAATCAGGCCCTTTCAGCGCACTGGAGTTTGTCAGAGGTGGATCAAATTTATACTGGTGGGAACGATTGGAGAGTATGCCTTTGGAATTGGAGAAAGCATGAAATTTCAGAAGAGGAGATTGCGGCGCTTAGGCATGTGAGAGTGGGTTCAAACCCGCATTCAGGAATGTATTCTTTAATTAAGGACCAAGCAACTGCTTCCAGTGCTGCAGATCAAGTAGGAGTAACGCAGATTGGACCGCTTATTGAGCCTCATAGTAACGTAAGAACTGGAACTCATATAGAGGTAGAAGCAGCAGAAGAGTCTGAGTTGCCGAAAAGACAAGGCGACCCCATCCCACAAACTCATCTTACTGCATCTAAGCGAGCGCGGGCGAGTACAGCCAAAGTTACAGATGGTAGTGCTTTTCAACTCTCCACAGGGCATCCACCAACGGCATCCAAAGATAATAAATCGATAACGCCTGTTAAAGGAGTCAATCTTTTCCCCTCAAGCTCGAAGGCTTTCCGAACCCAGTCCAAAGAAAAGCTTCATCTGGAGATTATACGACTGGCTCGTAACCTGTACTGCAGGCGATTTCGGCAGGGAGGCACACTTAGGAGCGAAGCGGAGCATGAGGCAGCGAGGAAGAGATGGCGCGCTATGCGCGACTTTCTTGAGAAGGATGAGGAAGAAGGTGTTATCTTGTCCAGTATCTTGGGCATGGATGTGGATGAGATGAACCTAGATGATAGTTACAACGACGAAGATAAGGGAAATTCAAGCACTCATGCCGATACAAGCGAAAGAGTCTCTCAAGGTTCTATTATTGGGCCTTGTTCTACGTACACGGACGGAGCAATCATTCAACAGCAAAAAGTTGGTATCAAAAAAAAGTCCAAGGACCAAGTTATGGAACATTTACAGAGGTGTGATGCTCCGGAGGAAGTAGCCGCGACTGATGACGAAGGAGCGTCCTGTAGCGATTTGATTTTCTACGGTTCACGAGAGTCAATCAAAGCACTGGCAGAGCTTGAGGGATATCAAGTTAGCAAAGTCCACTCTAGAAAAGCATCATCCCAAGCCCAAGTGCTGGTAAATGCGCAAAGGAAAGCAAGTGAGCAGGGACAAGATCAGGAGGAAGGGGAGGGGCAAGGAGAGAGAAAAGAAGAGACACAAGAACACCACAGCAGCATATTTTCAGTAGGAAGCGGCATGGGTGTTATTACGGCGCCAGTTTACAAGGATAGTGATTCAAGTTCACCAGTAAAAGCAAGGAGACTTGCTCAACTTGGCCAGATTCCAGTATCTTACTGGATGGGTGACGTTCCAAAGATGATGGATGTCCTCGGAGCACTTCCGGCTTCTGAACTTGGGATTCATGATTGGATTGGTATAGCATTATCCCCATTGGGTGGAGTGGGTGCCTGGAAGGAGATGATGAAGAAAACGGCATCCAAGTTTGAAGTGCGAGGTGAAATCCATGCCGCTGTGTTATGCTACTTGGGGATTGGTCATGTTTTTGAAGCCATTGATGCATACCGCAAGATGGAAATGTACCGTGAGGCGTTGATGTTGCTTCGAATACGATCTTGGGAGAATGAAGATGTCGGGGACGAGGAAGAAAGCGGTATCGAAGGCTCAGATGTGGTGATGGATGCGCAAGAAAAGAGTAACAAGCCTCAGGAAGGTTTGGGTATAATGGATGTGTCCCAAATGTCAGTTGCTACTACAGCCAAAGATTTGACAAAACTTCATATACAGATTTTGACAGAATGGGGCCAATACTTGGAACGACGTGGGTTTTATGTACAAGCAAGCAAATGCCAGCTGACTCTAGCGGCAGTGCTAAAAAGAGCCTCATATCGTCAGCATAGACCTTCCGATCCGACTCTAAGTAACGCTGTGGAGATTCTTCAGGCGACATCATCTGTTGGATTACAAACTCTGGCTCGGAGAGGAGACGTTGCAACATTGAGGATTGTTGCAGGATTGGCGATCTTGCTCGATGATCCATCTCAGTTGGAGCGTATATCACAGTATGAAACCGCGCTGGCTTTTAACAAACAAGTAGACAAGACATAGGCAAGATCTGTCAAATAAAAGTTTACATCAAGCATTGCATCATTCAACAAAGTTTTATTTCTATGGCTAATGAACAAGGGGTTAGAAAAGCAGAAGGAGAGGAAAAGAGGAAACGACTAATTGTTTTCATCTAATCAATAGAAAAATCCGAAATACACACTGGATATGACGTTTTATGCGTGTGTAGAGGACTCTTGAGCCTCATCAGTAGCTTTACCAGAGCCACGTTCCATCATCAGGTTACGGAGATCTTCCAAACGTTGCTCAATTTTGGGAATCTCGGCCAGCTTGTGCTCCAGTACCTGACGCTCCTCCTGGAGAGCAAGCCGGCGCTCAGCATCTAGCTTGGTGAAGACATAGCCACCCTGACCATCATATTGGAGAATGTACTGAAGAAAAAAAAAAAAAGCAAAAAAGAAAAGCAAGAGATTAGCATTGAATCGCTAAGTGTTACATAAATAAAACAAAAGATACATCGGCGAGCAACTTTACGTTGTGGTATTGCCATAAGGAAGGACGATGAGATACTGTTAGGAGAGAAATTCCGAGTTCTAAAAAAAAAAAGAACATTAACATCCATCTAAAAAATCATTTTCAAGGAATCGGTGCTTGATGAAGAGGAAGTGGCAGCTTGAACTTACTCATGCAGTGGGTATACATGATCTTTTCAACCTCCATGCTCACTGCGCTTGTGCACTCATCAAGAATAGCATAGCGAGGACGATGATAGTAGAGACGGGCCATAGCAATCTTAAAAAACAATATTGTAAATATTTCAGCGCCATATTTTACCAAGGCAGAAAACAAGTAAACAAATAGCAAATAAAAGAACATACACGCTGCTTGTCGCCTCCTGAAAGGGCATCGCGCCACTCGCGCTCACGGCCCCATCCGCCTTCGCGTTCGACAATGTTATTTAACTGAACAACTTCAAGAATCTCTTGCAAATCTTGATCTGTGTATCCATTAGCTTTCATGTCCTCTACAGTGCCAGGATAGATGATCTGATCACGTAGTGTTCCAAGGGATAGGTATGGGCGCTGAGGAATATAGAATATATTCTTAGGGTGTGGGCGGTGAACAGTACCGCCTACCAAACAAACAATAAATCAACAGAAGAAATATTAGAGTTGAGTGTCATGGTATAGCAAAAATATGATATTTTAGCCCTATTGATGTCCCTTACCATAGACGGGCCAAAGGCCACCCAGAATGCGGAACAAACTACTCTTGCCACAACCGTTAGGACCGACGATCAACAGATGCATGCCAGGCTTGACATAGAAAGACAACTTCTTGAGTAAAACATCGCCGTTGGGTGACACAATAGGGACATCTGTAAACTCAATGGTGTCATCCTCGACCACGTCGCCACGACCCGAGAGCACCCTAGCGTTCTCGTCCGTTGATGCTGAGGAAACCAGTCTCTTCTCAAAACGACCTGCCTTTACATCCTCAAAGACGTCCAACAGTTCAGACACACGGGCGGTATAGCCAGCCAGCTCAGTCACTTCTTTGTATGAGTACATGATGCGTCCGAATGCGTCCGAAGAGCTTAGTAACATACGCCTATTTGTGATGAAGCCTGAATACATATTTGTAAAAATGAAACTCTTTAGTCACAATAGCAACTTTTTTTTTTTTTTTTTTTTTTTTTTAAAAAAAAATAGCTTAAGAAAAAGATGCTGACCTTCGGTACGGCCTCCAATATCAGCCCCCCCACTCTGACCAGGAAGCTTGAAGAAGACAGGGATGGAACAAATGACAAGACCCATGGCGCCCCAGAAGTACTTGATGATAAAGTCTTCGAGCATGCCGTGCCAGACACGCATGCGGAAGATGCGGTTGACGTGCTTGATCAATGCAAAGTAGTTTCTGTCCAGGATCGCCTTCTCGACGTCATGTCCTCCAAAGAGTGCAATCTCCTCAGCGTTTTCGATCACTCGTGAGTGTGTGAAGCGGAACTCACCCTCAAGGCGCTGCTCCTCCGCTACCATCTTGCCAAATGGAGGAGTCAATGCCCGGAGCACCAAGGCCGAGGCGTGAAGTAGTGCGCTGACACCGAATAATCCTTCGCCCCCAACGCTCTTAGAGAGCTGAACATTGTAAATAATAACATCGAGGATAGGCTTGGCTAAGTTGGAATAGAGTTCCGATAAAGATGTGCAGAATTTGTTGACATCCACTGTGATGCACCTAAACGAAAAAAAAAAAAAAAAAAAAAAAAAAAAGTCAAGGTTGGTAGTTGGTAAAATCGTATGTAGTGTAATAAGAGCTATTAATATATATCATTGCAGTTAAAAAAAAAAAAAAAAAAAAAAAAAAAAAACATACTGATCTGCGTTCTTGATACGGTCGTCCAGATTGCCGATGGCGTAAAAGGTCATGTCAGTGAGGTATTGCTCATGAATGTGGTTCGTGAGACGTGTACGGAACTGGATGGCCAGCTTGCTTTGCATATACGTCAACTTTAAAAGGAAACAAGAATAATAATAAAAAAAAATCAACATACTAAACTTTCACTCATTTTGAAAGAAATTTTTTATGAACTTACCATGCTGTTGGTATAAGTGGCAGGTACAGCCACGGTCATCCACCAGAGAAGACCCACCATAAAGTCTTTGGCTTGACCACGGACCAAAGCACTGACGATCCTTCCATCGAGGGCAGCAATGTACACGGAAAGCATGGTTCTAAAGACTGCATCAGGAGAGACAGTTGAGGTTAGAATGTCGAAAGGACGGCTTGGTCAGACATATGGGGAACTAATAAAGAAATTATGTATGCCCCAGCTATGGCATCCTGTATTCTCGACTTTCTTTTTCAGTTTTGATAGTGAAGGGAAGAGGGAATTACCAATGTGTATTATGCATAGTACATACCCAAGAATCCTGAATGGACAATTAATAGCCAAAATTCTTTAGATCGCCACCCTGGAATGACCAAGCGCAGGAGCCTCATAAATCGTTCGAAGAAGACCCGATCAACCTGAAAAAGAGGGTGGAAAAAGATTAATGAGTTTTTGCATTCGCAACGTTTACTTAACCACTTTTCCCCCCCTTTTCTTTTTTTTTTTGTAATCTTCCTTCTGATCTGCCCAGGCTTTTCTTGATCCTCATTCATTAGTGAATAAACAATATTATTAAACCCGAGGATCGAGGAACTTACAGCTACTTTAGTATTCTTTTTATCGCCCTTGATAAGACCGGACTTCTTGCTGTCCTTCTTGGGCTTGTTTGTTGCCATGCCATGGATACGAAAGGCGAGGGTGACGAGAATGGTGATCCAGATAGAGCGCTTGACTGTAGATCGATTATTGGAGTAGGCTCTTACAACCTTGACCAAGACCGCCTTGAAGGCGTGAGGATCAAAGACAACCGAAGTCGTCGTGGGTTTTGAAAAGATACCCATTTGCCGTCTGCTGTATTTATATCCAGGAATAGTAGGTGGTGGTCTGTCTTTGATGTGTGCAGTTTGTAAGCTAAGACGGGAAAAGATCAGGAGATTGACGGATGGGAGCACACACAAATAGACAATGGGACAAATCAATGAAAGAAGAGAAAGAGGGTAAAGGAGACAAAGGAAAGATTAACTCGAAAAGGCGACCGACCATGAAGGGACTGCACACTTTCACATTTCTCTCGCACATTGCACGCTCCTGAACTTTGTCAATAACGTAGTTTCTTTTCTCTTTCTTTCTCTCTCTCTCCCTCTCTCCCTTTCTCTCTCGCTTATCCTTTTTCCTACTAGCATAAGGGTCAATGACAGTGGTATTTGTATTCATTCGGCTGCCATTCTTCAATGTTGCCTCAGCTAGACAAGTCCTTTTTATTGTTCTCCACAGTGACTCTCACGTGTCAGATGTAAAAAAATGACAAAGACATTTCATGTGAAACAGCTGTTCAACAGTGTACAGTTAACATTATGATATATATACATGTGATCTCAAACCCTATTGCACTGTTAAACTAGTTTTGGTAGGCTACATGTCCAGCCAACTTGCACTGGCAGCACACTCGGGATCTGAGATACTCTTCGTCGTGTGCAATAGCTCCATTCTGGGAAATAACTTAAGAGATAAAGAAAATAGCGATGTCTTGCGTTCTATGTAGGCGATATCAGCTTGTAGTATGTAGCTTTGAGCTCGTATCCATTGGTAATGGAGTATTCAGTTAAATATTCCTTGTATTCCTGTCGCTATTGTTAATGCCCAGTTTGCAGTTGTTAGAGTTTTAGAATTGCCCCTTCAGGTAGCCCATTAATGCCTTATGAAGCTCCTTATCCTTTAGGTTCCTGATCGAGCTGCAAAAATGACCATTCATGTAGCATAGATAACCTTGGTTCGGCTGTCATTATCAATGTGCATCTGGCATGTGAGCTAACTGTTGAAGAACCAGCAATATATTAGCTTTCCAGAATGGTTACTTTTGTAATTCCTAGCGTCTGTGGCATTTTTCCCGAATTGTTCTAGAATGGACTCAGGATATTAACAACAGCTTGTTGGCCGTACAAGACATCACAAAAGGTACTTGATCGTGATTGTCCGAGATGCTCTTCTTGATGATGATCACATTGGTTCCTTGATCAATACACCATATTCGACTGTATTGACGCAGCCGTTGTAGCAGTTCTGATGATAGGGCGTCTAGAATCGATTCTTAAGTCAAATCCCAACATGATCAAACAAATGAATCAGAAATCCTCTGAGTGTAGCATTCAGCTTGATACTATTGCCGATAATACTTGATCCAACGCAACTCTATACTGCTGGATAATTCTTGGGGCAGAGATGTATACTTTGCAGCTGAATAGACACTGGGACATGTAAATGTTGACTTTTACTGGGACGATCAAATTCACATCAATGAACTGGACAGATCAATGCCAGTAAGGTCAGCAGGGAAGGAAGCATGGCGCCACACTTATTTTGTTTATTGCACAAATGAACAGTGGATGCCAACAGGCCAAGCATACGCATAGCATGGTCCTCCTAGTCTATCTCCGATGTCTCGCCCGCATCTAGCACGCTGCGAATGTCGCGCATCAATGCCCTCGCGTCTTCTTGATGCTGTTCGGATGAACATTGCATCGCTTCTGTTGCATAATCAAGCGCTGCGGCAAGATTGCCTCGTTCGCGCTCATACAATGCCAAAAAAATACATGCCTCTGAGGTATCTTCTGACTCACTCTATAAGGGATGAAATTAAAAAGAAGAGTTAAAAGACATCGGACATTTATGATGAATGGCTACTATGTTTAACTGTCGTGAGACTGAAAGAACAATACAGACTAAGAATAAACTAACCTGTTCTTCTCGTAGTTGCTCCAGACTTTTCCGAAAGTAATGTGCTGCAGCTTCAGTGTCATCAATCTTTTTATACAGTTTGGGCAGTTTTTTGAGTGCCATCTTTTCTTGGTCTGAGCCTAATAATGCTCTTGTATAGCATTTGATCGCAGCAAGGTCTTGATCTAGATACTCATAGCACTCAGCCATGGCACACCACATCCGACCATCGTATGGTCGGATAGCTGTAGCCCTTTGATAGTAGTTGAGTGCGTAATAATGCATCTTGAGGACTTCATACGTTTGTCCTAAACCATTCCAAGCCCTGTAATCACGATGATTGAAGTCTGATGACCATATGACATGACAAGCACATGGAGCATAAATGTGTATGCTGAATGTTATAACGGAAACTCCATCATCGGACACGAGATTCGACCATCACCATAGTGCATAAACTTACCGACAGCTCTTCTGTAGGATTCTACTGCTGCATATGTGTTTTTCATTTCCAGGTATTCATGTCCAAGTAATGTCCACGCTGAGGCATAGCTCCGGTTAAATCTCAAAGCCTTTTTGAAATAAACCACAGCTTTTTCATGCTCAGCCTTCATACTATAGTAGTTTCCAATGATACAACATGTTTCTGGTCGATAGTTATCAGTTTTAGCACAGCTATGTGCTAAAAAGCTCAGCCTTGCCCGATTTTCCGTTACAAACAAAACATTTGAAAAAATATCCAAATTATCAAGGCGATGCGGATTTTCCGTTATCAGCTCCTCGAAAACATTGGCTGCCTCTGGGAAATCTATCGAGTAAAACCGTAAGGGGGATCTTCAACAAAAATGAAAAGACAAATCCATAATTCGACTCAATATGGGTACACACCTCTAGCGTGGTAGAGTGCTATCGCGCGTTGACACTTGACGTATGCACTTCTTGGAAATGCTTCACTCAGCTCCTCCAGCCAAACCACGGCGTCTTCTTGCTGGCTGCTAAAGTACTCTTGGGTGGCATAGGAGAGGAAGTAGGTCGTCATGAAGCTAACAGGTAGATCTGATTGAATGTTCGTGACCTAATAAAATTGTATCCGTATTCAGTACTTTATGTGTGAAATGCTGTGTCTTTTTTTTTTTTTTTTTGCTTTTGTCAGCAGCCTACCGCAGCAAAGGTAAGCAAGCATGAACTGAGATCTTGCCAAGCACTCCAGTTATACGGATACTGATTAATAGATTCTATAAGGACTGCGATAGCCTGAGTCTTGCGCTGTTGTTTGATCAGGATTAAGCCATATCTAAGATGGTATCAAGAAAAAAAAAGTTAAAGGTCGACCCAACTATGGATTAAAATCAATTTTAGGCTTTATTAAATGATTAGGAAAACCCGCTATACTTACAGATATTTGCAAAAAGAGTCGAGGATCCCCGCCTGGTAACCAGCTGTAAGCTCCGAATAAATACTTTCAAGCTCTCTGTTGACCGCCATGGCGTTGTCTAATGGGCCTATAAACCCCCCAAAAGAGGCAACATTCCTTTTTGATCGTAAGGTTATGGTGCCAAATCATCTTCGGAGGCTTTAATAATTTTCAGACTTTGTAGAGCAAAAAGCATACGCATTACCTAAAACCTCGCGCGTATCTTGCTCCCGTCTTCTTTCTCCTGCCTATGGCCAATGAGAGAGAGTTCAGAAAAAAAGAGCATTTTCTAATGGAGCGATAACAATGCGAATCCTCTTACATACAAGATATTTCGAATAGAGTCTCAAGAATCGTGACTTATGGCTAGTGCGCTCTTCCAGGACAGACACACAGCGATCATATTCTTTGAGGTCGAAGAAAGTCTTTGCCATCAAATATGTGTCAAACTCAGCCAGATCAGCCTCCGTAATAGCCATACTTGAGTAAAGCGATACTTCTGCTACATATTTAGAGATATGGTGACCGCTCTGATGAGTCTCGGGCCCCAAAGATCCTGTAGTAGATGGAAGTCCATTCTCATGGTTGTGGGTGCCGCTGCTGCCTATGGTAGGAAGGCCGTTGAGTGCTTCAGCTGCCCTAATAAATATGAATCGAACCCCAAAGTCAATGCTTTGCTTTTTTCATCTTCAGCTTTTAGTCATGCCGTCTAGCATTTCCATTACCATCGCGCTGAAAAGTAGAGTCCACGTTCATTGCAGGCCTGAACAGCTTCACGAAGCTCTACACGTGTCTCTGCAATATCAAGCGTCCATGCGGGGCCAGTCTGGGCACTCTGAGTAGTCTGCATACGAGCAAATAAAACAATAAGGGCAGATGTTACTGGCGCCGCGCTTGCTCCTCCTTGTCTTCTTGTCTCGCTGTATCCTTGTCCTTTGTTGACAAATGGGATCTGTGTCCGTAATAAGATTTCAGGATGAAGCGATCACAATTCTAGGTTTTGGGTGAAAAAGCAGGCAATGCATATCTGAGAATCAAGGCAGGTAGGCATGTCAAAGCCACTGGTCCAGAGCAATGTTTCGTTATCCGTGTCCCTGCATTCATTTAACCATCTCATGCCTTTACCATTGTAAAACGCATTCAAGCGCGAATTCCTTACAGCAAGGAAAACACATACAGTATATGCAAACTGACTAAAACACAGGCAACAGTGGCAGCCATTATAGTGGTTATACCTGAACAGTATTAAGACTGGACATAGGCGGGTGCCAATTAATTATCAGTAATGGATCCATGGAATATGGAGGAGACTAACAGCAACACTGAGATGCTAGTTGCAGTTGACTTGATGTACTTGACATATACAATGGCAAGTTTAACCTATCCTCAATTAATATTCTTTAAATTAAGGAGGGGAGTTGAATGTTTCCGATTTTGACAGTAATTTTTTTCTTTTCTTTGCAGGCTCGTATTCGTCCAGTGGTCCCCGACATATTCGTTGTTCAGAGACTCAAGGATATGAAGAAGATCAAGGCCCTGGAGATGGACGTGGTACTGCTGCAGTTTTGGCTCGCTGGACTAACAGGTCTAGCCGAATCTACTACCCTATCTCAGCGTTTAATTTGGAAGTCTCTAGTCTCGGTCAAGGTGAGTTATTTTTGCATCCAAGGGTGAGCTAATCAATGAAAGCTCGAATATTGGTGACATTTCATTTAACAAACCTATTCTTCTGTAATAACCAACAGATCCCTTATATCGTTTCACAATTTGGTCTCCCTCAAGGCGAGGTATGCAGAATGCTTTCATATGCTGGCCATGGTCACAGTACTATCTAGTTCATTTTATTACTTTGGTGTTTAAGTTTCAAGTCACTCTTACAATGATAATCTCGGACAAAAACATTTGAAAGATATGTAGCTTGGTAGAATCTGCTCTTCGACAATTGTCATTCTATCGTGGGATATTAAATGAATGCGATCAGAGTATAGCAGGGGACAGTACAGTAGAACAATTGGACGTGCTCCGGGCAATTGCTGTTGGATGCATTACGAAGGGGCTTATCCGACCCAATCAGCTCCATGTTCCTCATGGCTTAACATCCTTTCAAGACACCTCTGACGACTATTGCGCTATCAACCATTCATCACTTGATTTAATTGATGATCTCTGTGGAAGGACTCTAAGTGATTTTGTGCACCAAGAAAAATTGGTTAATCGTATCATTCAGGTATGTCCTATCTCAGAGGAACTAGAGGAATGAAGAAACTGTTGGAGTTCTCTTTTTCCTGTTTTGAATTGATTGTTCTTTATTAGTGACTGACAGCATGGAGCTTCATTATGGGACCTACTTGATTTTCCTTCGTTATCAGGTTTGCAGGGATGCAGGGTTCAGGAATGACGTACCTGTACTTTCAAGGCTTTGTCAAACATTGGATGATAACCCGTTGGTGCTAGATCTCATCCATTTCTTGCAGCCACCGTCAGCATTACTAGTTCCTCTCGAAGGGTTTGTAAATAATTTCCAGCATAGTTTGGGCGATGATATTGGTAATGGGCAAAACTAACAAACGACATAAAACAAGTCGTCTCTTAATATCCATGCGGAATACTCATTCTAATATATATTTGTACGCAATCACAATTACAGACACATGCAACTCTAATTTAGAAGGGCTTGGAACAGTTCTGATTCTTATCATGACTATCATTCGTCGATATGAACTGGCGAGTTGCTTGAATAGCATTTTCAAAGAAAAACAGGGATTTTGTTATCTCTGGCTCCATCGCACCTCAGCCGTGATACCCGCTACATCCATGTCATCCATGTCAGCGGATATGCATAGCTTGATGGGAAGATGGGTCAGTGCTCTTTTCGATAGCATGGGAATCTCGGATGATTTGATCCAGTAGGATGATGATAATTTGTTACGTATCATATAAAAAATGGAGCGCTCTCAAGGAAGGGGATACAGCTAACTTTACTTCCGACATCTGTTTCCACTGATACATAGAACATCCAAGCCACAGATGCTGCTGGAAATTTCGCCCTCAATCTTTGCACAGTCTCTTGCCGCTTGTCAAGCAGGCGTGATCGATATTACCACACTCAATAGCGGGTTGGATTATTTTCTTCAGCCCTGCCTGCTATTTGTGCTAGTTGGTGTCGTCCAATTTCTTTGTCAGGAAATTTTATTCTCATCTTCAGTATCATCGCCGGATTCAACAAAAGCACATCTACCGAGCGCACAGCCTGCATCAGGTTTAATTCATGCTCATTCATCAAATATGCTATCTCCAACAGGGCACATTGTCTCACCACTTGCAGCGAAGGGTATTAGGCCTGTACATCACTCGAGCCAGTCCAACACAATGCATAGTCATGGGAATGGAAAGACAGTGGCAGCCGTTGCGATGTTACAGACAATTCTCAAATCTTTACTTACTGGAGAAGCGTTTCCAACACGGCTAATGCGGCTGCTGAAGAGTGAAATCCAGGCAGCATTGGAGCACCAAACGGTGGATAATAATGATCGTCAGATGGCCATTATCCAGGAGCGCTTGGCAGCAGCTTCTCTTAATTATTATCGTAAGGGATCAGTGAAAGAGTAAATGGTGATTATGAATAAAAGCCTATTTAATGATGTAGGACAAACATACTAAAAATGCTGCATGTTTGGTTCCGTTTCGTCATTAGCTTGGTCTGTATCTGGTACTTATGATGTACCAAAGTTGGCACAACAGACCTCCTTAGCTTTTGAAGCCATTGCCTTGGGCGGCAGGACATCTATAGTGACAAGGAAGGAAAAAGGATGGCCAGTCTTCGGTGAGTCATGCTACCACATCGACGTGGACCTCTTTCGGGCAACACTATGTCACCTTGGCCCTGCTCAGTTTGCAACTACTATCCTGAAGCAACTCTTGAAGACTGCCATGACGCCAAATGGGAAGCGCGCAGGTAAATCAATAACTCTTAACATGACTCAACTATACTGCCTATTATATATATTCATTAATAGTATTTTTCCTTCTTCTTATCATTTAAAGTCGAGTTGGGTGCTGCTATGATGACCACGCCATTGATAGGATGCGGAGATCAGCATCTTGCTCCTCAAAGCCTTGTGTGGACACTTATGTATCGAACATTATGGATCCCAGTTCCGGGGAGACTTGAGACATTCTCACAGGGTAGACTCCTTGCTGCTTTTGTAGGTATGACTCTTGATTTTTTCCAAAGCCATAATTTGATACAATTACGTGAGAAGCAGCAGCGGCGGCGACAACAACGACAGGATGCCAACTCGCTCGTGGAAATGAGCTCTTTTCAGGGAGAAGCCAGCAAAACTAAATATAAGGACCATACGTTGGAGCAATTAGAAAGAGATACTGCTGTCGAATATTACCGAGTCATGCTCGACCAAAGGCTGCACGAGCTGAAGCCGGTTGCAAAAGATCGACCAGGATTTGAGGGATTTGCACAAGGGATGGCATTGTACAAAGAATGCCATCAATCAATGTCACTGCCTCTGCATCAGTCAAGGAAAGTGCGGCGATGATAAAGATTGTCCAGCGAGGTAAAAGGGTCCATCAATAAAATCCAAGTCACTTTCTGTACATCCTTTCAATTTCCCTTACATGTTTGTTAGCTAGAAAGGATGAGTTTTGTTACGCAAAACATAAGCATAAGTATGCTTTCATACGTTTTGGCCTAGCAGGCTCCCGCATTGAAGACGCACTATGATAAAGACCATCCTTTCGTTGCATTTTTTTTTTTTTTTTTTTTTTTTTTTTTCGTTTTTCTCAATTGCATCTTCTCGGCCCTTTCCTTCAAGCTTTCTTTTTCCTTTCTCCTTTCTCCTTCCACAACCGCATTCCCCTTAGGGGGCAATGCTATGCTGAGCTGAGAGAAGTTCACGGTTTCTGGAGATGAGCAGCTTTAAATTAGTGTATCCCACAGGAGTTGCAATCTCTCAACGATGGTGTGTGATGGTCTTTGCGCATTTAAATTTGTCTTTTCGAGGACCAAAGCGTTGATATCCTGTACTTTTCTGAGAGAGATATTAGCGAGCGATCTTGGCGAACTTCGGCCAATTTTTCTGTTCATAAATTGCTTTTACCACATGATGCAGGACATCTTCCCTTTTTACCTCAGAAACAATTGTCCTGGAGCGTGGCTACTTTATCTTGCAAGGCATGCATATAAGCTATCGCCTTTTTTCTCTCGCCCATTTGTAGCTTTTCGTTTAAACAGGATAGCGGGTGGAAAATGCGTTGGGCAATGTTTAATATTCTACGCCTGTAATAAACCATAAAAGAATGAAGACTATAGCTTGTTGGGTGGTCATTATATGTTAAAGTAATCAAAGCTCTGCCTACTTTGCGTCCAGGGTGCAATGGCAGGAAAATGACATTCTAGTTGCTTTGTTACTATTTTTCCTTTGTCTATCAAATGGGATATACTCAGCTAGAGCTTTTTGTCTCGACAGCTCCGTCAACCTAGCACTAAATGCAAAACAACACTAACTTGCTAGCCGCTGGGGCCATTGGGAGAGGAGTTACTGATTGTGTTTGTAGCTTCTTCAAAGGGAAGCGAGTGGACATATTAAAATATTGTACAGTATAACGACCACCTGGCGACCTGTGTCCAGGCATAAAGGCTATATTTATCACGTTCTAACCATGTTAGGCCATTTAAGCATCTCAAGGGGACAGTTGATCGTGCTTTGTATTGTCTCGAAAAATGACTATAAGTATGACATCGCACAAATGGGACTTAAAACGAACTTCAAGTTCAAGTCACTTCACGAAGCCACTTCATAATTTCTCCAACGTGCTCTATTATTGAATTTATTTGTTTTGAACAACGTCCCGGTGATTGATGTTGTCCAAAAGGGTATCTCCTCATGCATCTGGCAAGAAATATAAGCATCGAATGTGCTATTCGTTCAAGTCACGTACGCGACAGATAGAGCATGCTGCCCCCCAGAAGATGAAGAAGTACAGATGGAAAGTATGGGGAAGGGGATTCGAAAGTACTGTTAGTGGCAGATTGAGTACTCCGAAGCCCAAAAAGACAAAACAGCAAAAGAAAGCAGAACGAAAAAATGTAAATGATATGAATAAACAAGGTCTGGTCAAAGTCATGGAATTGGAACATCCGACAAGTACTCTTAATGTCGGAACCATTTCCGCGAATATCAAGCGAGCACTGATCTAGCATCTGCCATTAAGAGCTACCTTCAAGTTGTTGGTGAAGCCTCAAAAGTCAAATGTGTCTGCTAGAGAGCCACCACCTGTATGTCGAGAGCCTTTGTATTGACAACACCAGTCACAAGGATAGGGGAAGCTGTCGATCGTTGAAAACGCTGCACCAAGGAACATCCAAACTAGCTTTTTAGGCGCGTTTGTCGTGTGTATCTACACTCGTGAGCCTCCCAACGGCAAAGGAGCGGGTGCTCAAAGATTTATAGACAGAACCAAGGACTTCTTGCCAAGCATTGCAAGCCGTGATAAAATCGAAGTAAGGCAGGCATACCCTGGATCAACAATATTACAGTCTATTGTCACGCAACTGGCTACCGAATTGAAGAACCACTGCGTGAAGGGCTCACAAACACTTTGCGAAAAGGTACAACTCTTTCTCACACTGATAGATATTAATACATCTAAGTAATAAAATATAACTGACATGACATTCCTCTCCTTGATATTATAGATCCAATCCCTAAGGAACAGAGGCGCTTTACCTGCTGACACACCAATTACCATTGACTGCAAAATCCCCACAATTGAAAACTCCATCCCTATGAGGAAGATTCTAGAGAATTCACGAAGGTTAGCCCCACTATCATCGTTTGAGGACCCCTTCATATACCTGTCCGGGCCCAACCTTATCTTTATCCTCTGGAAAACGGCGCCTGAGCTGGCTATCTGAAAAGAACCTGGGTTCCTTATCAGCAAGCTAATTACCGACATTGGAGGCTTTAACCAGAGCAGTGCTGAGGGCTCAAAGAATTCAAAGCCAAGACTTACACGACGTCTCTATCAGAGATGAGAGACCGATATCCTTGAATCAAATACACACGACAAATGGTTATGTCTTGCGGAACGATGGCTTCCTTCTTCAATTCCTGGCATTTAAGATAAACGAGCTGAATGCAGTGAAGTACCAACGATTGCCTGAGAACAAACTACCTTCTCGAATCACCTCTGCAGTTGGTGGTGCAGACTACTATTTGACCGAAATTAGGAAGACAGTCAAGGCCAGTAATGATATTCACCGGCTTTGGGGATGTCAACCAGAAAACATCAAGATTTTGGACCTCGGACAAGCGTGCGTGATTGGTGCCAATGCTTTGTTGCCAAATCATGAAGGTTCCAATGGCACAGCCGTACAGCCCAAGTTCTATAACCTGGCTACCAAGCAAAAGGCGGTGTATCAACCCACATTTAAGCATTGAAACTGGATGAAAAAGGAGAACAACAGCAATCATTGATGGTTTTACAAAATGCATCAGCGATATTGAGAGCAGTCTATCACCCCTCCGCGGCAATGGAGCAAGCATTAGAATACATCGATAAGCTTGCAGAAGTGGAGACACACCTCAGTTCCTTTAATACGAAAAGAGCCATCAAAAGGCATCAGTAGAACGCGAAGAGGGCCCGAGATGAAGAATACGTTCAGGTCGCCAGCCGTTTGCCCAAGATGGTGGGTGGTTCAGTTGCCGACAAGGTTGTGATTGCTGTATGTCTGGGGAAGCCTCCTTCCAATACCAGGCTTTCTTCCTTACATGAGTCGTTTCAACCTTACTTCATTCAAACAATAAGTTTTTATTTTATTTTTTACTCTTATTGTTTATATTTTCTTACCCTATAGCCGATAATAATACACCTACGCTTCTCCTAGGCCAGATCTCTTGGATACATTGCTGCCGGCGTGAACAAATACTACACTTCTAAGAAGCACCCAAACTGTGAAGGATTTGTAGGGCAGGTTGACATTCGCCGACTCTATTGTTCCAAATGCAAGACATTTATGCACAGAGATGTGATGGCGAGCTACAACATAGCCAACGTCGTCCGTGGTTATCTAATGCACTAACAGCGGCCCCTTTGCCTCCAGCGATAGCCAAGAATGGAGCATATCTATGGATGAAAGACGGTTGTTCAGTGCACACCAAACGTCAAGCACCATTTAAGGCTGAGGAGGAATTAGAAAACACGCTTATAATCTTTCACAGTCACGTCTATGACGTTCTTGAGAGGTTTGTGCTGTCTCTTTTGTGAGGGTGAGAGCAGTGAGTCGAATGGGCAGTTCAAAGTGCACACCACACATGAACGCGCCTTGGTCAAAATAAAGTTTCTGTGAGAATCCAGGAATATTTGCTTGTGCGGATTTGTTACCCCAAAGCGGCATGCCACCCCGCAAAACCCCGCAATCGGGCGGATACACAGGGACAAGCACACATGGTCGATGTCCCACACTGCTCGTGACAGAAACCGATCAGCTTTTCTTCATTCTTAACTTTTTTTTTTTTTTTTTTTTTTTTTTTTCCCTCTCTCTCTCACTCTCTCTTCTTCCGTTTTCCTACTGTACATCCCTCATCCTCGTAAAACAAACCATTCATCATCCCATTCATCATGTTGGCTGCTCAATCCAGAGTCTTTGCTCGCGCTGTCCTTACCCGCGCCACTTTGCGTCCTACTGCAGCTATTGGCGTTCGTTTCTCCTCAGTGTGGTCTAACGTTCCCATGGGTAGGTCTTTTGCCTGAAATATTGCCGTTGAGATAGGACGCGTCTGTCAGCATCCATGAGAAAGTTTAGAGTTCCTGGAGGATAAGCTGCATCAAAATCAGCGTCCAGTTCTGGATTGATTCATATTAGCATTGTCCTCACGCTGGGATATTATTGAAGTAGTTTAGTACTACAATGGGAGTAGTGTAAAAGGACTTGTTTTGTATTCATTATTCCCTATCCGAAGTCTCAAAATGTCATGAAGTGGATTTAAAAAGACTCAAGAGTGACACATGTGATTATAATTTACTGAGCTCTCCCCCGCAATTTTCCTTTTGTGAAAATCCTAGGCCCTCCTGATGCTATTCTTGGTGTCACCGAGGCTTTCAAGAAGGACACCAATCCTAACAAAATGAACCTTGGTGTCGGCGCCTACCGTGATGATGCTGGAAAGCCTTTCGTCTTGAATTGTGTCCGCAAGGTATCATCGTTTTGACATAAGAAAAGATGTGAAGGAATCAAACCTTCTTGATTTTAATGTGTTTTGTTAATGTTATATATCTATCTAGGCTGAGGACAGGATCATGAAGGATTTGCTTGACAAAGAATATGCCGGTATTACTGGTGTTCCAGAATTCAACAAGGGTGCTGCTCTTCTCGCCTACGGCGCAGATAGCTCTCCCTTGAAGGAGGGTCGCGTAAGTACACCTTAAATGTATTAATTTAGAATGTTTTACAGATTATACTTGCGGGTGTTGAAGTATAAATTCCTTTTATGTTCCCTTTTCGCCGCTTGTTCATCGGCAGATTGCCATTACGCAAACTATCTCTGGTACTGGTGCTCTCCGTGTTGGAGGCGAGTTCCTTGCTAGATGGTACCCCTCCAGCAAGAAGATCTTTGTTCCAACTCCTACCTGGGGTAATCACATTCCAATCTTTAAGGACTCTGGTTTGGAGGTTAACCATTATAAATATTTTGATAAGAAGACCAATGGCCTCGACTTCGAGGGTATGGTCAACGACATCAAGGTAAAGCCATTGTGAAAGCGTGATTATGGAATTGTGAATCAACACCATGATGCTTTATGACTAAACATGTACTTTTATTGATGTAATGAAATATGAATGTCTTAGAATGCCCCCAAGGGATCGATTATTTTGCTACATGCTTGCGCCCATAATCCTACTGGTGTTGATCCGACCCAAGCTCAGTGGGATGAACTCTCCAAGATCATCAAAGGTGCTGGTCACTTCCCTTTCTTCGATATGGCCTACCAAGGCTTTGCCTCTGGCAGCACTGACAAGGACGCTTATGCTCTCCGCAAGTTTGTCCAGGATGGTCACTTGCTCGCTCTCTCCCAATCATTTGCCAAGAACATGGGTCTTTATGGCGAGCGTACCGGATCTTTTAGCTTGGTGACTTCCTCTCCAGAGGAAAAGGCTCGTGTCGACTCTCAGATCAAAATTGTTGTCCGTCCCATGTATTCTAATCCCCCTGTTAACGGCGCCCGCATTGTTGCCGCTGTTTTAAACAGTCCTGAGCTGAACGCTGAGTGGTTGAAGGAGGTCAAGGTCATGGCTGACCGCATTATTACCATGCGCACTCAGCTCAAGAACCATCTTGTCAACGATCACAAATCTAAGCTCAACTGGGACCACATTACCAACCAAATTGGTATGTTCTGCTATACTGGCTTGACGCCAGAGCAGGTTGAAAAGTTGAAGAACGAGCACCACATTTACTTGACCAAGGATGGCCGTATCTCTGTCGCTGGTATTTCGAGCAAGAACGTTGCCTACCTTGCTAGAGCTATTCATGAGGTCACCAAGTAATAGATCTCTATCTATCGCTTCATCATATCAATCATTTCTTCCACACATCCTCCTGTCGTTTTACTTTTCCATGTAGTTCATTTATTCATATAAGATTAAAGAAAGAAAAAAAAAAAGGTCGTCTTAAGAACCTTGTGTTTCTCTGTTGTATCTGTTGATCTGTAAGGTTTTTAAAGTTAGTCCAGAAATTCAGGGGCAAAAGATTAGGTAGAAAGGATACAGGAGACGAAAATAACAGAACTTACAAATTTTTTGTGGGTGTGCCGGCACCCAAATACTTGTGTCTAGCGTCGTGCGCGCTTTGCACCCGGAGCAGGCGACTCTTCCGAAGGTTTGTACTTTGCAGGTCTCTCTTGCCTCTCAATTTGAGCAGGACCAATTCTTGCGATGTTTTCCGCCCCTACTGCGTCACGGTCGAAGAATACCTTACATGCCCGGCAATAATTAAAGCGAAGGTTCACCGCCTCTAAAAGCTATCGCAGAGGGGTCGAGGGCAGCGGGCGCTGGTGTAAAATTCGTGCGCCCCTCGTGTCTTGACTTAAGCGTTTCAACTGGCAGTCGTTTATCAGCAAGGGCTCCAGCTTTTCTTATTTTTTTTTAAAAAAGTCATACCTGTGTGACAAGGTGTCTCGTTATAGCAGTGTGCTTGCTGGGAACCCCTTTACTACTTTCAAAGGACCCTAGGCCGACGACACTCGCTGCACCGCGTAGTCGAACGTAGCTCGTTGAGCCTTTCGTAGGTCCCATTTTTTTTAAGTGTCATCTAGACTCGTAGAACTCTTGAAGCACATCCAAATTCTTTGATCCTGTCTGTGTCTGGGACTCCTTGTTCATCCATTAAAAGTACTCATTGTACGTATCCCTTCCAAACACAGGGATGGCGCTCTCAACCTCAATCATTCCTTTTTCACGCTTCCTTTTGTTCAACAGGTGATTGAAACGGAGGACGGGGAGGTACAAGAACCTGCTTCTCACCTTTACCGTTTGCCGCAAGTTAGGGTTGTGAGGATCCAGGGAGGAAAACGTAAGGACGTTAACAATACCAGGATCGCATCCGACGATAGTTGTGGTGTTTGCGGATGGGCATCGCTCTGGCTCGTTGAATGTGAGCTCAACATTTTCAAGCAGTTTGGAGCTCCTCTTCCAGTTTATGTTTGCGTAGTCTTCATCTGTCAGGTCTTCATCGGCTGCCTTTGAACACGTCGTGTTGAGGAATCCTTGAGAAAGCTGTAGATTCAGAACAAGACTGTTGGTAGGAATCGTTCCTTTGAGTTTGAACCGAGTTATATCTTTGTCCTGTGACTGTAGGGATACTTTGTCTCGATATCCATGAACCATGCGATCACCTCCAATGTCACAAAAGAGAGCCTGTATCAAAACCCCTTTTGTTCCCTGTATACACTCAAGCATTGCAGTCTTGGAAGGATTGTTGAGAGGCAGAATACGCTCCAGCAGCCGCTTGGTATCTTCGTTCACCCAGAGGATGTCAACTAGGGCGTGTTCAGATAGATACACATACCCAGGTGTCCAGGGGGACGTAGGAAAGTCTGAGTATTTTTTCACTTTTTTGTTCTCCCGCAAAAAAACTCAATATCGCTCATATCTTCGTTTGTTTTCTCGACATCAAACTAGAAAAAATAAAAAATAAAAAATAAAAAAGTCTGGATAGTTGCAGAATATGCATGAAAATACCCTACACAAGGTTATACCATTGCGCTCCTGTAGTGCTGCTTTAATGATGTCTGTACTTGGCCCATTAGTAGCTCTGATGCTCTTGGAAATGAGATCTTTTTGGGATCAAAGCCTTGCACGTCCCCCAATGCGATGTCTATTTCCTTTATTGGGGGAAGTTCAGTGGTGGCCTTCATAAGTGAGGAGATAATGGGGCGTTTCTACCGCCTTTCCTTGTTTTTTTTGCCCTCACGTAAGCTGAATTGGGGCCACCTTGACCACTTAAAAGAAGGGTGGCAAGACGGAAGGAATAGCCAGTGCTATCCAAGACCTCGTCCAGTGCCTTTTTCCTCGACCTTGCTGCCCCTAGTAACCGCATGATCCTCTCAATGTCCAAGGCAATCGCCCAGTATGCATAGCGGCGTAGTCGGTTGAGGACAACAACTGCCCCTCGGATCTGGCTTGCAATATTATCCCTTTCATCTGCGTCCAGTCCGCCTTTCCTTGCCATGGAAGCCTTGAGGGACCCAATTGTTAAGGCCTTGATAGGGTGCTTACTACTGTAGCTGTGATCAACCTTCGTAGCATCCTTCAAGTTCCTAATTGGTGCACCTTCTTTTTTAGCCCTGTGGGGCTTCTTGCCTTTGTGCTTCCGCTTTTGTTTTTTCTGTTGCTTCTTTTTTGCCTTTCTCCGACGTGGTGGATGCTTAAGGCCTCGCCTATCGTGCTGACGGCAGTTACTGATATCAACTGTGCGCCCATTCAATATGCTCGGCTTGTCAGAAAAGATGGGCCGGAACTGGTTTCTATGTGACCCTTCCGCTATATAGAATGATGGTGCGCCTCTACATTATTCAAGAAAGGGACTAACGATTAGTATTGGGGACGTCTGGTTTCAAGGCCAAAACTATAGCTTGAGCTTTCTTACGTTCTGCGGCGCTGCGCTCGCCTTTGCTGAGCCATTCTATTGCGAAGATCCTTTCCATTGAGTAGACGCTGCTTGAAGTTATCGAACTCATTGTTCGATGGTAACGCTTGGGCCGACGTTTGATGGCCGGAAGTAAAAATACGGAGAGCTACTCTGAAACGGCCTTCTTCAGAGGCTGCATTCCTTCCCAACATCTTATTAGCTTCCCTAAGGTAATCTTGAAGCATTTTATTGTAGTTCTTGTTCCACGCAACCTCTCGAACTAATCGAAGATTATTAATCGGGTCCAACGTCTCGAGGTTCCTTGAGTAATCATTGTCTGCGATGGCACAGAATAACACCAGATGTTCGTGTGATGGCAGGTTTAGTACTTTGATAACATTGTCCACGTCGTAAGCCTCAAACTTCCGTCTACGGTGTGGAAAGGATCGCACTAGGAAGCAGACTCGTTCGTACGCAAAAAAATCAGAGTCTTGGGATATCACGATCCTATCATTCTCCTCATTATGGCACCCTATGCATGGATCCGCTTCATTTGCACACAGACAGACATCGAAGACAGAGCTAAGGACTGTTGCCAGCTGATTCTCGAAGACCCTTCTGGATGCGCCTCATGACTTGAGGACGAGTCCATACCCCACTCCGAGAATTTCTCTCGAAGGTGCTCATATCGTTCTCCAAAGCATCCATATTTTTTTGTCTTATGGCTTGCCGTTCTGTCCTTGCTTTTTCTTTCTCAGTACAAGGTTCCCCATCAATATGTATAGTCTGGGCGATTGCCTTGGACATTGAGAGGATCATGCGGTTACTAGGGGCAGCAAGGTCGAGGAAAAAGGCACTGGACGAGGTCTTGGATAGCACTGGCTATTCCTTCCGTCTTGCCACCCTTCTTTTAAGTGGTCAAGGTGGCCCCAATTCAGCTTACGTGAGGGCAAAAAAAACAAGGAAAGGCGGTAGAAACGCCCCATTATCTCCTCACTTATGAAGGCCACCACTGAACTTCCCCCAATAAAGGAAATAGACATCGCATTGGGGGACGTGCAAGGCTTTGATCCCAAAAAGATCTCATTTCCAAGAGCATCAGAGCTACTAATGGGCCAAGTACAGACATCATTAAAGCAGCACTACAGGAGCGCAATGGTATAACCTTGTGTAGGGTATTTTCATGCATATTCTGCAACTATCCAGACTTTTTTATTTTTTATTTTTTATTTTTTCTAGTTTGATGTCGAGAAAACAAACGAAGATATGAGCGATATTGAGTTTTTTTGCGGGAGAACAAAAAAGTGAAAAAATACTCAGACTTTCCTACGTCCCCCTGGACACCTGGGTATGTGTATCTATCTGAACACGCCCTAGTTGACATCCTCTGGGTGAACGAAGATACCAAGCGGCTGCTGGAGCGTATTCTGCCTCTCAACAATCCTTCCAAGACTGCAATGCTTGAGTGTATACAGGGAACAAAAGGGGTTTTGATACAGGCTCTCTTTTGTGACATTGGAGGTGATCGCATGGTTCATGGATATCGAGACAAAGTATCCCTACAGTCACAGGACAAAGATATAACTCGGTTCAAACTCAAAGGAACGATTCCTACCAACAGTCTTGTTCTGAATCTACAGCTTTCTCAAGGATTCCTCAACACGACGTGTTCAAAGGCAGCCGATGAAGACCTGACAGATGAAGACTACGCAAACATAAACTGGAAGAGGAGCTCCAAACTGCTTGAAAATGTTGAGCTCACATTCAACGAGCCAGAGCGATGCCCATCCGCAAACACCACAACTATCGTCGGATGCGATCCTGGTATTGTTAACGTCCTTACGTTTTCCTCCCTGGATCCTCACAACCCTAACTTGCGGCAAACGGTAAAGGTGAGAAGCAGGTTCTTGTACCTCCCCGTCCTCCGTTTCAATCACCTGTTGAACAAAAGGAAGCGTGAAAAAGGAATGATTGAGGTTGAGAGCGCCATCCCTGTGTTTGGAAGGGATACGTACAATGAGTACTTTTAATGGATGAACAAGGAGTCCCAGACACAGACAGGATCAAAGAATTTGGATGTGCTTCAAGAGTTCTACGAGTCTAGATGACACTTAAAAAAAATGGGACCTACGAAAGGCTCAACGAGCTACGTTCGACTACGCGGTGCAGCGAGTGTCGTCGGCCTAGGGTCCTTTGAAAGTAGTAAAGGGGTTCCCAGCAAGCACACTGCTATAACGAGACACCTTGTCACACAGGTATGACTTTTTTAAAAAAAAATAAGAAAAGCTGGAGCCCTTGCTGATAAACGACTGCCAGTTGAAACGCTTAAGTCAAGACACGAGGGGCGCACGAATTTTACACCAGCGCCCGCTGCCCTCGACCCCTCTGCGATAGCTTTTAGAGGCGGTGAACCTTCGCTTTAATTATTGCCGGGCATGTAAGGTATTCTTCGACCGTGACGCAGTAGGGGCGGAAAACATCGCAAGAATTGGTCCTGCTCAAATTGAGAGGCAAGAGAGACCTGCAAAGTACAAACCTTCGGAAGAGTCGCCTGCTCCGGGTGCAAAGCGCGCACGACGCTAGACACAAGTATTTGGGTGCCGGCACACCCACAAAAAATTTGTAAGTTCTGTTATTTTCGTCTCCTGTATCCTTTCTACCTAATCTTTTGCCCCTGAATTTCTGGACTAACTTTAAAAACCTTACAGATCAACATAGCAAAGAAATCTTTGTTTTAGGGGCAACAAGACGACTTTATGAACCGAACACCCATGCTCAAAAATGGATTGCAGTTTACATTGCCCTGGGATAGTCATACTATCAAATTAATCTTCACTGAAAAAGAGTCGATGTGTGTAACAAAAAGGATAGAATGACAGGATACAGCACATCCATTATAAAGGGCAAAGACAAAATGAAAAGTGATATTTGAGCATTGACAAGAGAGCTGCAAGAGAGAGTTTACTGAACACATGAAGAAATATAATGATTTATTATCGTTTGAAGATATTTCCTCAGTGCTCAATGCTTCTATTACTAATGCGAAAATATTCAACTTTCTTCCCTCGTTCTTTGTTTTTATCTACATTTTATAGCTTCAGCTTTTCGTCAATCTTGTTCACTACCTCTTGTGCTGCTACAGGGATACGGGTGCCAGGACCAAACACAGAAGTGACGCCAGCGTCATACAAGAACTGATAGTCCTGTTGGGGGATAACACCTCCACAGATCACAAGCTTGTCTCCGGCTCCTTGCTTCTTCAACTCTGCAATCAATTGTGGTACAAGTGTTTTGTGGCCTGCTGCCTGAGATGAGACGCCAACAACATGCACATCAGCATCAATAGCTTGGCGTGCTACTTCGGCTGGTGTTTGGAATAATGGTCCTACATCAACATCAAAACCCAAGTCTGCAAATCCAGAAGCAATCACTTTGGCTCCACGATCATGCCCATCTTGACCCATCTTGGCCACCAATAAACGTGGGCGTCTTCCCTGTTCTTTCAAAAACTTTTCTACCAAGGAAATGGTTTCGCTCACGTCATTGCTATCACCATACTCAGACTTGTATGCTCCAGAGACAACACGGATAGAAGGTGAATGGCGCCCCCATACCTTCTCCAACGCATATGAGATTTCACCAACAGAGCACCTCTCCTTGGCAGCCTCAACAGCAAGGGCAAGGAGGTTGCCTTTACCCGTTTTAGCACATTCGGTCAGTGCCGTTAGGCATGCTTCTGCTTTTTCGACGTTCCTCTTCTTACGTATTTCCTCCAAGCGTCTGGTCTGGCCCAGACGAACGGCTGTGTTATCAATGGCTAAAACATCAATCGGATCCTCTTTGGCCAAGCGATATTTGTTGACACCGACAATGACATCTTTTACCCAAATAACAAGTCATAGTAATAAAAAATAAAAGATTAAAACAAAGTATCCGTATCATATAAATATATTATCTCCGAGCAACAAATATTATACACACATATTTTTCATTGAACAGCATCTCACCTTGACCTGAATCGATGCGAGCCTGCTTCTTAGCAGCGGATTCTTCGATCCTAAGCTTTGGCATTCCACTTGCTACAGCCTTGGCCATACCTCCCATCGCTTCGACTTCCTCGACAATCTTCTTAGCAGCATCATACATATCATTGGTCATTGATTCCATCATGTAGGAACCTCCCCATGGATCAGCTACTTTGGGAATGAATGCCTCCTCTTGTAAGATCAGCTGCGTATTACGGGCAATGCGGGCACTGAATTCAGTTGGCAGACCGATGGCTTCGTCAAACGCGTTTGTGTGAAGAGACTGCGTGCCTCCTAAGGTAGCAGCCATTGCTTCAACGGTCGTGCGAATGACATTGTTATAAGGATCCTAATAGATATTAGTTAAATCGAAAAAGATAAGTACTTTTTTTTTTTTTTTTTTTTTTTTTTTTTTCCTGCTTTGCCTACCTGCTCAGTCAAAGACCATCCAGAGGTTTGACAATGAGTTCGTAACAGTAAGCTCTTTTCACTTTTAGGCTGGAACTTCTCCTTGACCAAAACAGCCCAAAGGCGGCGGGCAGCTCTCATTTTTGCAATCTCCATGTAGAAATTCATACCAATGGCCCAGAAGAAGGAGAGACGGGGTGCAAACTGGTCGACCGTCATGCCTGCTTTAAGGCCAGTGCGAATATATTCCAAACCATCCGCAATAGTAAAAGCCATCTCAAGAACGTTGTCAGCACCTGCCTCCTGCATATGATATCCCGAGATGGAGATCGAGTTGTACTTTGGCATATTTTCAGAAGTATACGAGAAGATGTCACCGATGATCTTCATGGATGGATCAGGAGGGTAGATGAAGGTGTTGCGCACCATAAATTCTTTCAAAATATCGTTTTGGATCGTGCCGGATAGCTCGGCCAGTTTGGCTCCCTAAATCGTAATAATAAGACATTTCCATCAATGTTTGTAAATAAACCGCTACAGAGCCCAGCCTATCTATTAATGCTCATTACTAACCTGTTCCAATCCTGCGACAATAAACATGGCCAGAATGGGCAATACTGCGCCATTCATAGTCATAGAGACCGACATCTTGTTAAGAGGGATACCATCAAACAAAATCTACAGGAAAAAGCCAGATTAGTCTCCTTGAACTCAGTTTCAAAAAAGGTTTCTCAGATTATATAACTTGCCTTCATATCTTCGACCGAGTCAATTGCCACACCTGCCATCCCAACATCACCAACGGCTCTAGGATGATCAGAATCATAACTGTTTTACAGAAAAATGTATAAATACCAATTTTTTTTTTTTTTTTTTTTTTTTTTGAGTAATTTTCTGTTCTTACCCTCGGTGGGTGGCCAGATCAAAAGCTACACTGAGACCTTGTTGTCCAGCAGCTAAGTTTTTTCGATAAAACTTATTTGATTCCTCGACCGTACTGAATCCGGCGTACTGTCATGTGTCAGAGGTGGAGAAAAAAAAAATCCCGATCAACGTCTTGTCAGATTGATGGTTGTTTTCGTAAAGTAGAATAATGCGGAGATTCATGTGACCTTCTCTAGGATCCATGTATATTGACCCAATGTCATGGCACAAAACTCTTTTTTGTTTCTTTTTGTTTGTTCATACCTGACGGACTGTCCATGGTCGAGCCGTGTACATGGAAGCATAAGGGCCTCGGGTGAACGGAAAAGCACCAGGAATTTCATCAGGAATGCCTTTCGTATCTGCTTGCGTGTAGACGGGCTTGATGTTGAGTCCTTCAGCAGTTCTCCATGTCAAGTGCTCCTCAGGATTTTTGCCCTTGAGCTCTTTTGTAGCAAGTTTGGCCCATTCTTCATGCAGAGGTTGACGAGATCGATCGGTTGTGTAAGTCTATTATCATACAGTTAAAAAAGGATATTAGAAATAATCGAGTCAAATTTTATGAAACAAATGTTCAGGCACTATTGTATTAAAAGAGCTAGTATACCTTTTTCAATTGCAAACGCGAAGTCCATCGTATGGCTGGTCTGTGAATGTGTTTGAGCGAGAGCATTGCAAATGAGTATGGTAACAATGAGCTTTTTGGACTAGAGTGCCGGCACGGAGAATCAGTATAAGGAGAGCAACAGGAGTCAAGCGAAGGACGAGAGAGAAGACCAAAGAGGCACTATTGTATGGCTCACTGGCAATGCAATGCTACTATGTATTTTGTCGTTGGCGTGTAAAATGCACGCGATGCAGATTTTTTTTTTTTTTTTTTTTAGATCTGCAAGGAAAGACAAGCGTAAAATGACACTCAGAAAGAGTAGAAGAAAGTGGAGTGCAGTGAGGAGGAGTAAAGGGTTAAGGAAGGTGGAGAATGGAGAATGGAGAATGGAGAATGGAGAATGGGAAATGGTGGAAGGAGAAAGGAGAAAGGAGAAAAAGAGAAAGAGGAAAGAGGAAAGAGGAAAGAGGAAAGAGGAAAGAGGAAAGAGGAAAGAGGAAAGAGGAGAGGAAAAAGAAGTGTGGGAGAATAGAAGACCTGTTGTTGCCCGTGGGAAGAAAAAATAAAACCCCGCTTGGGGGCCATAAAGCCACACATTCATTGCATTTATTAGCGTTGCAATGAGAGACTTGCTAATGGCCATCTATGGCATCTATTTGCATTGATGCTTCAAATAAATATGTCAGAGATCGAAGAAATAAACCACGCTGATCAGAAGTGCGTTGTTTTACTAGATTTTCTACCTAATTTTGGACTAGATCCTGGACTCCGAAGTCGAGGTGGGTGACAGAAGAAGTTGGGCCAGAGATAAGTGGCCTACCTTAGGTATATAATAGATGAAGTAACATGGATGCATCCGAAGAGGCAAAAATGTCCTTAAGAGACAAAGAGTGGCTGTCACTTAAGCTTGCATTTGAGCTCCAGTACAATACCACAGGTTGGCAAACGGTCGTGATGAGGAAACTGCGTAGAGAGATCATCGTGGGTCCTGTCTTTGAATAGTCTGCATTGAAGTCTCAGAGTTGACAGGTGATAATAAGGAAACTATTCTTAATATCAATTTCTTTGCACAGGAAGGATCCTAGTTGCAGTTGTATGACAAGGATATAGTTGATGGGTTCGTGCGGTAACGTGGTAGATGGTATGAAAAGATGATATCCATTTCTAATGTGGGTTAATAGGGTTTGATGAAGGATTGCTGAGGATGGATCTGCGTCTGTCCTTCCTCTTCATGCAGCAAGCACGGGCGCTTACAAGAGCCAAAAATAAGGCTATCCTCAAGAAAGCTAATAGTACCGTATGAGTAGTTAAAGTACTGGGTTCACGCGTAGATGCGAAACTAGAGGATGGGGGTTGGATGACGGTGTTGTTGCGGACAGTCCCCCAATCTATTCCAACAAACAAACAAATAGCAAAATGCCGTTCCTGCAACATTAATTTTGTCGTAGCTTGCATTCCACAGTCCATTGTTCTCGGAAAAAAAAAAAAAAAAAAAAAAAAAAACTCCAGTTGGGCACGGGAACGCAAAATATACATGTACTTTGCTTTTTTTTTTTTTTTTTTTTTCCCTGTTAAAGAAGTCTTCATTACGACCTGTGTAGCCCATAGTCTGTGCATCTCTTTCCATCTTTGCTTCATCATCTCCACTCCCTTACCTCTAGTTTGTTCACATCCCATGGCATCGCATCACGATCAATACGCATTTGGTGCCAATCAAGACCATTCAACAGCAACAGGCAGCAAGTAAGTTATGAAACAACAGCAGATTCTGATAATTAGACAGAAAATACTAAAAATATTTCTTTGACTCCATTCCTTTTCACAGATTTATTTCGAAGCTTGGCGCCGGTGCAGTGGCTGGTATTGCTGGTGTTCTGATCGTCTACCCGCTTGACATGGTCAAGACTAGGTTAGTTTTTATTTTGACAGGAGACGACAAATCTTGTCGACAATGGAGTGAAATGAGAAATTTCCCTCATTTTAGCGCTGTAGCAATTAAGACAGTCTATACTTTTTTTTTTTTTTTTTTTTTTGCTATTAGACTACAAAACCAAAAAAAAGATTCTTTGGGCAAGCTGCAGTATCGTGGAGGGTAAGTGTGCAACACACAGTCTGGACCTTATAAATGTGAATCAAGCATTTTTTAGATCTCATAACACAGCAACTTTGAGATGATGCGATAATGTGGGAAAAAGAAACGCCATATACCCATTAATGTATGCAAGGCTGAGCTATGGCCGAGTGATTAAATAGTATTTTTGTCGCCAAATGGCTCTTTGGATCAGAGGCCAGTCTATCTAAGGAGTAGAATTCATAGCAAAACAAAGTGTTCATGAGTGCTTTGTTGATCTCGGTGCTGTAATTTACTTAGACTCGACTGCTTCCGTCAAGTCGTCGCTAAGGAAGGTGTTCGAGGTCTGTATCGTGGTATTGTTCCTAATCTGATCGGGATCACCCCTGAAAAAGCCATCAAGTTAGCTGTTAATGACTTTTCGCGTGAATATTGGGCCGAGCGTCTTTCTGTGCCTGAAGACAAGCTACCAATAAAATATGGTATGCTCGCCGGTGCAACTGCAGGTTTCTGCCAGGTCATAGCCACCAACCCCATGGAAATAGTCAAGATTCAGATGCAATTGGCCGGATCCCAAAAACTGACTCCTAATGAACAACGACCCACTGCTATGAGCATTGTACGCTCTTTGGGTTTGCGTGGTCTCTACAGAGGCACTCCTGCCACATTGTTGAGGTGAGAGAGCATTGACTACTTCATTTAGGGAAGGAGAGAAAAGAAAAACGGTTTATTAATGTCTATTTGCCACAATTTCTCCTTTCCCCAAATTACCGTAAACGAATTAGGGACGTGCCATTCTCAATCATTTTTTTTCCTTTGAACTCATACATCAAACTACAGGGTGCAGATGAAGACGGCAAGACCCCATTTTCCGTGGTCTTGGGTGCTGGTCTTGTCGCCGGTGTTGTTGGCGCCTCCACAGTTACACCCGCTGATGGTAAGATCCTGAAAAATGTTTCGAAGATAGGCGCAACCATTGATTCTAATGCCTTTTATACAAAATTGTTCACTGAATATAGTAATCAAAACGAGGCTTCAGGTGACGAGAAAACCTGGCGAGCCTGTTTATAGAGGCATTGCTGACTGCTTCCAACAAATTGTGCGAAACGAAGGATTCGCTGCACTTTTCAAAGGTGTTGTCCCTAGGTCTCTCATCGTCGCTGTAAGTGAGCGTTGAACACAAAATGGAACAAAAAAAAGCGCTAGTACGTCTACTAAATCAAACTCCTGTTGGTTAGCCTATGTTCGCCATCGCCTTGTTTGTATATGAACTCCAGCAGCGGTACCTTGGGCCCTCCATGTCTGAGCTTACACCCCTTCACACCCCTACAAGTTCACCCGTTCTGATGTTGAACGACAGGAAGTGAGCTTGCGCGTTTCTAGGTTTCAAAGCACGCCTTTATTCTTGCCAGATGGAGCTATTTGGTACAACGCATCCCAATCTATACTCCTTGTACAATTCATTTGCCCACATAGAATCGTCGTGAACATGCGACACTCATTTGTAGAATAATCACGAGTTGTTTAAAAAAAACCTTTTAATCATGTATGGCTATCACCGGCTACTCAAAGTGTCTACTCTACAGCTTTTATTTCAATGACGAAAAACCCATAGGAAGCAATATGTTGGCTTCCATCCGTTCAATCAGTCTCACTAAATTTGGAGACGAGAATTTCGTGAGCATGTTTCTTAAAACATGGTGAAAGTATTTTGGTTTTTGATTCTAGTTTTTTTACACACATACCTGTATTATACACAGTCTCTGCCCATCCGTCCACTTTCCAGGCCTGTTCGCGTGTCTTCTTACGCGTCTCGAGATCCCTAGGTACACGATTAATGAAAATAGCAGAGGCAAAGGGTTGCGGTGAGATTTATAGGCCTTTTTTGAGCATGTTTACACACCTCAGGCCACTTACGGATAGTTCCACATGTGATGAACATAGTTTAACTCCCCAAGCTGTGAGAACCATGCTCCGACTGGCTCACAGAATTGGCGACGGCACTCTAAACCTCTGCGCCAGTTAGTCTCCCACTCAAGTAGATTTCCAGGCTAGTAGTAGCACGTTTAGTTAAAACAGTTCGATTAGATGGGGAAATGCAGCCTTAACTAAACGTCATTATATTACTGCTCATGAAATTTTCAATTTGCCTTCAAAAGATAGGTTCTCATCTCATAGATGCCTCCCAGAGCAACTGGTGGTCGGGATTTCCAGAATGCAAACTCGAGGCAGATCTGGTTATCTCGACTGATAAGTAAAGGCCGCAAATCCTTCAAAAACTTTTGATAAGCCTATTATTTCAAAGAGTATAAGATAAAGATCAAAGAGTTTAGAGTAAAACAAAGTGCACAACCAAAGCCTCTAATATCTTACTAGGTCCTTCCTCAATCGGTCCATCTCCTGTACATGACCTGCATAGCCATCAAATTCCCAGATGTGAACTACAATAGAGAACATATAGTATTAAATGGAATTCTATTTAGTATTTTTGTGACTCTCAGAGTCGTCTGAAAGAGAGTAGTGTCATCGCTTTTTATGCGCATTAAAGTTTAGTGCTCTCAGTCTTGCTCCACATCCAACACCTCTGCTTTAATGACCACATGATAACTATTATCCATATCTCGGAACAATCGATGACAACATTGATTTTCAAGGATCCAGAATGCAAATCCGCATGACTGATACATATATTCGGCGAAAATGAGTTCTAGATACTTTACAGTCCTGAAAAGTAGCGGCTCATGCTTTATATAATTCGTTCACGACTATTGTTTTTTGCCCTATTATGCATTCAATCCAATGTCAGTTAAAATACTTGCCTGCAGTATCTAATTGACCAATCTCCGTCAGCCAACTTCCAGTCAGGCGGAGTCTATTGTTGGACTCTTTAACCATTCTTGGGAAAGCCTCAGACCTGCAGTAGGTGACCCCATTAAGCACAATGCATGTAACGCGTGAAAAGAAATGATCAATAGAAGAACACAAAGCTGCTGATGAAGAAAAGAAAAAAGAAAAAAAAAGTCCATGCTACTTACACTAATTCTACGTAATCATCAAATCGTTCAGGTCGGATGCGGTGCTCTAGTGACAAATCCAAAAGAATTCCCTATCAATACCAATGCTTGTGCACTGCCGTGTGTCAACGATGCAAATGAAGAAAAAGTAGCAAATAGGCCGACTGCACATACTCTGAAGTTCATGAACATATTTTCCTCGGGCCAGGGAAAGTCCCCATGATTCTTGACTTTGAACCTTGGGCAGTGAGCCGGAACCATGAAGAATGCTGTTAACAATGCCGCTGACTTTCCCAAGAGGTTTAGCTGACGAGGAGCCGTCTTTGCTGCTATCGCTGTCCCCGGCACTGGCGTTAGTGTTGTCAGTAGCAGGGTTAGTTCTTTGGGTAGTGGAGTGCGTACGTCCAGAATCAGAGTCTTCAGCACTGCTTTTGCTTGTGAAAGCTCGCATTCCAATAGGTATAATCTTATGAGGGTAAGCTCTAAAGAGAGAAGAGATGGATGCCCGAATAGGACTACGAAGAAAGACAGACATCTTGAAGTTATATTAGACGGCTAGAAGGATGTTGGGGTCGTTGAAAATTGGCAAGGAAAGTAAAAGAAAGTAGTGTGAGAGCAAAAAAGGATGATGAGTGTTCTCTTTTTAATTGGTGCCAAAAATGGACGCGTGCGTTGGGACTGCTTCTGGGACTTTTTTTTTTTTGTGCGTGTTAGGATGGGTGAGGCACAGCAACAAAAACGACTGATTCAATCCTAAATATGCAACCCGTATCAACCTTACCAAAGGGTCGAACACACCAGATGCGCCCTATCCAACGCCCGCCATCATGGATCGAAGCCATTCTTCATCGCCCAATTCGTGTCGAGTGTTGGTCGTGCCTTCGCCCTTCATGGCTTCATCGAAATCAGAAGAATGAATCGCCTTCTGATTGGACATGCCCTCACTGCAAGACACATCAATGTCGGGATAAAGTAACTAGCATAGCGATTTAAAAAGACTTATTTGGGAAAGACATATAGAGTAATAATTGACTGCCTCATTTGCTGAAATGGAAACTCATAAACTTGTTCTAGGATGGAAATATTGTGCCGGTCCCGGAAATGTTTGATGAATCATTGAATGAAGATGTTACGAAACGTATTTGTAAGTGCCTCTGCTTGACTAGAAACGAAATATTCGCTTTCCTTGCTTTTGATTTAGTATTTAAATACTTTTTTTTAAAAAAAAAATTGTTTGATGCATCCTGCGTATCCCATGCAGCTTACAGCCTAAAAAACAGGAGAATCGCAGGAGATAATGATATTCGACAGACCTCGCGAAATGACATTTTCTGTGAAATGTGCAGCGGTCATCAACGAGTTGTCTATCAATTACTAAGCAATTATATACCAGACGAGGAGGTAGGTATGGTTGTGTGTTCGTCGTTTTGTCATTCTATCTGAGAACTTTGTTTAAAAAACGTAGTACGAATTTAACATGACCTGTTCATATAACACGTTTGAAGGATGAGAACTATGAAGCTTACTACGACAGTGCAGAGACATACAGACGGCAGCTTGAGGAGCGGTATCCATTGGCTTGTGTAAGATGTCTGGATAAGGTCCAGAAAGAGTTAGCGCAACAGGGTCATCAGATCAAATCTAGCCTTCTGAATGCAACACTGAGTAAGAGTAGAGGCGATAATATTAGACCTGCACGGAAATATCCAAGTATAGGCTGGCTCTTTACAGGATGTAGTTACTTGTGCGCGCATACAGCATTGCTGAGCACTGAAATCATTGGTATGAACCTTTATCACTGTGTGCCTAGTATTGGAACTGGCCCTACCCATTTATATCGACACATGTATGCCTCTAACACATTCCCATAATACTTATCTATCTTTTTTTTAGTAGGCTTCTTGGGCATCGATGCACTCTTTGATTCGAAGATATTTCAGCTACCAAAGTTTCTCACCCAAAGTATAGGCTGTCTGACGCTACAAAACATGATAGGGGCACTTTCTAAGCTTTATTCTTCTGCCTTTTGGCCATGGTCAACATCTGATGGACAGCTGCTTCGCACTCTTTCCGATGATGAGCTATCAGCTATCGTCATTTTGGGCTTGATGGGACTGTCGATTGCAGGATTATATTGGGATCCAATGCATTTCACAATACAAAGGATGCCACGGATTCGGATCCGAGAACGTCAATACCATATTTGGGCACGAATCGGCGCGGTTCCTCTTCTGGTTTTGCAATATTTAGTTTTGTTTATCGGTCAATGGAAGCAGAATTTAACTCAGCTCTGTAGTGCAATTCTCATGTTACATATTATATATCTCTTGGCATTTCATACTGGACGATATTTACAGGAACCATTGGAATTCAAGCTTGAGAGACAGGCTATATCCCCACCGTCGTCGAAAGTCCTCTCTCGCAACAATGCCTTATTGGAAAACCAGCACAAGGTAGTGCTTGTTTGGCATTTTCTATTTGATATAGTAGCATCAGAATTATACATATTTGACCAAGCATCGTGTTTTATCTATTAATAGACCAAGAAGCGTGAATCCAATGCTGTGTCCACGTCAACTCGTCTAGCAATAAACTCTTCGGAGCTCTTACATGATGGCCCAAGATCCCGCACTGATTCACCTGACATTGATCAGATGAGTTGGTCATCTAATAAGCCTACCCTAACTTCTGCGAACCATCTGTCAGCAGCATTTGGCATGTATCGGGACCCAAATCGTCACTCGGAGCAGGAAAGCGCGTCATTCCAGCCGGGTTCACGACCCGGGAGTGCAGAAATGTTTAATAACAGCTTTACTGCTGGCAATAGTAATGTCAAATTTCACACACGAGCCTACGAACCCTCGCCACTAGCCAATCCTTCTATCATAGCCAACATGGGGCTTAATAACATATCTTTAGGCGAAATGTTGGGTTTTCCCTCCGCAAAGTTCCAGCCTCCCGAAAACCACTTTGCGCACCGGTCGGCAAGGTCGCAAGAGCAAAATGAGACGAAATCTTGGTCTCATCGGGAGTTTACATCAGAAACAGAGAGGTCTGAATTGAATCATTCGTTAGCCCAACTAAGACGACCTTTAGCTAGGTCTGGATTCTCTGATTATACGGACGCTGACATGAATGATGAAGATGACTCCTTGGCCTTCAGCTCTAATCACGGGCCATTTGGGAGAGATGAAAAAGTTAAGACACCTTCGTCCTCTGGTGGATCTCTAGAATCTCCAAGAAATTGTTGGACATCCGATGGTAGAGATCTTTTTGCAGCGCAAAGATATTTTCCACCTGAGCCTGAAACTGGTTTGGAGGACAACTTCTTCGGTATTGTCAAGATTGTAGATGACTATTTACCTCCTCAGCAAGGGCCTCGGAGCATTGGTGGCAGGAATTTAATGCTCAAGAAACGTTTAGCGCGACGATGGCTCATCCTTTTGTTACTCTGTCGAACCTGTTTTGCCTGGAAGGTAAGGTCATTGCTTTACATTTATCGTAATCTGATATCGATTCACAATGTCACGATCCTCACCCAGTATTATTGTCATGTTATCTCTGTGATATTAGTTTGTGTTTGAATTGTCCGATGCCTTGAGCTGGGCTAGTCAGGCTATGTTTATAGGAGTCGTGATACATGCAACGGCATTTTGGGCACTAGACGAATACCGTGCAGTGCTTCGTCAAATGAGAAAAAAGACTGTAGCTGTAGAAAAGAAATCACCTCCAGAGCCTAATGACCCATATGAACCGAGAAAAGTGGACCATATATGCTCGGTAAGGCTGTGTTCTGATCCCTGTCAAGTCCATTGGGACGTAGAGCATCACAAGAATATCTAATTCTGTATTTTCATATTAATTGTTGAGCAATAGTACCTTTTATTGCTACTTTTGGCTATGCGTGTTGTGAATATCGCATGGGTCCTTGCAGACAACGACGGGCAATTAAATGTGATGGACTGGTCGCCACGCATCCTTCACCTGGTATTCCCATGGAGGGAGAAGCAAGGCGTGTTATGGAGTGCAGTTATGGGATGGATGCAGGATATTTCGATCATGATCCTCCTCCTCATCTTAATAATCTTTGGCGCTGGACACCCATCCTCAAGCAAAAAACACCTATGAGCTCGTGGCTATAGCACAACATATGATTTGCAAAAAAAAAAAAAAAAAAAAAAGATAAAAAACCAACCAAATCGAACCTTGACTCTGCATTCTGCTATCCCTTGGTCTGCAAAGCGCCAATAATTCATGGGCTGAAATAACTCGATAGCCAAAAGGACAAAAAACAGTAATTGGTTTTACTTATAGTTGGACTATGGCCTTCCAATTACTATTGATGTTGACGCTGGTTGCTTGCAAATCTCTTTTAAACGAGAACTTGGACCAAGCAGGCACGAGCAATGCTTTTCGCTCTGATGGTATAGCAATTGAATTAGATCTGGCAGCTGCAGCTAGTATTTTGAGCGTAGAAAGGCAGCTTCGAGAAAGCTGCTGCAGAGGACGTGGGCGCAACACACACTGGTTGATAATTCATAGACTATATTCGAACCGTTGTCATTGTTAGGATATAGTTTCTAACTAACAAATAAAAGGGATCCCAATATCATCAACTTACCCGCCGTACTAAATGGCGCATTAGTGTGGCATGTTTGTTCATCATCCTGGTCGTGCTTTTAAGTGACCAAGCTGATTTTAGCACACCTCTCTGGCTAGCGAACATCCACAATAGTCATTGTACCCATAGTTGTATTGGTTGTTGTCGTAGCCGGAGGACACTTCTCTAACCTATCAAGCTTAATCTCCTCAGTCCCTAGTAGATCAAAGTTATGTTTCAACTGTTGTTCCTGTATTCCTGATTCGTTAGTCTCCCACCCTCATTCTCGGCAGCCCTCCCAAGGCAAACTTGGTACTGAGCGAAAAAGAAAAAGAACTTGGGTGGTTTTGTCGGAATCAGTAGGGTAAAGGGACCATAGGGCGACAAAGTGGATAGTAAGAGAAAGCGGAGGACGAGGAGGTAGAATATAGAGATGGCTCTGGATATATAAGGGCTTTAACTAGTTATATATAAGTCATCCAACGCGTCCGTCGCTTATAGCTTGGCCACACCATGTACATGTACATGTATTGGCTGTTGATACGTGTCCATTGTATGGAACACGCAATTATGAGCCTTTTGTCATTTCCACCGCAATAAAGGTTTGACAAAACTGGGCCTACTTAGAAGGCTGAAGACATTCACGTGTTCCTGGCCGAGAACTACCTGCAAAGTCTTAAGCGTGCTGCCGAGTTGGAGAGCATGATAGAACGCCTATTTCAATTAATGCTAGGGACTGTATACTTACAGAGCTTCGAAAATTTAAATTGAACGTTGGTGATGAAGGACAGGATAAGCTTTCTCTCTCTCACCCTCCTTCCCTCCCTTTTTTTTTTCTTCATTGCTGTTTCAACATCTAGTAACTTGTGGCAATAGAAACGTCAAAATCAGGTTTAGGCAAACTTAACATCATTGACTTCATCTGAAGGACATTTTACTACAACAATGGATTTTTTTGCCAGTGGCCTCAATGCCTTGCGTGGACAAAAAGGGCAACATCAGACAGGATCAGAAATCATTGACAGACTTTGTGAAAGAATAGAGCATGCCACCCTTCTCGAGGACAGACGTGCCGCTGTTCTCGCTCTCAAGTCCTGTTCAAGAGAGCACAAAAGAGTATGGATGGCTGATCACTATTCTTCTGGAGACGATGAAATAATAAAGATGAACATGATGACAAAAAAAAGGGGTACAAAAGAGGCTACGATGAATATGTTTGTATATGATATAGTCGTTGACAAATAGCGAGTTGTCGTAATCCTCAACTAGGATGTTGGAACACGAGGAGTTTTAGTACTCTGCAACATGTTACGACGAGATTCCATGGACATTGATATCTGTAAAGCTGTCCTAGAGACATTAACAGTACTCTGTCAACCGGATACGGTATGATTACTATAAAAAGAAACTGAATCGAGGAGCTAGTAGATGGCGATGTTTACTGATAATCAGCTTGTTGTTTCTCTCATGCATCATATTACCGCATAGGATCGAGAAGGGACCATCGAGTTTGCGCTGGAGATGTCAAATGCAATCATGAAGGCAAGCTACTTAACAGGAGTCAAGAATAGTGGCAAGGAATATTTATATGTTGGAGAGTAAAAGTACCTCAACTAGATTACTGTGTGCTGAATATGACTTTATTCTGATGTTTCATTATCATGGATGTAGGATGCTAGTGATGTGGCCATCCTGTTGGATATGCTCGAGGAAAATGATTTTTACATACGATTCCATGTGGTATCGCTGCTTTCTACACTTGTACTGAATAACGCCGCGCGACTTCAAGAATGTATCTTGACGTCACCTATTGGCATGTCAAGGCTGATTGCACTATTGGATGATCGCCGTGAGATTATTCGCAATGGTAAGATCGGGTTGGATATATTGAATACTAGCTGTTTGTAATAAATCAAAAATAACCTAATAATACCCTTCTCATCCATAGAGGGGCTACTGTTGTTGATATCATTGACAGAGTCGAATGCAGATTTGCAAAAGATCGTTGCTTTTGAAAACGCGTTCGAGAGACTATTGGCTATCATAGACGAAGAGGGGGCCGTCTCGGGGGGGATTATTGTCCAAGACTGTCTTCAATTAGTGCAGAATCTTCTTAGATACAATGTCTCAAATCAGGTACCAGTATATATCCAATATGGTTTTGACTCTTTGAAGATCTGAATGAGAAAAGGAGATCGAATAGTATGATGAGGAAATACCCACTTATTCACATCGTATGGCTGCTGATATCTGGGGGGTTAATACTATAGAATTACTTTCGTGAGACGAGCTGTATACAGCGAATCCCATCTTTGTTTGAAGACGATACGTTGGATAGCAACGGCAGGCATGAGCTTCCGCTGAGAGACCAATGGTCGGACCAAAAGGGGAACAATATGATTATGATTCTGGAGCTGATTCGCGTCCTTGTTGTTCCTGACCACTCAAACACTGCACCAAATCAGGTATGTCAACTCAGGAAGAGTTTTGCCCGATCACCTAATTTTGAGGAAGAAAGTGAGCTATGTGGACTTGAGCTGAACAAGATATTACTATTTTTTACTAATAGAGATCCATGTCTCAATGCGGGATCCTCCAGCTTTTGATCGATCTTTCTTTGGCATCAAATGCTCCTCAAAGGGTGAAGGCCAGTGCATTCTACGCTCTAGCGGAGCTAATTCGGCTGAACAAAGTCAACCAAGATGCGCTATCCAAAGCTGTCATTACTCCAGCCCACCCACCGCCTGTCCCCATAGGAGATGCGTCACTCTCACTTGCAGCACCTTCACGATCATCAACTCAATTATCTCGATCTTCCTTCCAATCTGGGAGAGGCTCTACTGTAGGCGACCGTGGTGCCCAGGCTCATAGACACTTAGAAGTACGCGAACGCTGCCCCGCTATTGTTGAAGTAGTAGCCATTGCTGTAGGACGATATCCTGGCTGCACGTACTCAGTAAGGGCGGCAGCTACCTGTCTATTTCAGGTAATGTTGGTGTAGATTGAAAAGTCTAAGTTTCCGTGGAAAAATCAATTTTTTGTTTCCGTTTTATCTTTTTATAGTATTAACTTTCCTAGCTATAGTCTTTTGTTTTAGAGAATCCAGATACACAATTAGTACTAGCCACAACTCTGAATGCGCCTCCAGAAGACAATCCAAATATAGAGTCTCATGGTAAGTAAACGAGAGTGCAAAGACCAACAAACGGCATTTGGCTCAGAATATGAAAGTTTAGGACATTATCTGATACAGTATTTATCGTTCAGAAAAACCACAATCACCAGGAACACTTTTGCTCAGCGCTCTTCAAGGATGGCAAGATGACGCTGAAACAACTGTGGCGGATCCATACAACAGCTGGTTTGCATCCGTTCTATTTTCTCATATCTTGCAGAACAATGCCCGAGCCAAGGGTATCGCTCTTGCGATAACGTTTGGCGACGAAGAAAATGGTAAGTCTATTAAATTTAAAATGTAAAGCGACGATTCAGTTAAATGTATCGTTCGGTGGCAAAGCTAATAATATTTTATCGTTACATGTCTATACTGGGTAATAGGTGAAGATCCTGTGTCGCTAATTCATGCCATTGCAGCCGCGTTAATGGTTGCTGTGAAGGGACGAGCAGATGTACGAGTTGCTCTGGGTTACTTAGCATTACTGTGTATTTGGTGCTATGATAGTCCCAAGAGCATTAAGGACTTTTTATCGGAAGGTGCACACTTGCAATTTGTAAGAATGAAAATTTTGATTTTGTACCATGCAATTGCACTCTCATGGTATTACAATGCTGGTGCTGAAATGATGCTGTCAGAAGATTTATGACTAATACTATGGATGATTTTTGTATAGTTAATCGAGCTTATTAGTCCATCATCCAAAGAAGATCCTATGGTTCAGGGCTTGGCTGCCTTTCTACTTGGGATATGCTATGAATTCAACTGGGAGAAGGATGCATTGATCACACGAGCTACTATTCAACCCATTATCTTGAGCCGTATCGGACATGACCATTTTGCAGCGTGCATTACTCGCGTACGCGAGTCTAAACCTTTTAATTCAGTCGCGCCATTTATGATAGTTCTTCCATCCGAAGAAAGCGATGGGAAGTTGCCTAATCTCTACTTTGACTATTCATTTGTTGAATTTATGAAACGCACCTTTGGTAAGATATTCTGGACAATTATTATTTTTTTTTCCTTTTACCTTCTTATTGAAGCTTATAAGGATATTGTGTGTATCACATGTAGAACGAACACAGAAGTCAATCACACTGTCTCCAGAAAACACACCCACACAAAATGGGCTGGCACTTCCCAATAATGCCGAGATCGAGTCAAAATTGACTTTGTTACAGACCAAGCTGTCGACGCAAGACGCAGAGTTAGAAGAATTAAGATCACAACTGGAGGAGGCCAAAAAGCTTCTTGCACAGAAGGTTTTTTTTTTTTTTTTTTTTTTTTTTGTACAAGTCTATCTTTTAAATGTGAGCTGCTGAATCAATGTCGTGAACATGTTGCTCAAATAAGTATCTCTTTTTTGTTCAAAAATATATAAAAATAGGCTCATGAACAGGAGCAATACGAGAATACGCTTGCAGGACTGCGTGAGGAGATGCGAAGTCGGCAAGAACAGCATAAGGCACTTGAGCGAGAGCATGAGGATCTCTTAATCTGCCTGGCAGAGCAGGACCAAGAGCTAACGGGCTTGAAGGAACAACTTCGAATGCTTGGAGTGGATGCTCCGTAGTGTCCTCTGTACATATGACTTGTTACTATTAAAACAAAAATGGCTTTGGAATTTACCACAGTAATTCATACGTTGCGTTGCAATTTGGTATGGTGCTTCCTTTTTATTTTTGCAAGCTTTGAACACTGGTGAAAATCACTGCGCTTATAATACGATATGACCCTTTGAAATCCCCTCACCCTCTTCAAGTGGATAGCTCAGCAGGGTCACTATATAAGGAGAAAGAGAACATCTAACAAACATAGCACTGGGGGTTCAAGCGAGCGTATTGAAGTAAATTGATGGCCGGAACGGAAGACTTGAAGCAGATATTGCAATGACAGCTTAGACAGCAGAGACAGCAGAGACAGCAGCAGAGACGCTAAAAAAATGAAGACTGGAGGAGAGACAAGCATACGTCTGCGATATATACATTCTTATAGACGATACCCCATGCGTATAATCCGAGCTTACCTCCAATTCTTTTATTATTAACGAGCATTATACGATGGCTTGGGTATATACACATTTAGAAAATGCCACGTAAAAATGCTTACTACCAAGTCCCTCTTGCGGAAGATAAAACGTCGATGTTTTCGGAGCTGACAGTTCCTCCTGTTCGCTGCAGCAGAAATTGGTGCCCTGTGCTGGCTCGTGTACATACTCGTTAATGCACTTGGCCAACGAAACAGGCCCGAAGATTCCGACGTTGATGTATGCATTGTGTTTGGCTGCAAACCGCAGGTTATGAGAAGCGATTATAGTGTTATTAGCGATATCGCTATACGTATCACAAAGGGGTGTTTGAGCTCGTTGCGTTGGCAATGGCTGTCGTTACGAGCGTGGATGCTTTTTGCTGCCGCTTTCTTCGACCATTCATGGTAACCGATGGCTATGAACACCACATGGACTATGAGCCATGTACGATGTCACTTTCTCGTACGCCAGTGCGGCTTTTATAACGATCAGTGATGTCAGCATGAGACGGCTTGTTCTCGGCGGGTTTGATCACTGAAAGCTCGACTAGCCATGGAATTTGACCAGTATAACGAGAATTTCGACGGTCTCTTGTCATTGTTCTTCACGCGCTCCTTACTAATCATGGACGCATTGTAGCGAAGGCAATGGATCATTGACTCCAACTTGTATCCTCATAGTACTTACCACTTTCTCCCCTAATTCGAACTTTAAAAACATTAACAGCTGCTTTGCTTGTATATGAACTACGTACATGTCCTAGTTAAGCCTTTAAACTACAAATGTCAATTGGAGGAAGTACCAAGATAGTGAGTCGAATGACTGCTCGTCTAAAAGAAAAAGGTTGGACAACTGTTAGCCATAGCGATGCAAAGAAATACTCCATTAGTAGTGTTCTCCAGGCATTGTTAGGATCATGAGAGCTAACAACTTGCTGATTTGAATGAAGTAGTAGAGGGATAAATATGTAGTTTTGAAACATGCCCCACCAGGATGTAGGCTATTTTTTTCTAATCCTATTGACATCAAGGTGGCAGCTAGTAAAGTAGATCAAGTGCTGCGCATCTGACAGACACGACACTCGATTTTCATTTTTTTTTTTTTTTTTTTTTTAATGTCTAGAATGATTCAGTGGCAGACCTTCTTTTTTCAACATCTCTAAGAAGCTTGCAACAAGGAGACTAATTTGATTGCGAAATATATCCGGTCATGACCAAATGAAGAGAAGACAACTAATCCCGCCAGCCATTACATCAATAAAAAAAATCTTAGTGTAGCTTAAAATGTCTTTTCAAGTTTATCCTCTTGTTGATGGATTGTCCTCACCACGATGTAATTTATAATACAACCTTCATTAGGCCGACATTGCTGATATCATTTTCATTTACAGATATATATATATGATTGTACAGTCTATATATACGATGCACAAACACTTGATTGCTCTGCTCCAGACTTGTTTACGTTTAAAAGATCGACTCGCCCATATAATTTTATTGTATTCTTGATGGATAAAATGTCTCCACCGTGTTCTGAAAGAATGGAAGTTTGCATCATTTATTTGTATTGCCTAATGTTGCACAGTAAACAAAAAAAAAAAAAAAAAAAAAAAAAAAGCCGTTGTAATGACGAACCACATGTTCTGAACATTTGTTTATCAGGAAAACTGCATGATTTTTTTATTCCATCTTGTACGCTTTATTTGTTTCCTGTGCGCGCGTGTGTCATTGAGCACAAAACAAACATGTGTAATGGCATCAGCATGATCAGTGTCAGTGATACAGTTATACCCAAAAAAAGACATGAGTTGGGCTGGACTGAGCAATTTAATCTCGTCTGCATCCAAATCTTCAACCCTGTCCAAAAAGGGCGGCGGATCGGATCATTTGATAGACCCGCGTTAAAAAAAGCATCAATTTATTAAACTGACAGACGTTTCACACCATAACTCCATCATCTTTTCTACTATTTTTTTTCTCTTCTTTTTTTAAATTAAATACTTTCACTCTTGGTCAGCATCCATTCGCTGGATGTTGTTGTTGTTGTTGTTGTTATTGTCTCTCTATTTCTTTCTTCATTTATAACAACAGAATACCTGAGCGTATCTTCTTTTGATCCTCTGCATCCCCATTTACGAACACCTGCACACCCTTCTATACCAACTGCCGTTTTCTTTTCCATATTTTTATCATTATCCTGATCAAAGACAGCCTAAACGTGTCGGGGTATGTAAGAATTATCAAAAACCTGTATCCCATGACTGTTCCATCAACGCTCTCAATGCATAAAACATATTCACAAAATTTCAGTGTGCTATGTTATGAAAGTGACAAGTGTATAAAAAAATATATACAATTTAATGCCTAATGAAATACCACCAATATTGCTCAGCGTCTACACCCTGAATAGGTATGGCTATGAACGAAAAAACAGAAATTCAGACGCAGGATGCGCCTCCAGTAGTTGTAAGCAAAGAAGACAAGATTGGAAACGTTGAGATTGAAGAGCAAGTTCACCATGAGCATGTTGAGGAAATATCGCCTGAGCTTGAGGCACTGCTTCATACCGATCCCGGCCAGGGCTTAAGTGACGATGAGGTTGCTCGACGGCGTGAAACTTTTGGCCGCAATGAGTTAATTGAGAAGAAGCGCCATCCTTTACTCAAGTTCCTCAGTTATTTCACAGGCGCCATTGCTTATTTGATTGAGATTGCTTGTATTTGTGCAGCAGTTGTTGGTGTAAGTATAAAATTGTCGCCTCTCACCGTTGTGTCATTTAAAAGCGCGACTTCTGTACTCGCTGAAATGGATGGAAGACAATGTCTCTTTCCTTGCTCAGTTGGTATCCTAAAACTGTTTTATAACTGGCTTGACTCACTTTTCCTGCCTTTTATTTTTATTTTTATTTTTATTTTTTTTTGCTGTTTATTCGACATAGGATTGGCCTGATTTTGGCATTATTCTGGCCTTGCTGTTCATCAATGCCACTATTGGTTTTGTTGAGGAAGCCAAAGCAGAATCGGCTCTGGACGCTCTCAAACAAACACTAGCATTGAAAACTCGTTGTTGGCGTAACGGTCATCTAGTTGAACTTGATACTTCTGAACTTGTGCCTGGCGATGTGATTATTTTGCGTCTTGGCGATATCATTCCTGCTGATGGCCGCCTTCTTGGAATTGGCGCCACTGGCGAGAGCACTGAGGGCGATCTGATGGTTGACCAGTCTGCTTTGACCGGAGAATCATTGCCTTTGGCAAAGAATAAGGGCGCTACCGTGTATTCTTCATCAATCGTCAAGCAGGGTCAGCAAATGGCGGTTGTGACAAAGACCGGTGGAGATACTTTCATTGGACGTGCAGCGGGCCTTATGGCCGTAGCCACTGAAGAAGGCCATTTCCAAAAGATTATCAACCGTATCGGCAACTTTTTGATCTTGATCACAGTTGTCCTTGTCCTAATTATTCTCATTTACCTCTTGGTCGATAATCGAGGTACTAAGGAGGGTGAATTCAAACACGTTCTCGAACAAGTCCTGGTCCTCACTATTGCTGCCATCCCTGTCGGTCTTCCTACAGTCATGTCTGTGACCATGGCAATGGGTGCCAAGGAGCTCGCGCTTCGCAAAGTCATTGTCAAGCGTCTGACAGCTGTGGAGGAAATGGCATCGGTTTCTGTTCTATGTTCTGACAAGACTGGGACATTGACACTGAACGAGCTGACTTTTGACGAACCTTACTTGACCAACAACTACACATCAGAAGATATCCTACTATACTCTTACCTTGCGGCCGAGCCTGGTGCTAACGACCCCATTGAAGCTGCTGTCCGTACCGCTGCAGAGGATCAGCTTGATATTCTCAAAGATCGTACACATAAGCATGATGTCCCTGGATACAAAGTGACGTCTTTCCTACCCTTCAATCCAGCGACGAAAATGACACAGGCGACTGTCTTGAATTTGGACACTCAAGAATCTTTTAAGGTCGCCAAGGGCGCTCCTCAAGTTATTATTCGCCTTGTTGGTGGTGACGATGATGCTGTCCGTGCTGTTAATGCGCTTGCAAAGCGCGGTCTCCGTGCTCTGGGTGTTGCGCGCACCAAACGAAGCAGTTTAGAGGAGTATGAACTTGTTGGAATGATTTCGTTGATTGATCCCCCTCGCCCGGATTCTGGCGAGACTATTCGCCGCTGTAACGATATGGGTGTAGATGTTAAAATGATTACCGGAGACCAGCAGATTATTGCCAAGGAGGTCGCGCATCGTCTGGGTCTGGGACGTGTTATATTGGATGCTGGTCACTTGGTGAATGAGGATAAATCTGAAGATGAGATCACAGAACATTGTATTCGTGCTGACGGATTCGCGCAGGTCATCCCTGAGCACAAATATCGCGTTGTTGAATTGCTTCAGAATCGAGGTATCCTCGTTGGGATGACAGGTGATGGTGTGAACGATGCCCCAGCTCTCAAAAAAGCTAACGTTGGTATTGCTGTCCACGGATGCACAGATGCTGCTCGTTCTGCTGCTGACATAGTCTTGCTCGCTCCTGGATTGTCTACTATCGTTGACGGGCTATTGACCTCTCGAGCTATTTTCCAGCGTATGCGATCGTATGCTCTCTATCGTATCACCTCCACAGTCCACTTCCTTATATTTTTCTTCTGTATCACCATGGCTCTCCAGTGGAGGATGAGGCCAATATTACTTATTCTAATCTGCATTTTGAACGATGCTGCCACGTTGGTAATCTCGGTTGATAATGCAAAGATCTCTGCTCATCCTGACAAATGGAGGATAGGCCAGCTCATTTTCCTGTCTATTGTGCTTGGTGCACTCTTGACTGCCCTCTCGTTTGCTCACTTCTTTATCGCACGTGATGTCTTTGATGTTTCTGAGCATCAGCTAGAGGCCATTATGTATTTACATATCTCCTCTGCGCCTCACTTCGTCATCTTTTCGACACGTCTCTCTGGATACTTTTGGGAGAATATCCCCTCACCAATCTTCTTTATTGCTGTCATGGGCACCCAGGTTTTCGCAATGCTGATTTGTGTATATGGCGTGATCGTTGGTGAGGCTATTGGTTGGCTTTGGGGTATCGCTGTCATTGGAATTTCTCTTGTCTATTTTGTCATTCTCGACTTTGTCAAGGTCTTCATTTTCAAGCGATGGAACTTTGAGTTCACAGCTCATGCATGGCCTACAAAGGCTCGTAGAGAGAAGCTCGCTGCACGAAAGGCTCGTGCAATCCAACAAGACCATGTTTGGTCTTCTATTGATCAAGTTCGTCACCTTGGCCTCAAGATCAAAGCTATCGAGGCTCTTAAGGCTTAAAAAGAAAGAAAAGAAAAGGCTCTACTTTACATTTATACTAATCAGAGTAAATATTAATATATTTTTAAGCCATCTATTCCTTTATTTCATTTGCTTATGATATTGCATACTACATAATCGTCTACGCATATTGAAGAATAACATGCCAGGATAATTTATAGTTTCAGATCAGTTATTGCTGAGTGGTTACAAACTTGGAATCTCTCATACCTGGAAAAGATTCATAGGAGTAAATTTACTTGTGTAATAGTGTAATAGTAAAGCCACTTGCTAAATGCTTGTTTATTCTAGAACAAATGAACAAGAAGGAAGTCTTCATACTTTCATCAACTAGGTTGCAAATTGCTATAGTGCCACTAGCAATTAGCCGAGCATTCCGCGTCGGGGGCGTCCGTGACTTTGGTGAGTTGATGTGTTGGCAACAATATTAAATTTGTCCACCATCTAGTTGCAGCCAAAGCAAAACCATAAAAATAAGATTTAGTTTTAGTTATTGATGGTTATAAACAAGATGGTATTAATAATATAAATATGCTACTATTGATGTAGGTACCTCGCTCATCACATAGGTGCCTTTAGTTACTGTAGCCAGATATGAAGTCAAAAGGACATCATTATACTCCTAAGGAGGTCAATTTATATATAGAAAAGTACAGTTAGGATTTGTATATAGGGATGATAAAGCAATGGATACTGAGAACAAAATATGGATAAGATTCTACCGTCATAAACTCTTCTTCGAAAGCCTGTCCTGAAATAGTCGGTAAACGATTGCATAAACTAGAGATTTGTCTTTCCAAGTCATGATCCTTGGGCACACGACCTAGTGCCATGATAGTGATATAGAGTTAATATGCTGATTCCTGTGTCCTTTTTTTATTTTTATTTTATTTTATTTTATTTTTAAAAAAGAAAAAGCAAATTCTATTACCTTGAATAGAGTCTTGGAGGTATTGGTGGAGTAGTTTGATGCGGGTATCAAGCATTTTGACCGCATTCTTTTGGCCTGAGAGATGGGCCACAAGCGAGCTTTCACCCTCTTGATGAGTTGATGCATGAGCAACATGATCTACCGCAATTCTTTCAGCCTCGCCAGTTTCTACCTTGTATGATGCTTTAATAAACATTGGTTGAGGCTGGTTATCAACAATATCGACAAGCGATTCGTATACTGTGATGGGTAAAGAACGAGCGGGCGTTGGGATCTCATTGGGATCCAACTGCAAAAATAATGGACTTTCGTTGTATACCGAAAGCTTGCAAATCATCAAAGTTCAATATATTAACATACAGAAAGTATTAGATAGTTGATCATGAATACGAGGTGGGAAAAAGTAAGACATGTTTCTAGCCTCGTACTGAAGAGGACTGTACCTGTTGAAGCACATCAATATCAATCATAGAAGGCTTAGAACCGATGGTATACCAACCTAGGAAATCGTAGGCCGGGAACACTTGACGAACTAGTTATTTCCAAAAATCTTGTCTCAGTAAGTCTTTATGAAAGTTGAGAGAATCCATGCTAGTTATACGCATATTCATGATACATTAAACTTTACTTACATTGTTCTTGTTTTGTTACAAAGTATTCATCGTGGATTCGAATTGAGCCAGTTGGTTGTAGAGTGAACTGAAGCTCATACGAGTTGAATATCTCCACTTCGCGTCCAGTCTGAATGCCCAATAATGCACCAATGACTATGATACAAAAGATTATAAAAAAGCCGCCGAGAGTTTGAGCGAGCATTCTTTACTTGTTTGATATATAGCAGGGTGGAAAAAAAAAAAAAGTAAAATAAAAATAAAAATAAAAAAAGTAAAACAGAATCTGAAGTTTACCATGCACAGGCTTGTTATTGCCTGCCCGCTGTATAACGTTCCTTGTATAGTGGTCAGAGATATTGAGCAATGTCAATGGATGTCTAAAGTGTCCAGAGAACCGAAAGCTATTAGTTCATAATCGCGCTTGTCATTACATCGAGTCACGGCAGGTGGTGAGGAGGTTTAAGACATCAATGGGAAATAGACCATAGGCACCATTGTGAGTGAAGACCATATGCTTGTCTGCGATGCCAAGAATCACTGCAAAATCGGCTATTTTTCTTAGAATATGGTCATTGACGCTGACGCGTCAGAGGTTTTCATCATTCGAAGAAAACATTCTACTGCCGTCCAAAATGGAATACATACATGGCAATGTGCAATCCCGAATTATTAGGCTGGTTTAGGACGACCGATGTAGTATCACCGACTGCTGCCATTGTGAGATGTTACGAAGTGAAAGGAATACAGATGTGTCCATGCAAAGAGGCACTCTTGTAGTGAAGTTGCGCCACCATCCTGAAAAGGTGCATGTGACTGCACTACAGCCTCAAAGTTCTTTCTTTTCAACATTGCAACAACAAATACATAGAACAAGATGATACTGGTGTATTTTTTTTTGCATCTTATCTAACTACTGTTCCAATGTCTACAGATTACTTTGTTCACTGCCTTAAATGATTGTCCGGTAATAGTAAGAAAACGACCGCATTTGATCCACTGGATTTCCAAAGCATATGTGTTCTTCAGAGAACAAGGCAGGTCTTACCGCGCGAGCGTCCACCCTTGGGTTTGGCCAAAAGCGATGCTCTGGTTGCGCTTTCAAACACCTCACGCACACCTTCACCTGTCTTTGCAGAACACTCGAGATAATCTCTAGCCTTAATATGGCGAGCGACCTCCAAACCCTAAATCATAAGATGAACCATTGTCGAAATAAAAAATACAGAACACGAGTTAGTTGTGTGCGTATGTAACGAAAAAGTAACATTACATGTAATAATAAAAGCTTGTTCAGATCAATACACCTAATCCAGACACCTAAAACACCAAATTTGTTCCTTTTGTAGATACATACTCGCTCTGGTGTGACAGGAGCCTGCTTAGTCTTTGCTAACTCCTCAATAGTAGTCCTGTCAAATCGAAGATCCTTCTTGCAGGCTACAAGAAGAATGGGAAGCCCGCCACAGAAGTGCTGCACCTCAGAATGCCACTACAGATAAAAATGAAAAATAAAATTAGACTACAGTCATAACGATAAACTACACTTTTTATCGTTACTTCTTTTAAGCACTATTAATATACCTTCTCCTGTACGTTTTCCAGGGAATCAGGTGAGTCAATGGCAAAGCAGATGAGAATCACATGAGAGTCAGGGTAAGAGAGAGGACGAAGACGGTCATAATCCTCCTGACCTATTTAAAATGTGGAAATGGTGAATGTAGGGCACATGTGAGGGAGAATACATCGTTAGGACTAAATTGCTCGATCAATTCACTTGCACTTTTTATAAACTAAAAAAAAAGCATACCAGCAGTATCCCAGAGAGCAAGTTCGACATGCTTGCCATCAACTTCGACATCAGTCACGTAGTTTTCAAAGACAGTGGGGACATAAATCTAACAAGGAAACAAGGAGATTGTTTTCAAGGATGAGTATATTTTCGACGAGCATTGATGATGTGAATGAACAATTTGTAACAGCATGATTCCAAGCTGCTGCGACATGCTCATGTTGCAATTATATATTACATATAGTCATTGAGTAGTGAATAAGTCGGAAGAGAAAGAGCAGTGTGTAAAAAAATTAAGAGAGAAAGAAAGAGAGAGCAATACTGCGCCAGAAAAACAGAACAGGATTAGATTGGACAACATACCTCAGGGAAGGTTCCCTTTGAGAAGACGATAAGGAGACAGGTCTTGCCACAAGCACCATCGCCAACAATAACGAGCTTTCGACGGATTTCAGTCATGTTTAATGAGAAAAGAGATGATGTCTGTGGATAAGAGAGACGTCAGAGGGTCATAAAAACAAAGTCGGGGCACGTTTTTGTTAGCGTCACGGATGATGAGAAGAGCCATGAATAGTAATGAAAAAGGAGTATTATTTTTTTTTCTTCAACAAAACAAAAAAAAAGTGCTGATTAAACAAGGAACTGCAACCTACATGGGATGCACAATCGAAAAAAGGATAGATGATATATCTGCTAGGAAAGAGAAGGAAAGAGTGAGAGAGTTAAAGAGAAGGAGGGGAGTAAAAGGATGAGACGATAAGAACGTGATGGATGGAAGGATGATGATGACAGTGGCAGTGATGGGAGAAAGCCAAAAAAGAATAAAAAAGAAGGTTTTTTTATTTTAATGAATTTAGGGGAGAAGAGATGGGATGGATGACAAAAGAAAAAGAAAAGAAACTGACGAAAATAAAAAATAAAGGAGCTTTTTGCAACGATACACTTTTTCCTCACACATAAAAGCATGTGTCCAGTCTGGAAATTTACTCTTTGTCGTCACAGCACAACATTTGGATACATGCTGCATTAAAGAAACAGCCAATTTACCGTACATGCCATCCTGTACATGTACATAATAACCACATGTGCCCATTGATTGCCATGTATCCCGTGCAGGTCTAGTGTCAATCTTCTTTTCTCTAGCGTCTGACAAATTAAATAGTCAAATCAAATAGTTTTCTTTTCTGACTTGCTGACTGCCTCTCCACTGCGCCACCGTTCTTTATGATAAACACAAAAAGAAAAACGCGTTCTTTCTCTACCCCGCTAACTAACAAGCTCTTCGTCCTCCATTGTCCTGATTCACACACGCGTCTCCATCCTCCTTATTCCCGCCATGTCGTTATTTGCAAGGCAAGTTCATCTGCTTTAACAGAGTACATTTTGTTTCGTCATTGTTATCATGTTTCATTTATTCTTTTTTTTTTTTTTTACACGTATATCATTCCAGCGCATCCACTCCAGTTTCAACAGCCTCAACAACATCTAATCTCTTTGGCTCAACAACGCCTACTACATCAGCCCCAAATCTTTTCGGGCCCACAGCACCAACAACCTCATCCTCAAACCTTTTCGGAACGACTCCTGCTTCCTCAGCCCCGAACTCTTTCGGAACTTCGACTCCTGCAATATCAACTACTGGTCTCTTTGGCTCAACAACGCCTGTTACATCGACTCCAAGCCTATTTGGCTCTCTCGGCGCTACATCCACATCCGCAGCTGCTACATCCGCTACATCCGCACCAGCTTCCACGTCACTTTTCTCTTCCTTGTCCACACCAGCGTCCACTTCTGCAACTACGACCCCAAGCTTGTTTGTCTCTGGACCATCGACCATCTCAGGCACCTTATTTGGCAATCCAAACTCCACAGCCGCCTCAAATGCTTTAAGCAATGCTGCGAATAAAAATACTCTATCAGCATCCGCATTGACCGGAGGGACGACAACAGTGTAAGCAGCAATGATATTGCTCAATAATGTAATTAATATGGCAAAATAATTCTCCAATTAATGGCTTTTCTTAAAAAAATGATTCATCTCTTCATTCTTAAAAGTGTACTCACACCAGACACCATTGCAGGGTCAACGAAATACACGGAACTCCCATCAGACGCTAAGAACACGCTTGATCAGCTGCAGTAAGTGCTAAGGACTTGCATAGAACCTACATCCAAATGCTATTAGTTCATACAACAGGATACATAATTGTAGAGCGAGTGGCTCATTCAATCTCCACAGCTCCTTTTTACAGGGCCAAATCCATTTATCAGCCACACTCACAGCGAGATCGTCAGATTCACTAGACAAGATTTCAAAGGATACCGAGGAGTTATCCAAGGTTCGTGCTTCATAATCCATCATGCTCTGCTCTTTTGCTTTGTAGGATAAAGGGTTATTTGTGACCGGCTCGCCTGACTAACCCTTATACCTCATGGACAACTCCGAATTCTGAAGCGCTTGGTAACATTGAATGATGCACTAAAACGTGACACCATGGTAATCCAGGCCTTGCAAGATAAAATCGATAAAGAGCTCAAGCAAGCCGATTCTGCAGGCAGGATCATTGAAGCCTATGCCAACACCTCCCACGCCAATTTTCTTTACGCAGGAAATAATTCCGCAGGACAGTAGGTCGCTAGTATTCTATACATGATTATTTCCATACAAGGGTTTCAAAATTCGCAGAATCTTCATCGAACACTTTTTTCGTTTATTTACAACTAGATATTTCATGGATCAATGCCAATCATTTGAAGATCAACTTCGTACTTTCCGAAGCACAATCGAGGTATTATATACTTATCGAAGTCTAGTTGACTACGAAAAATGTTTTTATCTAAAACATTGTTTATTTGATTTTTTTTTTTTTTTTTTTTTTTTTTTTTAACCCAATAGGATATCGAGCGTCATCTTGTTTCCTTTAACGTTAAGCATCCGCATGTCTCTCATGGTATGATTTTTTTCATTAAGGCTTTTTCTCTTTTTTCTTTTGAAAGTTTGATCCACTTCATTTTGCTCAAGTCCCAAACACTTATACTGTGTATATTTATCTACTGAAAGCTCTGCCTGAAGTTCTGAGAAATCAACATGAAGGATTTCTCGCTGTAGCAGGAAAGGTGGCCTTACTACACGAAGAGGTTAAGGACAAAGAAAAAGCCTATTTAATGTTCCGGCGAAAGTTCTTTGACGATGATTCAGACCCTTTTGAAGCCAACAGCAAACATCGCAAGACAGAGGCCATCAGCCATGGACAACCACTTAAGAGCAGTGGTCGATCTCTTGAAGGGCAGAGATCATTCAGAGAGATCGCTAAAGAAACCCTCAGACCTGGCAACGCCAGTGCTCCTGGGGAGTTTGGTCAAAAATCCCTGACAAGGACTCTACGTTAGAGTCCGGATGAGGAATCATTGACTGCATCTTCATATAGGGAAAATAAAGCATACTGTTGATTCAATTAGACGAGCGCCTGGCATTTGCAAACGATAGTGATGGAAGTAGGATATAGCAACAGACGGAATGCAGTATTAGATGAGCCCACATAAAGTTAAATACATTTTATAAACTCTGAAACTAATTTTTTGCTACAATAGATTACCTTTTTATATCTGTGAATGCAATTTCCATTTGGCTAACATTGAGGTGGATTGCTATACTTTGCCATGCTTGAAGGATCTCGCTATAAATATATACATTATACAGACCGATAGATGTGGCTTTTTTTCTGGTGAGGATAGAATGGCAGCCAAGGTTGGTCACATCACACATAGCCATAATTTTGTCCACTTATGCCGAAAAAAAAAGAAAGAGAAAATAGAAAGAGAAATAACAAAGCGAAAAAGAGACGGATGACAATAAAGGGAAGAAAGAGGAGAGGAGGAGGGGAAGGAACCGATTAGATACTGTTGAAGTAGCCAACTATGAGCAATTGAGACGAACTGGTGGATTTGGGCAAAGCACGACACCTGCCTAATCTTACCTGTATAAAATCATTCTATGAATCCCTTTTTCAGATTTCTGACCTATTTAGCTGACAGGAAGAATGCATTGGCAAAGATGAGTCATTTCGAGTCCAAGAGCATGGTTACACTGAACTGTGCTGCTTTGCTTTGCCCAAAAACATGCACAACAAAAGGTATAAAAGGACTTTGATTCCTTCTCTTCTCTTTATCACTTTAACAACCCATCAACGTCGAATCCCATTTTTTAAATATAACTATATTCATATACTTACTACACTTTCATTTCCCGAATCCTGATTTTATTGTACTTGTCATCATGGCCCCCTTCTCTGCTTAAAAAAAAAGTTGATATATATCGTGTGCCTTGTCCTTTAACCTTTCTAGCTTGACTTTTTACCTTTTGGAGCAAAAAAGAACGGCAATCTTCCCCTTCTTCGCTACCTCATTTTTAAAAGACTTTGATACTTTGTCTCATTTCCTTTTTTTTTTTTTTTTACCAGCCATAATCCAAAAATGATTTGCGCCTTCACTACTCTCCCAACAAGCACCATTCGCATCACTCAATCCCTTTACACAAGAAGAACCACAAGAAGTAGAAGAACTCATTTAGTTTTACTAGTATCTTCATTATAATTTCTACCATTATATTCAAGTACGATCTACGTTATCTGGACGTCCTTCAAGTCTAAATGGCTGCTTCTAACAATTCTTTACTGGCCAATGCCAACACACCTCAGCTTGCTGACTCACTTGAATCTGCCTTGATACAGTGTAAGCTTTATTTATTTTCAGTTTTTGTGACCAATCCATTTAACCATTTCACTCAACAGATCTGGCTCTTTCATTTATGACTCTTTAACCTTTTGTAGTCAACAAGCTTGCTGCCTCAGTTCAACATCCTGTTACTGTTCCTAATCCGTCCAATGCAGGTAGAGGTTTCGATGAATGGCTTGCAAACGATCTCCAATACGGGGCTCTGCTGGTTGGCGATGAAACGCCTCCTATTACCACAGCCAGTCCATATTCATTCGAAGACGAATCACCTTTACTCAAGTACGAGACAGTATTGTCAATTACTCCTGTGCCATCACTTTTCGAGCGCCCCAATACATTTCAATCTCACCCCTGCGGTATGCAAGGCCTAGCAGCCCAAGAGTTTGGACTCGGCCCAATGGAGCTCTTAACACCTCATGGACTGACAACCAGCCGACTACAGCAAGCAGCAGCAGCTCTCAAAATCCCTTGGAGCCAAGAACTTAAGACTGCAGTGCTAGAACAGACTAAGAAGCTCCCCCTGAATATAATTAGCTCTATCGCTCAGGAAGGCATATTGTCTTCATCACAATCATCTACTGCTACAGCGGCTACGGCTATGACTATGGCTACGGCTACAAGTACAGCCAAGATTAAGGCCAAGACCACAGCCAAGCGCCCTTGCAGTATTGACGAAGAAGAACCAGAGGAAATTCTAGCTAAGCGTGCTAAGAACACCGATGCCGCCCGCCGGTCCCGTCTCAAGAAGTTAATCAAGTTGGAGGGGCTAGAGGCTAAGGTGGCAGAGCTGGAGACCATTAAACGTTGCCTCAATACGCGGGTTGCAGTGTTGGAAACAGAGAAGAATGGCTTTTTAATCAAACAGGCTGAGCAGAATGCAAGGATTGCCCAGCTCGAGGCTAAGATTATGGAAGCCCATCTTGCTTTAAAGACTCGAGATCTATGATACTTTTATTATTATTTTTTAGTACTGGTAGTTGTTATAGTAAATATATATTTATGTCTACAATGAAAAGCTATAGGGAAGTAGCATGCTTCTCCCCAAACATCACAATAATAGTGTGGCTACAAGCTAGAGGTGTGGGCACTAGACTAGGCTATTGGCGGGCTCGTTTCTTCTCCGTAGAGGCCAAGACTCGAAGCGTTGCTCCATACTCACTGGTGAAGCAGGCCTGCGGAAACTCTTGCTGGACTAGTTCAAGAGTATATAGTTGGGATGCGGTGGTTTTGAAACAGGTGATTACATCCTTGTCAAAGGTAACAACATGAGAAAAAAAAGCCTTTTTTATCAAAGAATGGGTTCAGATGTCGCTCTTTGCTCTAACAGCCTATTGCGTTAAAGCAGATATATTCGTTGGCTCTCAAGTTCCGGCATCAATGGCGGAGATAGGAGTGATGTAGTTGCATGCGCTTATTGCTTGGAGTAAAAGCTATCTAAGCACCCTTTCTTACTGGACGGTGCCTTGTTAATGGTGATATTGCGCAGCGCCTTGTGGATGGAGGGAGCAGAAGCGAGAGTGGTGGTTTTTGGCGGTCGTTTGGTGTGTGTATGTGTGAATTTGATAGTTGATACCAATCGCCAAAATATATGCATATAAAATTACAGATATCAACATGATATACGAAATTACAATAACAGAAGCGAGATTAATACCGACGCGTTTGAGTTTTTTTCCTAGGGATTGTTATAACCATGGCATGATTGTGAAGTGGTCGCCAAAATAAAGTTTGTTTATTTCTTCTGGAGGCACCAATGGAAAACGCTTATGTATTGGAATTGCCTAGAAAACAAAAAAAAACGCCGCGATGCAAAATGTGTTTATACATGTACAGAAATCAAAGAGACGCTTCAGCTGTTTATTCAATAGCCTGGTGCATGTTCGTGCACACAGTGATTGACGAACAAAAAAGGAAAAAAAAGCCCGCAGTGAAAGAAGGCATGTGCAGATAACAAATAAGCACAGCAGCTGTTTGCTCACATACATTTTTTTCACCGTTGTGTCTGTATGTCTTTTAAGCTTTCTGTCTGGCCGTTTAACATTAGGAACCCTCAGAAAAAGAAATACCTCGCATGATTGGTGCCAGGTCTGAAAACAATAATAATGCAATGCTGTGTGTGGATGATAGGACCCTGAAACTATACCATTGTTATGCGGACTCACCGAAATCAACTTGTGATCACAACTGCTACTCATGCTCTGTTGCCAAGGACTTGAATAGGCATACCAACCCCTTCTTCCTTGCTCCCATAACCGCTTACATCCTTTCGATGCATTCTTTCGCCGTTTATGTCCACTACATCTGAACCACTCACTCCAACAGAGATATTTGTATCATCTTGGGTATGATATGTTGCTGTGGTTCCCTCTGGTTCCAACAGGAGTGCTTACCAACCCAGATATATCAAGGGACGCAAGAAGACGAGGAAGCGAACGATGTGAAAAATCAAGTCTTGCCGAGCTGTACAGGAAAAGATCAAGTTAGTCAAGCTCTATGGTGCGGTAGAATGAATCAACTCAGATTGCCCTCCTTTCAAGTCGATGCTACGGCAGCGAATATTATAGCTGTTATATTACATCAGTCTATAAATAAACGATACAATGGACTCCCAAGGGGATGCTAGGGTCATGCGAAAGCCTTCATGAGTTTTTTTATTTGCACAAATAAAGAAGCCAGGATAGCTCCATGACAGTTTAGTTTTCGGTCATTTATTTCAACGTCGAAATAAAATTTCCATGGATTGAGCCCATTTATAATGGCAAATTTGCCCTTGTTACGGATGAAGGGATAAGACCCATCACCTTCAACTCTTTCGACTGTCATTGTCACTAAATTGCCAGCGTCGGTTTGGCCATTCTCGTCAGTGATGGAAACACGTTTGCGCTCAACCCTTTTCTTCAGTCCAATACTATCGTTTCTAATATATTTTTGACTTGTGAAAGCAATCATAAAATAACGAAGCAAAGCAAAGGGACGCGCCGCTCTATTGATAAGCAGCTGGAGCTGCCTCCCAAATGCGTTATCCTTATTGATAGTGCTGCATGTACAGAGGCATTATGTGAAGCTATAGGAGACTAGAGTAGTAACATACAAGGGGTCACAGATGTCTTTATGATGAGCTGCTACTCATTTCATGTCTAATATAAACTCGCAAAGGATTTGTCGAGGTTTTAGTGCTGACGAAGACTCTTGTTGATTCCGGCAAGATGATATTAACGAACAGAAGTATTACTCGAACTCACACAGGCAGGTATAGGGCGCTCTCGAAAACCTTCTCGTGAAGTCTTTCTCGGCGCGGACGAAGGGTTCCAGGAAAGTCACCGATAAACTTTGTTCTACACCATAATCTCTTTCGAAGGAGAAATAATCATTGAATTATTTCGATTGCCACTTAAGATCTGTTCGCACGCATGTTTTCATTTAATTGCTTCCATCATTTCCTTCGAAGACATTTATAATAATGCAAAGAGATGCTGCTCCTTCACAGATTCGCAAGAAGATCTTGCGTCCACCTTTACTCATTAACAATTCATCTAGAAAACCTGGAACTGAAACTGTTGGGGACAGCAGCTCTAGCCATAGCGCAGTAGAGACCTCCACGTCTTCGTCAGCTTTATCCACGCCATTCAATAGGCAGCTTATGAAGCCATTCAAGTCACCTTTGATGTCTGCTTTCAAATCGCCACTGCGTCAAGATACCTCCATTGTTTCTACTACGGACTCCCCATCTCCTATCTTAATGGTAGCAAAGGAGATTGCTAATCCTCCTGGATCAAAGAAAAGAGTATCAGAGATAGTTGACTCTGATGCAATAAAATTACCAAAGCTCTCAGGAAACACCCCAAAGCCTAAAGCTGGACTACATACTGCTTTGGCATTTAAGCAACCAACTCTCCGCACTACCGAGACTACAGAGCGGATAGTACAAGAAAGATGTTTTAATGTCTTATGGTATGAAAATTGAGATGATTCGAGACAATTATAATTGTAATTGAAGAAAAAGATTTTGATCTGAATTGCTGAAATCTTTTGGCTATAGGCGAAAGAAGAGCGGGAAAAAGCACAAATCGTGGGATGGTGATGGTATGGATCAGCAGTACGACTACAATAACTACAATGATAACAGTACCATCAAGTTAGGAATAGCATCATCAACCGCTTTTGCATTTATCCGAGGCTGATATGTTTATTGTTGGGTAAACAACCTCTAGGGATTCTTGTGGTCAATGGATCCAGTGGCGTGCTTAGGGACATGGAAGGAAAAGAGTATGATTTCCGTACATATGATGCATGCTCATTATCAAGAATTACTGGCTAACTTTTTTTTTTTAAAAAAAATTAACAATAAAGCATTGCTAAGGGATTCAAGGTCGCTGTACTGGATATCAAAGATGGAGATGAGCTGTCATCTGGTGGAAAAGATATTGAGGTGAGTCTTATCAAGGTTATTTGAAATGTAAGAAAGAAATAGGCATTTACAATGTACCATGTACATGTACATTATTGATAGATCGTATCCTCCCTAGACATTGCACGTTATCGTTCAGGGCAGTGCTTCATGAACGGCTCGAATTCCGCGATTAGTGCCTCAGCAGCATGTAAGACCTGATGCATTGGCCTAGTTGTTGTGTTTTCAGTGTTGAACTATATCGTTTGACCGACATGGAGTGTCATGTGTAATGTTATAGCTGGCATATCATCTATGCCTGCTACAAAGTTCAAGTCGCCTTTCGCTCCCCCTACCCCAGTCGAAGCTTCAGGCCCTGTGCCTCAACCACGGCACAATCCCAATGCCCCCTATGCTATCCTCTTGCCTCGCCCTCCTAGGAATCATCCTCGAGTCATCAAAGGCTGCGGAAATAAAAGATCTCCTGGTGACATTGGTCTTGTGGATGTGGTGATTGATCCTGTATTAGGACAACATCTCCGTCCCCACCAAAAAGAAGGTGTTCAATTTCTTTATGAGTGCGTTATGCAGATGAAGAACTTCCACGGTCAAGGAGCTATCCTCGCTGACGAAATGGGACTGGGGAAAACTCTCCAAACTATTACTCTAATCTGGACACTTCTCAAGCAGAGCCCATATTATGGCGAGGAGTCATGTGTTATCAAGAAGGCCTTGATAGTTTGCCCCGCATCATTAATCAAGGTATATAAGTAGATAGATAGTAGTTAACTGCTCTTATTGGTGGCCACATTTGTATTTAAAGTCTTTGGGCCTTGGCTCTGATAAAAAAATAATATTATAGAATTGGCAGAAAGAATTCAAGAAATGGCTGGGAATCGAGAGGCTACGTGTTTTCGCTGTTGATTCAAAGTCGACCATGACCGACTTTACTTTGGGAAAAATTTACCCTGTGATGATTATTGGATATGAGAAGGTAAAGCCAAAACACTAGTCGATCAAAATTATAAACCCTGTTCCGGCCTCAAATACATCTTCAACGTACTATATAGCTACGAACCGTGCAAGACGAGCTTGTGAATACCAACTTTGATATTATTGTTTGTGATGAAGGTCATAGGTAATAATGTTTATTTGTTGTGCATTAACAGAAACGGCCCATATGAATGTTGAACTGACTCCAGCTTATTTTCTAGACTTAAGACATCCAACATTAAGACTGCACAAGTCATCCGCTCTTTTTCCACTATGCGCAGAATCATTTTAAGTGGTACTCCAATACAAAATGACCTGGGAGAGCTATTCTCGATGATAGACTTTGTGAATCCTGGCCTATTTGAGAATTATAGCTCATTCAAGAGGGTCTTTGAGGACCCAATTGTCAAGTCCCGGCAACCCGATTGTTCTTCATCGGATGCCTTACTCGGACTAGAGAGGTATGTGGATAATGATTCTTATTCTAGAAATAAGAGTTACGATTTCGAGACTAATTTCCCTTGATGTGTTGCGACTATAGATCACAAGAGGTATGTATAGTATGCTTTCATGACACACCTCATGAATCACTATCCATTAATAACAAAGAGCTTCCAAAGCTCCTCTGACAGGTCCTTCCTTGGTATTTTTTGATAGCTCACTCGATTGACAAATCAGTTTATTCTCCGACGCACAGCTCAAGTCAGCTACGAATTCCTGCCTCGAAAGTGTACAGCGGATTTTATATTAACATAAGTTGACGCTTGTATCGAAAATTAGGATCAAAACTTTGCTATTGATATTTACTAGGTTTTCTGTTTCGTTAATCTCTCCATCGGGTCATTCAATAGCTGAATTTGTCATTTTTTGTCGACCGTCGCCATTACAATGTGCGATGTATCGTCATATTTTAGACTCTCCATATCTACAAAATTGCTTCTCAATGGAAAGTAGTCGCTATCTTGCCTGCATCACAGTGTTACGGAAACTGTGCAACTCTCCAAAGTTGGTACTTGAGCAAGCAAAGGTAAGTAATAGGCATGCCCTTTTTCAAGATAAGAGCCGTGCAACTTGGCATAAAAACGTCATCTGCTAATCCTTAGAGCATGCTATTCACTCATCTTAGCTCAAAGATGATCCTGATATTCTGGGGCTTTACAATGGTGTTAAAGCACTGATACAAAGAAGTGGTTATGACATGGATTGTTCATCAATTTCAGGTAATGCTCAAAGCCTCACATCAATATGAAGGGATCAGAGAAATGCTTCTTGTTATCTTTTCCGTTTAAATCCTGAAGCTCTTTGTCCATCTTTAAACCTCAGGAAAACTGAGTTTCGTGGAAGCTCTACTGAAATCAATTAAGCGCAACACAACCGAACGTGTGGTGCTTGTGTCCAACTTCACGCAAACATTGGACTTGCTCGAAGGGATTTGTACCCGATACCACTTTTCATTTTTCCGCCTTGATGGGTATGACAGCGGTTCAATTCGAATGACATAGCTATGATCCGCATGGAGTTTGTCAATAAGTGGATCATAATGTATCATTCTCATTAATATCAATAGATCAACCCCCACATCAAAACGTCAAGAATATGTAGATAAGTTCAATGCCCCGAATTGCCGGAAATGTAAGTATATGTGATACTTATCATATCAGGCGGTCTATTTTATTGCGTCGAAGCTAATGTTCGTTTTTGCATAGTCGTCTTTCTATTAAGCGCAAAGTCTGGCGGTTTAGGGCTAAATCTCATCGGCGCCTCTAGATTGGTACGTCTTTTGTAGTCTACAACGGCAAATAAATTCCTCTTCTTTTCTTATATTTACTATCCTTCTCTAATTATATTTGACACACTGTAGATTATGTTCGATATTGACTGGTAAGATGATAAGAAAACGAAGTGTACTGTTTATATATAATGAATAAAGCACTGACGCAGCTTAGCATCTGCATACGGAATGCCCTACACAGGAATCCAAGTGTTGATCTGCAGGCTATGGCTCGTATCTACCGGGATGGCCAGACGCGTCCAGTTTACATCTACCGCTTGTTGTCGTAAGCTTTTTTACTATTGTTAATACTATTGATGAGACAGCTGGTCAAGAGCAGCAGGGACTTTCTATTGTTATGGTGCTAAGACATACTTTTCAACTCAACTGTAGGTCTGGGACTATCGAAGAAAAGATATACCAACGCCAACTTACCAAAGTTGGGCTTTGCGATTCTCTGATGGTACGTGTTGAGCACTTATATTTAGAGTATGGTTACAAGAGTGTGATGGTAGTCACAAGACTAGGCTTCTTATTTCAAGACTGGAAATATTATGCTGTAGGATGGAAAGACTTCAGAAAAATTGAACAAGTTCTCGATCGAGGAGCTCAAGGACCTGTTTACGTTTCATGAAGATGAGCCATGTTTAACCCACACTTTACTGGGCTGCGATTGCCACACTGTAGCATTTCCTCACTCACCAAAGTCCAAAGGAACTGGCCGTACACAGCAAGTGAGCAAAAATGGTACCATGAGCAAGACATCGACATCATTTGCCAAGAAGGAACTTGAGGAATGGACGCACTTGAATATAGAACTCTGTCGAAGCTTCGCTTTAGAAACAGAGGTTTTCAATGACTCTGAAATTCTAATGGATATCAACAGATACATAAATGGGCTTGCCGACAAAGACAAAATCCTGTGGTTTAGCATTTCAGATGATGAACGGGACGACACGAACAACAACAGAACTATCGTAAAAGATGATGTGTGTCTAGATTCAACTGTGGCATTTGTGTTTCTACGAGTTTGGTAGGATTTATCACGTGACCAAAACGCTTGCTAAATATTTTACGAAAGGCACTCTTTGCTTAAAGTTGTTTCAGCATTTGGCGATTATAAATTATGGCGACAAAGGATACTTTACAGATTGAGCTTCAGTTCAGGTAGATAAATTGTTACAGATGAGGAATCAAATAAAATGGAATGAACTGGATTGGGTTGGATCGCATTGAATTGAAGGGTCTATCGTTTTCCAGGTGTATGATCTTGATACTTTATTGTTCTAAGAAACGTTTAGTGGAGGTATGGAACTGCTATTTGACAATCAAAAGACAATCCAAGCAGATGTGCCGGCATTCTTTCCTATTGTGACCAAGGATACAGATACGAATCAGCAGGAGCGACACGCAGCTACAATTCGAGATCTTATTGCATGGACCAGCATAGAGCTTTTGAAAGAAAGGCCAGAGTTGTTTATTGGTGACGATGGCTCTGTGTAAGTAGACGAAAGCTGAAGGGATAGTGGCATACTATTCATGTCTTTTGATCACTACATGATTAAGAAGCAAGACAGATTGGTGCTTTGTTCATCTGTTTAATTTTTGGTCTAATCTAATTTGTTTGATTTGAATCCAACAGACGAGCAGGCATTTTGGTGCTGATCAATGGTGCAGACTGGGAGCTGGAGGGCGAGCTTGAGTATGAACTACAGGACAAGGACGAGATTGTTTTTATCTCAACATTGCATGGCGGATAATATTCTCAAAACTATTGCGAGCCTATAAATGTAGTTGGCTGGTGCTCATTTAATCTCCTTTTTTCTTGAAATAAAACTTTCCTTCCTCTCCACTTCTTCCTTCGAACTCAATCATTCCTTTTTATACTTCCTCACTTAAGCCCACTATGACCAGCTCCTCCCATCAGGGGTTGCTGCCGGTGCATGGGGCAACAGCAATGATGAATGCCTCAACATTATTACACTCCTCTGAGTATTTAACCAACGTTGATGTCGAATGCAATGTTAATTCCGATGTTGATGTCGATGTTGATGCCAGTACTGTTAGTGATATCAATAGCAATGCCAATGCTACTTCGGCCGTCACAGTTACAGTGGACGGATACAAGGTTCATTCTTCAGCATTAGCTGCTGCTCAGCGTGCGGCTGCCTTGGCTGCTGCAAATGATAGTATGGCTATCATTGCCAGCGCACAAGGCGCAGGGACAAATTCGGGCTCAAATCCCTCATCATCCTTGGCTTTGGATGTGGTGCGCGATGTAGTTCAACCATTAATGCCTCTGGGGCTTGCTCTGGTCATAGGCTACATCTACTATGTCTTCAGCTTTCGAGTTTGCAGTAAGTTCATTTTTGTTCCTCTTTTGTCTTTCCTTACTTTCTTTGAAGTTTCTGTTTTATTCTCCCATAGTTTTCTGCATGCCTTCATCTCATTGCTGCGCATAGTTGATTTGATAATATTAATGAGCTTTTTTATGTTTCTATTGTCGATACAAGTTGACTTTATACTTCATGAGCAGCGTCGTCCCCTACAGGCAGGTAACGATGAAGACTAGCAGGAGTAACATGTGGTTATTAGCACCGACGACTTTCCACAATTTCTTGAGACCTCCAGAGCTGGATAGATTGCCAATAAAGGGGTGTATGCTTGACATGTGGGTACATATGTTGATGTATGCCTGATGATCTTTTTTACTACCCTAGGTCTTTATTTGGGCGTGATTAATACTCTATCGCTGCTCTTCTTTATCTCATATATCCGTTGTCTCAACTGTGGGCCAGGATCTCCATTGGATGTATGCTATCATTTGTTGTCTTACGTTTAGTGTTCCGTTCGTGCTAGTACATAGACTGATCACGGAAACTTTAAAAATATTATGCGCATGTTACTCTGGACTACTTTTCACTAGCCACCGCAGAGAAGCCCCACGCCTCCTATCCCACCCACGACCACTCCTTATCAACCTCAAAGAATCCCCATAGCCCTGCTGATGCCATCGTTTCGGGATGATCTTAGGGAGGGAAGAGAGAGACTCAATTCACCAGTAACAGATACCACGCCATTGCTGAAGCCTGATAACGTTACAACCGGCTCTAATCGTGCGCAACATCAATATCAAGCGACATCTTCTGGAGCAGAGGGAATGAAGCAGAAGGAAAGGCGTTGTTCCAGCCAGGCGACAATGATTCAATGCAACGATAAAGGAAATGGCTCTTTTAGAATTGATATCGATAAAAGGATAAAACAAGCCACACATGGAAAGAGGCGTGCGGAGAAACCTATTGCCACCCTCAGCATTGCTAAGCGAGATGGCCGTCCTCGATGGTGCGATATATGTAAGATCGTCAAACCAGACCGGTGCCACCATTGTTCCGAATGCGATAAATGCGTACTCAGGATGGACCACCATTGTCCTTGGGTCAGAGGCTGTATCGGCTATAACAATCACAAGTTTTTTTATCTATTCATTTTCTATGCCTCTGTAATCTCTGTCTTTGTTGTTACAACGATGATACCTATGATTACATCTGCTGTACGGCGGTGCGAGATAAACTCTCCGTTGAATGGTTCAGACGCTGATGGACATGATACTCAACCTCGTTGTGTGTTTAATACACACTGGCCGATTATGACCGCTGTAGCTTTTCTGTTGGGTTTGCTCATTGTCTCGTTCACGGCGGCTCACACTGATTATATCCTCAAAAATCGGACAACAATTGAGTCTTTACAGGATGTAAGAGCTACTTTCGTTCGAGTTCAATACATCAGATCGGACCCAGCCCTAGCGTCTTCTTTCTCGTCTTCTCCTTATTGGTCAGGACAAGGTTTCAACGTTGTCAAAGTTGAGCCTGGCGAACAGTTATGGCACCGCGGCTCATTGATGGGTAACTGGAAGAGTATCATGGGCCCATCATGGTGGCTATGGTTTGGTAAGTGACATACCTAGTTTTCCTACTTTTTTATTTATATTTTTTTAGCCTCTATCTTATTTTTATTTTTATTTTATTGTTTGTTTTCTACCGCAGTCCCTTATGGAAACACGCCTGGCGATGGAATCCATGATGTTTATAACGAAAAGGCTTATAAAAGAATAGTAGATGAGGCATTATCTCAGTCTGGCATGCCAGACCATTTAAAATCAACCACCCGAGGCAGCGGCTCTGAACCTCCTATAATGCATCCTCATGCTGTAGAGATTATGTCATCGACGACAGAAGTAGTAGAGACAGGATTTCCCCACTCGACGTTGATTGTGAATAGAGATCTAGCAGTGAATCAGGATACAACATCAATCAAGACAGCTCCATTTACAGTTAGTCATACTTGGACAGCCTCTAGGAACAGTGAGGATAGTGATAGGAGTGTTGGCAGCATGGAACGGTCACTTCCAACCCCACGATCCTCACCACGACTCGGCCCTATCCAAAGCTAGCCTACAGCATGTTTTTGCATTGTAATTAAATACCATATCCTACATCTTCATTCTTAATGCATCCTTCACAGTCTGATGACGTATCCGATTCCTAGCACTGGAAGCATAAAAGCCCGTGAGTGACTGAATCTGTGAGCTATTCCTATGACAAATGGTTTCCTCTTTTGGAAGCGTCGTGCTTTTTAAATTGCACATTTGTGCGACATTGGCAGCAAGGGGTGGATATCAATCAGTAATTCTTTTGAATGGTGCAAATTTCTCACGGCTTAGATCATTACCATTAAATAGTTGGGGGTTTCGACCTACCTTTCACCTTCCCCTCTTCCTCTATACTCCTCTTTCCTCAGCATTGTCATTATTATAGTTTTTTTTTTTTTTTTTTTTTTTTTTTTTTAAAAAAAAAGGCATACATAAACTCTAGGTGTTTTGATTGCATTTTCAATCATGGCTGACTACCAACAACTTCCTCAACAAGACCCTGAACGCGGAGGCTATTCTGTTCGGAGTCGAATGACTTCTATTTTTCAGGACAAAAATATTACGGCACTCTTAGTCGCGGCAGCGATAGCTCTCCTAGGGATGACTGCATATCTTCTTGGAGCCACCAATGAATTTTCCCACCACCCGATTGAGTTTGAGGCTCCAGGAATCTCTGCAAAACACTTCATGCAAGGTGTAGCCAAGTGTAAAGCCATCCGCCGTGAAGGTAAACATCTGTACCCGGCTCCTGAAACTAGAACGCATAATCCAAGGTTCGTCAATGGGACCGCACCTACACATTTTTGATGGTGTTTCTGAGGTCTTCAAAGGTGACGTCCTAGTCGACCATGGCATTATTGTCGAGATTGGTGAGGATATCAAGGGATCCAAGGACACAGTTGTTGTCGACCTTAAAGGGCATATCTTAACTCCAGGCATTGTGGACATGCATAAGTAAAAAAAAAAAAAAAAAAAAAAAAAAAAAGGATGCATAAAGAACAATTACTCAACATATTAACCAATTTCTATCCTGTTTTGTTGGGTAGCCATGTAGGAGTTTTTTCTTGGCCAACTTTATCAGCAACAAACGACTTTAATGAAATGAGCAACCCAACGGTACCATTTGTGCGTTCCATCGATGGATTCAACCCCAGTGATGTCGCGCGAGAATGGATCGTTTCGGGCGGTGTCACTAGCACCCTAGTCTTACCTGGGTCCGGTAATGTGATAGGTGGTGAAGCTTTCGCATTCAAGCTACGAAAGGTCGATACACTCAGTACAGAGGATATGCAAATCGAGGCGGGTGTAGAAGAGAAGTGGCGCTATATGAAGATGGCATGTGGTGAAAATGCTAAAAACAATTATGGACGACGGGGCCAGATGCCTTCTACACGACTTGGCGAGGGCTGGGTCTTCCGCGAGCAATTCGCCAAAGCAACGGAACTTAAACGAGCTCAGGACGATTGGTGTAACGCTATAGAGAGACTACCTCGCTTTGGCCGTTATCGTTTGAGCATTCCATTCCCAGAGGATCCGCAATATGAGAGTTTAATTGGCATCCTTAGAGGCGATGTCAAGCTCAACATTCATTGCTATGAAACACATGATATTGAGGCAATGGTGCGCCACTCGAACGAGTTCAAGTTCAAGATTGCAGCATTCCACCATGGCCTTGATGCCTATCGTATCCCCGATATTCTCAAGCGCGCTTACAAGGGTGTCCCTGTAATTGCTACTTTTGCTGGAAAATTCGGCTACAAGAAAGAAGCTTTTCAGAGCTCCGTAAATTCACCAAAGATATTGGTAGATGCAGGTATATCTGTGGCTATGAAGAGTGATCATCCAATTCTAAATTCACAGCACCTCATCTACCAAGCATCCATGGCTCGTCATTATGGCCTCACAGAGCTGCAGGCACTAGCCTCTGTGACTTCTGTTCCAGCCAAAGCCATAGGACAGGATCACCGTATCGGCAAAATTGCAGTGGGTATGGACGCGGACTTGGTCGTCTGGGAGAGGCATCCCCTGTCTCTAGGATCACATCCTCTACAAGTTTACATTGATGGCATAGCTCAAATCAAGGACGCCGATCCATCACAATGGAGTCACCAAAGTGAGCCGCTCAGATTCCGAGAGTATCTAGACCTGGCTGTGCCCAAGGCCAAGGACGCCTGCACAGACAAAGCTGAGGATGGTATATTCACAGTGATTAAAAAGATTATCCTTGAGAATGTCGAAGAAGTGTCCTCCAACAACAGTTTGAGTGTAGTGGCCAAAGGCGGTCGAGTCATTTGTATCGGCCACTGTGGAGAGCACGTTGCTGCGGCGGAAAAAGAGGGCATACCAATGTATGATCTGGGTGGCGAGGGCGTTGTTTTACCTTCATTTATCTCTGTCGGCACACCTTATCTTGGTCTACTTGAAATTCCACCTGAGTCCAGTACGGGGGACGGTTATTCAAATCTGAATCCCGAAATTCTCCACGCGGCTGACGCCCTCAAGTTTGGTGGCCTTCACATGGATGAAGCCTATAAGGCAGGAGTATTGATTGGTGTCACTGCGCCAGTATCACAGCATGTCATCCAGGGGTCAGCGTTGCATTCAGTACTGGCGCTCAAAATGGTACTTTTTGTTATTATTTAAGCAAGCGCCATGAATGAGACCGAGGCAACTGACTTTTTTTTAACAAAAAAAAAAAAAAAAAAAAAAAAAACGACGAATAGCACTTGCATCCAAGGATGCTGTCCTCAAAAAAGATGTAGCACTGCATGTCAGGCTTGGTCAGGCATCCAAGTCGAGGCTTTTTCCTACGGTTTCGTCCCAAATTGCATTCCTACGCTCTTCACTGGAAAAAGGACTGCTAAATTTGTTTAATCCTTCCCATGAGTTTGCTCGGGTTGTCAAAGGAAATCTTCCTTTAGTGGTCGAGGTCCATAACCGAGACGAGATTGTTCGCTTGATACAGATCAAAAAGGAGTTAGAACACCAGGGAGCGAAGATCAAGCTGAGCTTGCTTGGAGCAACAGAAGCCTGGACAGTAGCAGAGCACCTGGCAGAGGCAGACATTGGTGTCATATTGCGCCCATATCATTGCACTCCTCACCAATGGACAGCCCAAAGGTGCCTCCCGGGAGCCCCCCTGTCAAAAGGCACTGGACTTTCTGCATTGTACGGGGCAGGTGTTACTGTAGGCCTTGCTGCAGAAGAATTCGAGGATATTCGCCATATACTATGGATGGCTGCATGGGCTCGCTCGGATTTGGGTCTGACAGAGAAGGAAGCCATCGGCCTGCTGAGCTGGAATCTAGCGCAAATCGCAGGGCTTCCCAGAAATCCTTCGGGCTTGGTGCTTTATAATGGTGATCCATTTGAATTTGGAGCTAAAGTGTCGGCCATTATTGGTGGGGGAAAGAGCGGTATCCATTGCAACCCACGCGCATTCTAATCCGATGTTTGGCAAGGACTGAAGACTATTTGTGAAGTTGCATGGGCTTTGAAGTGAAACAGGTGTATCCCTTCGTCCGGAAAAAGGATCAAGTTGCCATTGTAAATAGGGTGAAAATTCAGCAATCCATGGACATTATCTAAACTTTTTTTTTTTTTTGGCTGGTTGAAATAAATGATATAAATGTGGCTTGGATTAGATGATCGGACAACAGATGTCAACTTCACTGACATTCACAAGGCCGCTTTTCCACATTAATGAAGAGGCAGTTTTCTAACCAGTTTGGTCTTGCCATAGCCTTTCAACCACTGAGCAACCCAATCCCGCCCAATTTGCGCACTTGCTTCCACTTTTCGGTAAAAAGATCTCTCGTCTTCAACCCTTGGGTGTATGCTCCTGTGTGCTAGTTCTTCATCGTCCGTATCGTCATCGAGTATGGGACGAGATTGGCTATGAGAGTTCTGGGGCCTAACTTGCTGCTCGCTCACGAGATGGGATGAAGATGACAGTAGGGAAGAGACAAAAGTAACAATCATAGTCATAATTATTGCAAAAAAAAATAAGCGAACAAGGACATAGACTAGCAACCTCGTAAAAAATTTTAATGTCTAGCCGATATTTATACTTTAGACATTTTAGTGTATTTATCTCAGAGCTCAAAGTCTCCATCAATGCAATGACAGCAATCCTATTTTCGCGTTTTCCTTTTCTTTTTGCTTGGGTATTAGTCAGTCCTTCTTCAAGCTGATAGCGGCTCGTGGGGCTTTGCCCTCGAAAACTGGCGTGGACACTTCTTTGCCGGCAAATCTTGATCATCCTGCCCATGTATGTCCCCTCGGTATAGCCCGTTTCATTTGGTCACGATACCTTATATTTTTTAAATTGATTGAATAGACTCAAGCGAAAATTGAATTGTATTGAATAGCAACTCTAAATCCGATGTCGTTCGCTACTTGCAAGCTTGGCTCGCTGTCCTCTATTTGCACGCCGAGCGACGGAAGAGGTCAGTGGCTTTGACGTTGAATAACTGTTATGCGTCACTATGTTTTGCTTCCTTACCTTCACTCTAGCTCTCACGCAACACAATCAAACATGATGATCGTCAAATTCACAGAGTTCCATCAAGTAAGTAATAGACTATCTTTTTTTTATCATTTACCTGCGCTTCCTAATTATTTGTGAGTAATCTCTGGTTTCTTACGATGAATAGACGCGGAATCTTTCGATCCAATGAGAACATCGCAGCTTCCTTCTCCCTTTTCTTTTTTTTTGACCTTGGAGGTCGTTACAAGGAGACGCCAGATGTTCTGCTGATTCGAACTGGCCACTACCCATAGTGGGGAAACTTTTTGAGCAGGTCTTTGACCTTGTGCAAAAGTTTCAGCCCTCCGGTTTTAAAAAGATTCTGTCAAGCATCTGAGTCTTTTCTTTTTTTTATATTTTCTTTTTCTTTTTCTATGGCTGCTGAGGGATATACGAAGGGACGCCGGATGCTCTGCTGATTCGAACTGGCCACTACCCATAGTGGGGAAACTTTTTGAGCAGGTCTTTGACCTTGTGCAAAAGTTTCAGCCCTCCGGTTTTAAAAAGATTCTGTCAAGCATCTGAGTCTTTTCTTTTTTTTATATTTTCTTTTTCTTTTTCTATGGCTGCTGAGGGATATACGAAGAGACGCCAGACATCTCACTGATTCGTTAACTGCCCACTATTTATAGTGATGGAAACTCTTGGTCTTTGACCCTGGTTTCAGCAACCCAGTCGTATCGAATCTCAAGGGTTCTGGCTCTATTTCTTTTTTTTTTCTATTTTTTTTTTCCCCCTCCAAGACATGGTTCCGCCTTGGTTCTTGCTATCTCCTGCCAGCTCGCCAGGTCTGACCACAAGTTGCCGTCTGTTCTCCGTCGCGGAAAATGGATAATATGATTATTTTTTTGCATGGTATTACAAACGCAAGGCCTTTATTCAAACCTACAACATGCAACTCGACATCGAGACCAATTTTAACCATCATATATACTCTGAAGTAATATTAGGCCAACCAAGATTTTACCCATTCGCACACTCGGATTCTTAGCAGCTGTCGGGCCGCGGTTTTTGTCGAGGCGTGGATGAGGATATCGTGGGCAAGACTCTCAACAATGTTTATATTTCGTTGGAATAACAAAAAGCATCAAGCATTAAAGTCGAATAACACAATAAACAATCCTAAATGAAGCAATTTATTCTGATCTCTTGCGCTTTCTATTGATCTGGAGGTAAAAAGATGGCCTCACCCATGTATGTTTCACCTCGTCTGTAACCCTCACACGCTCCCCGACAGCTTCCTTGGCTTTCAAGTAAGCTGTCTTTGTAGTCTCCAGAATTGGCACTGCTTCCGCAACCACGCTAAGGCTCTTCCTGCCCTTGGGCACTTTGACCTTGCCCAATAATCTGGGGATATAAACGGCTTCGTAATCTAGGGTCATCACGAAGATTTCCATTTGACCATCTAAAGCGTGAATTAGCACCACTGTCTCCGTTTAGGTTTCATGGATCGTAAAAATATACAAGAGTGTAACATACCTTGGACAAGCAGACCCAGGACCGTTGGGTCTTTTACACCCTTGGCGAACAAGAGATCTAGTGCCAGCTTCATTTCAGAAAGTAACTTCCTGAAATCTCTATCAAGGAGCTTTTTAGAGGTTCCTGGGGGCTTCACCTCCACTACGAGTAGAGGCAGGCCGTCGACCATAACCAGGTTATCTGGTCTAAAGCGCTCCGTATAGTATTTCTCCGTTGGGATTCTGCTATCGCTGAAAGCGGAGACGTGTTATACCAAGAGTGAAGAAATAACATGTGAATATCCTGCAGAAATGAATGAAGAACAAAGAACTGACAGATCTACTACTCACCAGTATCCCAAAGTCGATGCGATGGCGCAGATGTAGGGCCTGACGTAGAGCGCGCTGTACGTCGCCTCGTTTTTTTTTATTTTGCCAGGCGACTCCCAAAACATCTCGTCCTCGCCAAGTTTGGTGAAAATGCTCTTGAGCATTTCACTTGCTCCTTCCTGACCCTTTTCAAGAAAGGCGCGATACTCGGAAGCAGAGTTCGACGCCTTTGCTTTCTCCACGCAGAATTTGGAAAAATCCAAATCCTGCTCACTCAAGGCTACACTGGTCTCTGTAACCTTGAAAAAGCGCTTGAGTTTACGACGCCCCGCCTTTGAAAAATATTTTTCCATAAACTCTTTTGTGAAAATGAAGTTTATGGAGCTAGAAAACACAGTAAGAACTGTATCAGCGTCACGGCCTTCGGTGTGTTCTCAAGCAATGAAATAAATGGTAGTAAAAAGCACTCACAGAATATCATGTGGAGAGAGGAGCGTTCCCTGGCGCTCTTCCTCAAGTTTAATGAGTTCTTCTCGTACCTCCATGAGGGGAGAAGATACATCGAAACCTCCGTTTAAGACCAACCTATCGGTGACCTGACTACTCCTCTCGCCTTCCCCAGTGAGGTGGTTGATAGGCTCATCCGCGTCAGACTTGTTAGTCTTGTCAGACTCGTCGGGCTAGTTGTTATTATTTTTATTAATATTGGATCATAATGGAAGTAAACATTGGTTCAACGTTAAATTATTCGACACATACTTTCAGGTAATTGTTGATGTTTGTTTTTTTTATGCCTTTTAGTAAGGCACGTAAGTTCTCCTTGTAAATGATGATCAGGACTGAGTCATCTCTTCTTGGTCGCGCCGCCCTCCTGATCTCACTGATAATTTTGCTGAAACTGCTAGCTTCACGATCCACGCCGTATTCCTTGACGGCCCATTCGACGAAATGGAAAAGGGTAAGATCTTTTGGGCTTGGCCATTTGCCAATTGGAAGTTGAGATATCATAGTATCCAAGTCAACCTTGACCTTTTGAGGCTTCTGAAAAATTGTGCTGGTGGCCATTTTTGTTTGGTGAGGTATTTATGAGGTTTGTGAAGAAGTTTTGTGTGAAGCTTTGTGAAGAGTTTGTGAAGAGGTTTATTAGTATTGCGAAGAAGTTCAGAGACCTCTTTTTATCTGTGAAAGCGACAAAAATATAACTCCTAACTCCTTTGTGCAACATGAGACAATGCCCCGCCTCTGGGAATAAGTGGACCAAGCTTACCAGATGAAATCAGGAACATTTGTAACGACTGTGCTAAATGAATAAGCAACATGGATGGAATCAACAGAGTAGGAAATCAATGCTTTAAGACTGAGGTGGACCACCAGCACATGCTTTTTATTAACTTAGTGGCGGTAAAAACGGGCTGAAGGTGAAGCCGGCATTGAGTTATCGTCTTCCTCCAATTCATCAGGAGCCAAGGATCGAGATGTCGGGATAAGATCAACGTCTTCTTCAACTTCATCAACTTCATCACCAATATCACCATCTTCCATGGGCTCAATTAAGACATTGTATCGGCCTCTGGCAGCACCAATCCCAAAAAGCCTGTTGAATGTGGCCTCGGAAAAATCAATCGAATGAAAAATTTGTTCCAACTCTTCCTGCACCTCGGCCGTCTCGAATGTCTGGCCACGAATTTCCTGCATGTATCTGTAGGCAAAACTAAGGGTTTTTTTCCAGGCAGAAACGAAAGTTTTAACTTGAACATTTCGGAAGAGTTCCTTCAGCATCTGGATAAGTTGATCGGCAGCCATCGATCCGGATATCATGTAAGCTACGCTGTTTTTTATAACGCCCCAGATTAATTCAATGGGCTGGAGTTCGCAATGATAAGGAGGTGTCCTAATAATCCAGTGGCCCCCATTCTCTAATGCGATGTCCCAGACCGTGTACCGTGGCTGGTAATCAAGGGTCCTTATATAAGCAAGTAGTTCTGACTTGCTTGGCGTTCGATCACCGTTAGAACCGGGTGGAATTCCAAATTGATGAGATATAAGCCATTCCATTATCTCCGATTTCTTATTGGCGGCCGTTGGCTTCCTATCAGGGCAATGGAAATGGTACCTGGCACCATCCATGTGTATTTTACAAGGACCGAGATTCATCTTTACCAGACTTTGGCAAACCGTCGTAAACAGCTCTTCGAACACCTCGTGGTTAAAATGACCATGATAGTCATGATCATTTGCAAGAATCTGACTATTGGGCTGCATATGATCGGCGTTTCCCTGAAGAGATGCCTTGCTGTTCGCCGCCCAGATGTGAACACTGTTCTCAACAAACTTCCCCACCACCTTCTGTTCGTCACGGTCGTAATAGATGACAAATGCAGCGAACATGACGAGAAGTGGTTGCCGAGATGATTCACACACAATGCCTCCGTCCCGTTCTACCCATCGATTTTTTGAGGAATGGTCCAGGTGACAATAGGACTCATCAAGAAATACCTCTGGCATCATAGGGATTAAACCATCGTCAAGCTCCACCAGGTTCTTGAAACGCTCTGTGAGGTATTTCAGTCGGTATTGCACAATGTGAGGTGCATCGTGCATAAAGTTCCTTCGAACCCCCTTTCCCCAGTAAAAGTTACTTGCATGTAGGTATCGATGAACTGTTGACCTTGACGTCCTGATACCATGCTCATTTCTGAGCTCATTCACCACTCGTCCAAGTGTATTCGGGATACCTCCCAGATTAGTTCTCCTGATGATATCCGTGATATGTCCCTGGAGCACTTTATCTTTTGCTTGTGCTTTACGGCCACGTCCCACACCCTTGTTGGGCAACTTCAATACCCCTGTCCTTGAGTAGTTGATAGCTGCTAGACAGGAATGTGCATTTACCCCGGTAAGCTTAGCCATCTGCACACACTCTTTCATGCCAAACGATTGTCTCATCCATTTTTGAAACTCTGGCGGCGCATTGCTGAGCTTTGCGTAGATATGTGCGATTAGGCGGTATTCCTCCTCCGCTACGGTTGTCTT